TACGCCATGGAATGATCAGTTGCGCACATGTAGTTGAGTCTACGGCATGCGTGCATACATGATCTGAAACTATGGGGACAAAAGACCTAGCCGTAGCTGTGGGGGCCCGTTTCAGAAACGGCCTAAGCCTTATGGCGCAGTATGGCTCTGTGGCACCTAGCACCATGTCCGCCAGCTCGGCTGCCCTGGCTGTGCACTCAGGCCGTGTCCGAAACGGACTTCCAGAGCTACGTCTAGGTCTACTGTTGACGCGTCTCCACACATTTCCAATGGAGCAAAGACCTAGACTTAGCTCTAGACAAGAGATTCGGATGCAGCCTAAGTTACCGTGCACCCATGTGGCGTGAAGATGATCATGTACTGGTAGACTGCAACACGAAATACATTCAGGAAATCTAGGGTGCTTTTATTCAGGGGCACCACTGACAGGAAGAACGGGGGAAACAGCCAGCTTTGGCCTTGGACAAAGTGGAAATATTCAGGGCACCACGGCCAATTGTAAAGGCACCGACCGCCACGGCCATGTGCATGCACACAAGACAGAAACGCTTTGGGAAGTTCAAGAGTGACCGTTGTCACTCATTTACTGGTAGTCATGATACCCATGATACGGTTTGTGCACAGGTTACCAGGGAATTCAATCAATGGTCGCGTTCGTACATGTACAACAGACTCATTCCCATCCCTACTGTGTCCAGGGCCCACTACCCAGACTAAATGACAGGTGCACTTGTACTCACTGGTACCCACACTACATGTACTTTCACATTAAAGTTTATGCAACTAAAGAAAGTCAGGGAACAATAACGATATCATTTAAATCTGTTATGTAAAATATACAGTTTGACAGTAGGCTTATCGTGCTCTGAACTTCTGAAATTCAGAGCTTGTTTCTTTTGCCTTGGGGTACTTTGCTTGCCGGAGGGTGTTCAAAAGGTCACATCCCACATCACAGCAGGCAACAATTATTAAATGTACGCATCTATATAAATGTGCGGTCATACTGCAAAAACTGTTGAGTCAAAGAGAACTGGCTATATGATACTACAAAAAGTAACCACACAGGCCTATGGTAAAACACCTACATGTACATGTTCCCCTTTACATCAATTATGATTGATAGCAATTGGCAACTGAAGCCAACCTGTACCACTTCCTTGGTCATATTAATGCACCCTTGGGGCTACTGGCCACACACCCACCACAACCTTATGCTGTGGCACACCTTCATGTGCACAAACACACCCTTCCTTTGTCAGGGTGTCTCTTTTAGAACAGGTGCTTTCCAGAGTAATCAAATCTGTACATTTTGCAGATCCACTAAACATGTAGGGTGCCTAAGTTTGGAAATAATCGATGGGCAAGCTGTACCACCAGCTATGGTGCATGTACATGTACAATATGGCTTCTTTTAAGCATCCAAAGGATGCCTACATGTACATGTAGCTCCTAAGACAAGCCAACTTTCCCTGGAGTCCTTGATGGACAAAAATGCGCAAGACAACAGTCATGTTGCTGGATATGTACATGGTACATGAATGATATATGTTTGCCAAAGACAGAAATTGTAATTTCCATACATTTAACCTCCATGATAAATTAATCATCACGGCGTAACGATCGGAAGGGGAGAAATTCCATATACTCGCATATATGGACATCACTAGTTGTTCTCTGCAGTCACATCTTAGCCATTACAAAGCATTGTCCTAAAAAAGTCAAAACTTGGTCGGGAAATTGTTGATGCCTTTACTTGGGAAACACTAAGGATTTTTTATGTCAAGAGAATCATATCCAGATGTGAACTCTTTCCATTATCTCTTGTGGGACAGGTTCATGGTATTCACAATATCAGTGGTTGCCGGTACACATGTGTAATGTAACTTGTGGTGCGATGACCTTGTAGAATTGATACCGGTTTGGCCTATCCAGTTTCCAACCACTGACTTGGGCTTTTGATTACCCCCCTCTCCTTGGATTTCTGCTATATAAATATGGAATAGCCTGCTTCAACCCTAATCGGTAACCCTTTTACAGTATGCGAACAACTGTGCTCACGTTGGAAGATTGAGAATGCCAGTAATAAAAACAAAAGTCTAATACAACACTTTACTGAGCTTGCAGTGCCTGGCTTCCTCATTACGAAAACAAAAACAAAACACTAATGTACCGGTATCAACCAGATGAGCATATCCTACCTTCCTGTACATTGGCCACGTACTGTACAATTACATGTACCTGTACGTGCATTGGGTGTTGACCAAAGGAAGGGTGTATCAACCATCAAAATAGGGGAAAGGTGTGGAAAAGTCTACATGTACATACATGTACATACATGTAGACACAACAAAAGTTCAAGTACTGTACAATATGACCGATGTACATGTACATACATGTACAGTCGAACCTCGTTAATAAGAGGTCCTTTGGACTTGGCAAACTACCTTGTTATAACAGGAAACCCGTATTATCAGGAATGAAAACAACGAAAAAGAAAGGATTGGGACCTAACAATTTCCTTGTCTTAAGCAGAACCTTGTATTAACAGTGCTCTTCTTAACGAGGTTCGACTGTACCACATAAATTATTTTAAATGTCAACATGTGACAGGGTTGCATAAATGCGTTGTTGAGAGACAATCCTTGAGAGAATGCTTGATTTCTTCACTATGCTGTCCTATTAAAAGGCATGATTAGCCCAAATTATCCTCAATCCTACAAAATCCTACGGGCAGTTTTAGAGGTTTTTGGAGGACTGCTGCTGCATAAAAAAATCATGCTCCTCAAAAAATCTAAGGGCACTTGCAAATAATGAACGATATGACAGAAACAGTGGATAACATCACCCAAAAAGGATGGTGTGATTCATTTGTAATAATGTACCGTTTCACATTTATCCTGCCACGACTTTAATAATTAGTATAATCATTGTACGAATATAATCATCGTGAACGCGGTCCGCTCTCAGATCGCACCAGCTAGCCGACCCTGCATGCACGTATATGTACATGTATAACATGTACTCTGTACATGTACGTATTAGGCTTGCATGTACACATGTGCGAGTATGTCGCGTGCAGTTTCACTGTACATGGTACAATCTGTTACATATTTTTATTGGTTGGTAGAAAGTTTTCAGTGACAAGAGACCCAACCAATTATTGATCTTCTTTACGTGGCACTTAAGCAGAAAGCGGTGTGCCATGAGCTTTTGGTCGTCATCAAAACATTGCTCTGTGCATACATACAGCGTGTGAGCCCACTGAATTCATGCAGGAAACCCCAGCGTGTCAGACCATAATCATACATAAGCATTGTCCCATTCACAAGTGTGTGTTGCTTTGACGTTTTCCCATTTTGATTGAGGTGGGTTTGTTACAGTCTGCATCAACTGAACAAAGTTGAAGTGCAGTTTAAACCTTCAAATCCCCTTTGGGATTTTTTTCAAAATTATGGTCACTGTTAGTGTTTCAAGTAAAAGAAATGCTAAAATTCAGGATGAAAATGCTCACTTCCACTTTTATTTCAATTCTTTTAAAGGGACACGTACATGTACATGTGTACAACTGTATAGATTTGTAGGTTGAAACTCAGTTAAATGATGTAGTTTAATTTCATAGTGCCAAAAAAAAAAGAAAACGAGCACTGAGATGATTCATGTGTCGTAAACCCACATTTCTAATAGAACTAAAAATAAGCTAATTTAAAAATTGCCCCACGAACATTATAAACCATCAGAAAAAGTGGAAACAATAGTCTCCAGGGTATAAACAATTGTTTGATCTCATTTTGCACTTCTGTTTAATTGTTTTTTTTAAGGAGAGCGATTTGCTCTCCTGAGAGATTTGAGGAGATACTGTACAGTAGATTTATAACTCTCCTGGATTTTCTTAAAATGAAGAACTACACAGCCTATTCAAGAAATATCGGAGGATTCTTGAGGACTAAGGCTGTGTCCAATTCATCCATGGGGGCAGTTGGAGGATTTTAAAGGATCGAGGGCGTACATGGTGTATCCTAGCCAAGGCAGCTACGGTTAGTCACTAGAGCACATGTGAATCAGAAACCGAATTGGAAAAATAATTTTTGTGTGCCAGACACTCTCCAGAGAGCTTGCTCTGTTGACAAGCACAAAACAAAACAGAGAAATAGTTCTACATTTGTTCTATGTTACACTAAAATAATCAAGATTCTGCAACAGCATTATGCATAAAATCAAGTGGTGGCATTTTGGAAACTGTGTTGACCTTTCCAATTATTCTTAGCTGATTTTACATAATAACTAATAATTGGTTATTATGTAAAATCAGCAAAGAATAACTATTGTAGATGGCATTGTGACACCACCTTTACTATATTTGTAGTACAGGTGGTAAGTACTGAAAGGGGTATATTGTACCTTTCCAAACAGTCATGTTTATGCTTTGCAGAGGTCTCATGCTTTCTACATATTGGACGTGATCGGTCGATGTGTGTAATCACATGATCTTTGGGCAAAACTGTTTCAAAAAAGGGAAGTAAAATTGGAGATTTCATGCAGAATCGACCAAGCATTCAGAACAATCTGGTGATCATGCTCATTGACTGATCTAGTCCAACAGATATTTTTGTAGGAATGTAAAATTTATGGTGATCCTGAAAAAAAAAAATTCTAACATGGTCTCTGGACATCCAAGTCTAACCAGCCAGACAGCCACAGCTCAGCAGCTGCATTCATTACTCATATGAATCCCACAATATCATTGTTGATATGGTTGAAGAAAACCGTGACATACTACCTTACAATTTTACAAAGCAAAACAAGTCACTGTTGATGGCATCGCTGATGGTCCATCACAGGCTTAGGCCAACATCCCATCCATCATGGCACATGATCGAATTTGTTACTGCATCGCAGTGTATGCAAATTGCAATGCACCAAGTCAGTGGGCCTACACATGAAAACACAAGTTTTTCATTCATAGTTTCTAAAACCCACAAATAAACCAATGACAAACTCACCTTACTCAATGTCTTAGAGGTGTGATTGGAGCTACCTGAACTGAGACATAGTTGGGATTTTTCTTTTCAAAAATGTTAATCCTGACGTCACTGGCTAAAAAAAGACGACGGACCGAACAAATCTATCGGCGATGTGTGACAAACGAGCGAGCAAGGTAGGTTGGCGGTGTCTTCTTTTCGACACTGGAATAAATTCGACCGACTGATCTACACGAAATTTCCACTAAGTGATGGTAATGACGTTGGAATATCATCCATAGATTTGTAATTAATACATCATCTTCACTTGCGGTAATTTCCCAAATTCTTATCTTAGCACTATGACATTCGTTCAGAAGCCTGTGCCGAAAAATCCCAGCAAATGCTAATGAATGGATATCGTCCCGTCAGGCGTGACGTCAGCGATTTGTGCGTACCAAATTCATAAACTTTTTTCAGTACTTTCTTTACATAAAAGCAAGCCAAATCGGTAAGCAACCACTTCCCCGGGAAAAGACAACAATTCATTGGGCCGTTTCCGTTCAAGATGAACTATTTTATGTACATAAACCCTGCCAGTCTAGTCAAATGTACCTTTAATGGGACAAATATGTTTGGGGAAAAAAAAGTACGTCAAAATTAACTATTAGGATGACTTATGTCTACTTTAACGCAACAGAAGTTATTATGAAAGAGGGCGCTATTACAGATCTACCATCAAGCGGTTGAATGATGGGTGTGGTCGGTAATATTTTTGTAACAACTTCAGAATTTATTAAATTTGCCCTAAAATTAATCCATCCAAGGGAAAAACATAATTTTAATATTTTGACTCTTAACTTTTGTACGATTGGAAATGTTGAAGGCTTAGCATGGAATAAAGTGACTGCACAGGACTTAATCATACCAAAGGATGCTTATTAAAGCGCCTCAACTTTTCACTATTCCTTTATTCAACTGAGCAACATCTGTATCGATCCAAAATCTGGACCTGTAATTCCTTAATCAGCACGCAGAGGTCATTCAAGCCACTGGCGTCCATCTTAAGTGCTGAATACAAAAAGTAATACAAAGGATTACTTGCCGCCGCTAATTAATTTCGTTGGCGGCATGGCATCAATAGTTCCAACGCTGAGCGTGCCTACCACCGTCGCCTTTGATTCGACACGGTAGTCGGCGGTGGCTTCAGCCGGTTAAATTTAAAAGGCTTTGCAAGTCAGATTTTTTTTTCATAGATGTCTATTTTTGGTCATCACTCTCTCCACAGGAGAGAGGGCGCTATACCTACAAGACAAAACCACAATCAGAGTCGGTCTTACACTGTACAGTATTTTCTTTACTCCCAAAGCACCATATGGATGATTTGTATGACATATCAAAGTGCATATCAGACACATATTCTGATGACAACATTAACCATAATGATATAACCTGTCGTCTCCCGAACAATATATTGATACTTTGTTTTTCTGTGGAAACGGTTTATGACTCAGAAACATCAATTAGGATAAATGATATGTCCAAGCAGTGCTTGTTAATCCGAGTATGTAACACAGAACATAAATGATAAAAATAATGCTCAACACTGTCTAATTAAGGTAGTGGCCTGATTACTCCAGTCAACCATCGATGTTAACACCAGTGATGCAAAGAAAATAGAACACGCTATAATGCTGTAATGTGCAGAGGGAAATTCCCATTACATAAAAAAAGAGCGCTTCACCGATCATTTGCTTGTAACGAACATTCGTCATCATAATACTTTAAGAAGTCTGTTCTTAAATATGCCATGTGCAGATTTCATCAAGGGGTGGAGCCAAGATACTGTGACAAATGATGGCACCCCGTAGATTGCAACACAAAAGCTTTTGGGGGGAGGGGGTGTGTGGATGAGATCGCCTACTGAGGGCCCAACCTTATCCCCACAAAGCGTGACCCAAATCTCACAAAATGAGTGCCGAGCCTTTCCAAAGGCTATTTTCTCTCAGTAATATTGTATTACTTTGCATCAGCAAGAGCAAACTGAACTTATGGGCTGTAAATAAAGAACATTTTAACATTTTTTAGAGCATACCCCCCCCCGGAAACAATTTAAAATCAGTTCCGAAATACCTTTTCAGAGTCCCTGAAAGGAAAAGACCTTGGCTTTGTTGCGAGAAACATGGGTCTTTTTAAACCATAGTGCTACCAAAACCTTTGGGAGGCATGAGTAAAATGCTGAATAAATCAAGATGACTGCCTCCAAATCGTTGGAAGGTATATCAAGGTCCAAGAAAATTCCTCATGACCTTAGCTCAACTGATACATTTGCCAACTATTGCCATTACAGATAAAAGCTTGCTTCCTCCTAAAATGCACATTTCTTTGTTTGAGAACCTTTCGTAAGATACACATCTTAAACCTGAAATAAAATAAAAAATAAAGCATTTCTATTATACATTTGTTCAACAAAACACTAATTTGTCCACTTACTGTTTGTGATCTGTACACATTACGCATACATATTAAATTTACAAACAGGTCAAAAACATCGGTCTGGCCTACATGATAACAGTCGACTGATCTTGAAATAACAACACTAACGATGTCATCCACGTTGACAAACTTCTGTGAGAAGCCACACACGCTCAAATACACATGCGGAATGCACTCACAGCATCAAAACCTTAAATCCGTGTTCAAAATGACCAGGTATTTACTTCTATGAAGAATCTGTACAAAATATATCAACTGAAAGAATAAAAATCAAGGTCACTACCATAAGACATAGGCTTTATGCACAGCAGATTTCTTAGACCACGTCAATCACGTGCTTCTCGATAAATCTTTACAAAAGTTAACGTCACAGTTCACTAGACTGATGCACTATATCATAAAAAATTGATATAGAAATAAGATAAATATAAGCAGAAATCACATAAGGCCCCTTACAATTACAAGATTCAAGCACTTGATTAAATCGTCCAGGTGTTTTCTTTTATAAATCTAGAAAGTCAATAGAAAATGTACTTCCATGCAATAACACGACTTGAGTTGCTACAAAAAGGCACAATGGTACAGACTGTACAAACGCTTGCAGCTATTTCACAAATAGCTTTGAAGAGTTATAAAAATAGACGTTTTGCACTCTTAAATAAAAGCAACCACGCTGACGTCAGACTGTTGAAAGTATCTAAACTGAAGAAATTGAGGGGAGAATTCTTGCAAGTTGGAGGTGATCTAGTGCCCAGAGGTAAGCCATTCTGGGGTTAACACTTAAAAATATATCCACAACACCAGGTTGTGCAAATGTCATTTTTGCATTTGTCTATGAATTTCAGGCAAGCTGGAACGTGGTGATACAAACACCTACGACCGACGTGTTGCTCACAACGGCTGTTAACAGGTGAGAAGTGGAACAAAGATACTTGACCTTTTCCAGAGCTGGTAGTAACTCGGGTGGTCTTAACAGGTAAGCAAGAGAGGACAAGATTGAAAATGGCATGAATTGAAAATTCTGCTGGCTAGTATGTGCAATGTACATACCGCATGGCTTAAGTTCTATGGCATAGGGCATTCTTGAATCCTAAGGAACGCAAACGTAATGAGACTGCAGGGTAATATGGGACACATGAACTGAAATCAGTGCCTGATTGATAATAATACCCTCCCCACTGGACCATGAGTGACCAGAAGCAGGTTTTATTTCCCGAAGCTGAAGGGCGGCCAGGTTGCTTAGCTTTTACTGATATCTCCCAGGCTCTCTCTGTGTCTAAAATTTACTTGGCTTTGGCTTACAGTTACACGCAACTCTATGGGAAGTGGCTGAAGTCACTGTCATAGACTCGTGTGTAAAATTTCAAGCCGCAGAGAAGTAATTCAGATATGGCTGCAGTACAGGCTGCTGTATCCTGCTGGAAGCTGGCGCCAACCACGTTAGGGTTTTTTCTTTTTTGGTACTGGTGTGCCGGTGACCTCAGGGGTCAAACTCGAAATGTAGACTGCGGCAGTGTGATTAGCCAGGTCACTTGGGTCCGTACTCCGCGATGAAGGCATTCAACTGCTTCAACAGCTGCTTGTTCCGCTCCTCTGTCGCTTTCTTAGCTGCCTCCTGGAGAGGAGGGAAATAAAAGTATTGATCAAAATCATATTAAATCAATCATATTATATCAATCATATTCAATCATGACAGATGTTCCTTCCTCTGCATGCCATGTCAGGCCTTGCCTCGTCCGTCACGGAGAAACTGGTGTATTTAAAATTTCTTGGTTAGTCATACATGTACAACCCCAAATATAACAGGTATTGGCCAGAAACTGTTGGCCACAATCACTGATCCTTCGCTTGCGTGATGCCAATTTACTTTCCACAGTGTGAAATCCTGCCTGCCTATAGACAGTGGTGCTGTGTGCAGACCTGATACATGTGTGCAAATTAAGAGTAGAATACAAGGCACAACCTATTACGTTGAATGTCAAGCCAAACAACCAAGTGCAAAACTTAAAAAATGAAGAGTTCATGTCCAAAATGCGATAAGTGCCATTTTGGTACCTTTCAGAATCCGACCCTCTCTCAGTTACCTGAGGTCAGTTCCTCCTTCTCTTAGACAGCTAAAGACAACTTCGATGAGTTCAGGGACACATAGTACACTGCTAAAGTTCTTCCACATTTCATACTTGAGGAAAAATTGTATGTTTTTCAAATGGATGTATCTCACGTTGGAAACAGACCCTTCAAATAGCGATGCATGTTTTGCAGAATAAAACTGGCGTTGCATTAGTAAGAAAAAGTTGACAAAACTCTTCCTTTACTTTTGAAGGACTGTTGAGGGTATGCGGCAACGTCATTTTATACTGACCTTAAGTGTTGCTGACGGCACATAATTGAAAGATAATCTTCAAACTACAAGATGACAAAATTCATTAGAAAAGATATTCTGCTATCTTTGCAAACAATCAAGTATTGCAAGAGTACGCATCCCGTCACAATCTCACTTACTCAGGGGTCACATTACTGCTGTTTACATGCTCAGGAGCACACCTGCTTTAGCATGAGTAATGCACTCGAACACAGCCCTAGGTTTAAGCAATTAATTACCTCATTCCTGAGTTGTATCTCCAATCCTTCGCACTTGATTTTCCATTTTACCAACTTCTGTTCATACTCCTCCTGGCGAGTACGCATGTCAAGCTTCAGGGCTGCATTTTCCTCCAGCAGTTTCAGATGAGATGAGGAGATGTTGCTGGGAGGGTTTAAGGTTGCATTCTCCGGAGTCCCTGCCGTCAGGTCCACTCCCATGGAGGTGGAGTTTATCTCGGAGGTCTGAGGCTTACCGGAGCCCGGCAGGAGAGGCGACGGCAGAGGCCGCTCCAGACTTGAAAGAGCTTCCTGGTTGCTGAAGTGCAAGGTGTTTGGTGACGCCGGCGTAATGGTGGCATCGAGATCAATCTGCGAGGTGTTCTTAGAGTTCGCTTCCGAGTTGCCACACAAGTGTTCACTGCTCGATTCAAGGGTGCTGGAGTCTGACAATGAGGTATCGTCGTGGAAACCGAATGCACCATCTACACTGTAGCTGCGCTTGCCCAAACCGGTGTCAGATGGGACCTTTATCCAGTCTGAATCAAGGTCGATCAGGAGATTCTCGTAATTAACTCTGTCCTTCTTGTCTCTTGGAGCCGGAACGGGGGCGTTTGCAACTTTATCCTTGAGCTCCTTCAGTAGGTCCAGACTCTCTGGTGAAGATGTTATGTTGCGCCCCGTCTTCCTCGGGGGTGGGGTTGGACTGCTCCCTTTGGTTCGGAAGTCAATCTGGTCATTGGGTGGGAACATCTCCTCATGCTGGCGGATTAGCAGGTGCAGGAACTTCTGGCTCATGGAGGTGGTCTCCATCAGCGAAGTGGCATTCTCCAGGGGTGGCCGGAAGATGTTGGGGCCGAAGACGGTGGCCAGGTTGAGCATACTCATGCGGTTTTGGCTCTCATAGCTCTGCACATCATGCAGGAACTCGCACAGGTACTTGAGCAGGTTGTAGTTGGTGCGAGGCAAGAGTGCCAACTGTCGGATAAGCTCCTTCTTGCCCTCCTCCTCGTGGTCGCAGTAGAGCTTGATGCCGTTGTAGAAGTTCTCATAGTGCTGCCAAGGGATCAGGGGCTCGGGCAGCAGGCGGAGGTACAGCTTGAGCAGCGATGCGATGGTGTGGATGTCCGTGTTGCTGGCCTTGAAGTCGGGCTTCTCGCCGCAGTCAAATCTCTCCTGGAGCTCCTTGATCAGACTGACTCGTCCTGGCAGCCTGTGATGTGATGTCCAAGAGAAAAAGGGTTAAAACAGGTGCACGGGCTAACGGAGTCATCCAAACATGGGCCTGCCTACAATGTGCATTTTTGAGCTATTCTAAAAACTGCTAAGCATATGATTTTGCAGTTTGAACAGACGAAACTGAACACCAGCCAAAATTTCATGTGAGCTTATGGCTTTAAGACTGGTTGTCTGCTGGCAATGGTTTCTGTTGAGTGGATTTGTGGCCATTCTAAAAGCTGTTCTCACTTTGCAAAACCAGAATCAAATTTCCCAAAGCAGCTGAACAGCAAGTGTTGCGAAGCAACTTGAAACCACCACAACTCTTGGCCTGCAAAGGATGTCCAGTTATACACTGAAGAAGAGCTTAAAGATGGACAAAAAGTGCATTTATGAAAAACTCATCAAAGAAACCCTTTAAAGCAAAAGCCACCATACAAAATTTGGGCCAGTAATCTGTTGCAGCCAAGCATAAAATAATCTACACTGTACGTGTAAAATGCTACAAGCTTAGAAACACAGTGGGGGCACCAGACAGGAGCTCCAAGGATCCAACTCTTGTCCGCGCTCGGCGAGTGTTGTGAGTAGGAAACAACTCACCTGAAGATGCCTTCCTCTTGCAATCCTCGTTCCCGGAGCTGCTCCACGCATTGCTCTACAATGGACGGGATCTGTTTGGTGCTTGTGGTGCTCTCGTTAGTAATGGTGTCCAAGAGACTCTGGCCAAATATTCCTACAGAAATATGTTGCAAAGATACAACTATTTAAAGGCATTCCTTCATTGGGAAAGGGTTCCTACACTTTTTTTTAGGGGGGGAGGGGTAATATTCCATGGAATGGCTGTGCACAGAGACTTGCTGAGCACAAGAACTCTTTGCCTAGCTACAACGGGTTACCAACCAAAATGTATGCCACCTATACTGCTCGAAACTGGCTCTCAGCTGAATACAGCCAGGCATGTAAATGTAGGGAGCAATCATTTCCGCCAAACAGCTGCACAAAATTGGACACAGTTGTTTGTTGCAATCTTTTTTTCATCAAAACGTAGCTCAACTAACGTTTGCTGAGAAACTATTTCGAAGTGTGATCTCACACTGGCCTTTTTTCTTCAATGGTGTTCCTCAAATTTCCAACCACATGACATTTCTAAGCTAAACCTTATATTCTTATTTATTTTTCCAAGAATAATCCCCAAAATTCAGAACCTGAACCAAACAATACTTTCAAGCCCCAGGTGACTCAACATTGGCTGCTCAAAGCATTTTGACACTTAACCAATCAGAGAATGATTTTACACCTGATGACAAGAATTTTGCATTAAAAAGGGCATCGAAACAAAACAGGCCGTGTCATTTTTTGTTCAAGAACGTAGGCCAACCCGACAAAAACTTGTCCCCTGATCTTCCTGTTGCACCATTCCTGTCCAAACCAGCGACGGCTTGGCATCTTGCCAGGGTCCCCCTTCCCAGTGATGCAGACATGCCACCACTTCCTCACCTCCACCCTTCTGCTTGTAGATGGCCCGTCTCAACACCTGCATCCACTCATCCACCTCTTGCTGACTGGGTGCCCAGAGGAGGAATGTCTCATGGTTGGGGGTGAGTCTGCTTGGGCCATCTGAGCCTAAAGACAAACAATTAAACCAGGAAGAGTGAAAGTATTACACTTTCATGTAACATTCCTGTGCATGCTCAACTGAACACAGAGATTGGAACAATGTTTCTATGTAATCTGCTACACCCTCCAAGTCGTCCTTGAGGTAAAGAAATATGGTGTTCAAATTGGATCGAGCTGGATTAGTTTCACGGCTAAGTACGTGTAAGTTACACCAGAATATGGGAGAGGAGGCTGTTTGAGTGATCTATTTTGTGGGCGGGAGAAATAGTGGTTATCTTCTAAAACATTTAATTTTCTTATGGGACTGGTTACATGAGAGGATTCGTTGCAAAAGAGGGAAATGCTTTAACCCTGACACTCCTCAGTCCTCCAACAGGTGAAGGATTTAGGAAGGTTAGGGTTAAAGAACTAATCTGTAACAACTGGTACAGGCATGTTGTGGTCGGTGAGTGAAAAATGTTGCTGGCTTGAATGCTGTTCAACTACATCGGTTTTAACACACTGTAAATTCAAAATACGAATACACGTTCCAAATGTGTTCCACAACTGGACTGATAACTGGAGTATTCTGTCCCAAGAAGACATGACTGAGCTGAAGTGTGCCGAGTCTTGCTGTCACAGGAATATGAGATCATCAACCACAAAAGGGATGTTGAGATTGCAGTGCAGTCATCAAGTTCATCAGAAGTCAAGTCCCTAGTCCAGTCACAAGACACAGGGGATCAACAGCGATACAGGGATACCCTTGTTGTCGTAGGTCATTTAAATGGCTAACGAATGAGACTTGTTATAGGTCTGCAGGATGGACCGTGAACAAATTATGGGAGGCCTGTGGTATAAACATCATAGAAACCTATCTCTTTTTGATCTGAGTTGCCTGTTTACAAACAGATCACAACGTTTAAAACACTGAATTGAAACAACTGGGTCTTCTCAGAACGTTCCTGCTTGTAAAGGACATTAGCTTCCGTGGGTTTCCACAAACCTTCCATACTTTAATAGCTAGTGACTTAGGCTGAGACTTGTGATGTTGAATGCCTTTTGATTAACTCGTGATGGACGAGACAAGAACACTACAAATCACGTACGTGAGGGTAATCATGCCCTTCACTGGTAAATTTTCTGTACCCCGAAATGCACTGAGATTCAGAACAGGAAGGAAAAAGCAATGCATTAGACAGCTTTGTGCAAAATTACATGTACCTCAGCTTAGGCCGTGTCCAACTTACTTGGCTATGGCTTGAAATTATGCACTAGTATGTGATAGTGACTACATCCACTTCATAGAGTCATGCATAATTTCAAGCCACAGCCAAGTGATTCAGACACCGCCTTAAATCTACCGGTAGAATTGAGAAATTCTTCAATTTGGCATCTCTCAGTGAGAAAGGATAAATCTGTGACAGCATTTTAAAAAAAAATCAGGAATGGGCAAGCAACTAAGAGGTCTGTGTAAGGCTTTGCACAAGACCTTGCAAGGTTGCTCACTAATATAGGGGAAGCAAATAGGGAAATAGAAAGTATATGGGAACATGGGAAGTGAAAAAACTTCAGGAAGGAAATCAGCTAATCTAAGGAAAACTTGTACCGAATCAAACAAACTTTCAGAGCGAAAGTGTGCGTACAGCATGTATATACAGGCATGTACACGTGTGGCCCCTTAAAAAGTTTTGAGGAAGTTCTGCATGTGTCGGTCTCCATGGTTCTTCAGTGAAAGGGGGAAATTCAATTGGCCGTCTGGCCAGACAGGCTGATCAAAATCAAATGTCAGCAGATTTTTTGGGATGGATATCGGCCAATAACTGCAGTGCTCGGTGCCTCTCTGGAGTGATGGGGACGGCTGCCTGAGGATGAACGTATGCGGAAATTCTGCAGAACATTAAGTACCACTGTAAGACACGACCGACACAAAAGGACTCAAGTACGGTAAAAAGCAGGGTAATTCCGCTACTATCCAATAGTTTCATTAGGAAAGAGAAACACAATCATGTGCATACACAGATGGGTTACTTTTCCCAACTGACCCTCCTAGTCTTTGGACGGTCACAGACTGTCAAAAGTTCAGTCCACTTCCCCAGTACAGTATATGTACATGTACAGGTACATGTATACGTGTAGACATATCACCTTTCATTTGACTGATTTTAAACTGAAAGAACAGCTCTGTCCTAGTGTGTGTTTGCAGGAGTTAAAGAGGTCAGTTTATCATTAGCTTTATGAACCACAAGTTTTATCTGCCTGAACAGAACCACTAAAAACCTAAACAAGCAAAAACCAACCACAACAAACAGCTGCAACAGTATTTTGATTCATCTCCCATTTCCCTTCTCAGAAAACCCCTCCCTCCCCCCCCCAAAAAAAACCCTGAACAAAAATTCACCTGGTAGAATTTCAAACAGGAGTTTCCCCGGTTCGTCCAGATTCACCTGCCGCTTCTCCACGCGGTTGTTGCGCAGCGGTATGGAGCCCAGCGGTCGCGGGTCATCCTCCCGCAGGAAGTAGTGGAGGTACTCGCCCTGCAGGACAAAGTAGCGGCGCTGCCACGATTTGAAGGGCCCGCCCTGCTTCTTCAGCCAACCCGTGTGGGTGACGTCTTCCCGGGACAGGCTAAAGCTCCTATCGGTCATCCTGCGGTGTGGATAACTCTCCTAAACAAATTGACAGCAAAAAACAAACAAACAAACAAACAAACAAACAGAAAGAAAATGTTACTATTAAACTTATGATCAACTATTTCTGGTGATGAAATCCAGAGAATTCTAAAAAGCACCCATCAGCTTCCAAGCCGGAAGAAACCTGCAGAGAGGAGACAATGAGAAGCGGTTTCGGTTATGGAGGTTCGGTTATGGAGGTGGGCCAAAAATCCCAGAGGCATATTCAGGTAGGGACTGCAGCCAAATCCATTCAATCCGTGGGTTTGAATCCTAACAGGAATAATGACACTGATTTTCCTTGGGTATTTAGAGATTTTACAATAACTGTACATCTCTTTCCATCCAGGAGAGCAAACGGTTTAAAATTCGAAGGTAGGGAACCAAACTCCATTCAGTGAGCTTGAGCTACCAAACAGCCATCAGAAAGTGAGACTATCGGTAACTGGTTTTTATCCCACTAGGCTTCAGGGTCTGGAATCATTTTTACAATGGATCCAAACCAGACTGTGACACTCAAAACTGTGTAAAAATATTATTTTTGCTGGAGTTACATTACTGGTATATCAAGGGCTTAAATGATAGTCTGAATGCAGCCCATGTACGGCATGCCGACACCTGGAATTGGGAAATGTGTTTACAATGCACACGTATACATTCTGGTCCCTGGATGAAACCACAGTACGGGAAGGAATCTAGTCACCTACGTGTGACGTGGCACATATTGCACATGTTCACATGGCTTCCACTTGATGGTAATGCAACTGTGCATGAATACATGTACATGTATGAGTAACTTTGCCTTATATGTCACTGCAATTCCCTTTTCGCACAGTTTTGGGACTCGGAGGCGAGGTGAGTCTTCTGATGCAGAAATCAAGTGGCAGTATGTGCTTGTGGTGACTTGAGTCAAGCATCAGGACTCAATTCAAGTTGCTAAAAAATTGTGACTCAAGCCGAGTCACGATTTGAGTTCTTAAAATTCTACACTGAATTGGTAATTAGTTTTTCACACTGAAGGCATTCCATACAAACCAACATGCTTACAATCAATGTTCTCTTCCTTGGTTCCTATGAGTACACTAATATGTAGCGTTTCATTTACTTCAAAAAAAAGGTAAATACACATACCTCATTAAAGTTGACAAACAAGGTCTGGGTGCTACAAATGAACTTGTTTCTCCGGTATTGGATTTGCAAATAACTCAGACAAACTTTGGGAAATGTGGTCGGCTTTACGTCAAGATAAGTTTGGGAAATGCAGTCTAGACCAAAATAAATACATACATACATGTACTTGTATGTCGTTGTACCTTATCAGTTGCCGAGTTACAAATTACCAAAAACAATCACACAACAAACAAAAACTAACAGCAAAACAGGAAACCAGGTTTAAAGCACTGACTGACTCAAACAAAAGTAATGTATGACTGTGACTGAAGAGTGTGCAATGTATTAGGGAAAACCTAAAGCCAGGCTGAATAATTGTAAGAATCCTGCCCACGTGAATGCATGCCAACGAGACCTTCAGCCAACCAACCGGGACAGGAAAAACCCTGTAAGAACCGGGGGTCATCCACTCGGCAGGGTTAAAATTAGATGAAATGTGGTTCAGCTGTGAAGCATTTCTGACTCTACTGGGGAAGGGGGCTTGTCCGGGAAATGAAGCCCATGCAAAGGCCAAGTTTGCTATGAAATGGACAATAATTCATAACTTAATTAGAAGGCTATGGATGGACTAGTGTACAAGGCAGACAGAACAGATGTTGGCACAACGTGTAGGAAAAATGAAAAGAAAAAAGTCAACATACAATGTACCAGGTACAGTTGCATTTGATTGTGCAAAAGTTTTGAGGGATGAAGTTACATGTATTTTGGAAAAATGCTGTTTGGGCGGTCTACATTTAAAAAGACACACTTTGCATTTATGACCTTAAACTACACCTAAACAATTTTTAGTTTATTTTGGGTTAAAAAAGGAGTTACCTACCATGTCAAAACGGGTACTGGAAGCCAACTGCATGATCTAGAATAAGTTTAAATGTGTGATTTCTGAGCCATTCATATACATGTATAATTAAATTACAATTACGTTGGCTAAGGCCAAACAAAATCATGGTTGTGCTTCTGTTACACGCCCTAACTTTCTAAATTGCACTAACCCTAAATCTTTTTATTGAAACAGAAATAAAAATACTGTTGCGGACCCTCATGCTTATTTCAGGGCTGTGAAATGTCTGATTTTTTGTTAAATATGCCCAATTTCATTTTCCACTTTTTCGGCCTCGTTTTTCTTTCGTGCACAGGTGACGATATTTCCGTTTCTTTTTCTACCAACGCAATATGACGGCCAGGTGAAACTTTGCACGCCCTCGTTTGGACACCGAACAGTACTGGAGCTCTGTAATGAACGTGACTGAATCTTCTGTACGTGCAGTACCGGGATACAAGTGAACAGTGAAAGGTACATGTATCTGTGCAGTTCGAAGCGCAAGCCTTGTGTACGAACAGCATCCTGGGACCATCAGGTCATTTTGTTATGATTGGCAGCCAAAGAAACATAAATATTCATATATTTGGGACTCATTACAGCTGTTCTTGCGTGAATGGAAGTATTGACTAACAATGTCCACAATAAACTTGCGGTAGCACACATTTCACTGTGAATTTATGGCCTGAAATAAGGTTAATGCATTTTCGCTTTCGCTGATAGAGGGTTTCACGACAACTGGCGTGGGAAAAATTTCGCACCCTAAAATTTTTGATCCAAAAACTTTAGAAGGAATCAAAATAAAGATACTACCCACCTACCATACTCAACATATTTTTGTTTGCTGTAAGGGCACCCTTTTTATATTCTATGTTTCTCATTTCCGACCGACCCTATTTTGGGCTATTTTTCCCTGCCAACCCTGCTAAAAAGACCTAAACCCAAAAAACTGAAGGGAAAAAATTGGCCAGCATGACCTTTGAAAACAAAAGCCCTGAAAACTAACGATTTCGCAAACGACCAACAGTGACGGTCTGCGTTTGCGTGAACATTCGGTTTACCGCACCTTTGCATGGCCCACTTGGGTTCGTGCACAGCCCTACACCAGCAACATGGAATTTTTTTTTTTAATGATTTTTTTCCCAACCGAACGACCTTATCTCAAGTGGTAAAAAAAAAAAATGACAACCATAGAATTTAATAAGGGCGCTCTATTATGCCCAGGCATTGCATACACAACACATATTTGTAACAAACTCAATTACATCTACATGTACAGGTATATGTACATGTGAGTGGTGGAGTACATTTCGAAGAAAGTGATATTTATTTTTCTAACACCCAAAAATAAATAGGGAAAAAATCCAGGGGCAAATTCATTATACAGATTCCACTAAAGGACACAACTTGGCAAATTAAAACCTGTCCCTGTCATGGGTCACATTCAAGAATGACAGAAACCAATTGCAAAAGCAGCAATGCTGCAAACAATGAAGGGAGGAATACGAAACGCAGTACACACAGGGGTACATGTACATGTACCGGTACATCTACATGCCCGATTTATTGGAATCTCGTGCATACACAAAACTATCAAGTGCTTTTCACCTTGACAGTTGCGTAAAGTGCACTTCGTACACAATATTCGTACAGGCAAAAAAAATATCATCCTGAATCATGTACCGAATAAGTGTAAGTGCGTGTTACACTTGTTGTCCATGTAACTCCTTAATCCTGCATGTAGGTGAACATGTACTTGTGGCAGAAGCCAGTTGTGATTTCTTTCATTAAAGGCAGGATACAGCTGTCAGGAAGTTTTGGTGGACTGGGCACAAAACATGACCACCGTGGCACAAAGCCAATTGCCCCTGCAACATCCACAGATTTCTGCAGAAAGGACCCAAGATCATTTGAAAATATATACATGTACAGAAATCCCATCCTGTCACCGCAAATTCCAGGAACACAAAGTTTGACTGCTGGTTAGAGCAGGATGTTTAAAAACCAGTATGAAATTTCATCATTCTTTGTAGCAAATTATAATTTTTTTTTTTTGGTGCAGCGGGAGGAGAATAAGCTGCAGAAAGAGAAAAACTCTGCTGAAGAAAAGCTTCACATACATGTACATGCCACATACATGTACACGTATAAACCAATCACTGGATTCATCTGCAGATTGGAAAGTTGCCGCGATATCAAGGTGTCCTGAATTCTGCACCAAGACCTGGGCTAAACACGTAATTTTACTATGCTAAGTGCCAACACTACGAAGAATGGAAAATGGAAGACACACGTCTCCTAGACCCATTCATTACTATTAGCCAAATTTTATTTAAACATCTGTGTGCCTTTAGAAGCATCTTCATACTGCCTGTCATTTGTTTGTGCCCCTCAGCCAAAGTGTGGATACAGTTTGCGTTTATCTCCATCCAAAAATGGTTTCATGTATGAAATCATGTGAGATGTTCTGTTCATGATCTTACATGTACCTTCAACAAGATAACCTTAATTTTCACAAAGTGGTTACCGATTAATCAAACGGGCAAATTTAACTGAGTGAAGAACGCAATGATCAACTGAATATTAAAGTCGACGACCTGTGATACACCAGGGACTACATGCAAATGATGTACATGTACGTGTACCGGTAGCTTGGAAATTAAGGCTGCATCCGAATCTGTTGTCTAGAGCTAGGTCTAGGTCTTCCCTCCATTTGAAATGTGGGGAGATGCGTAGACAATAGACCTAGCCGTAGCTCTGGAAGCCCGTTTCGGACATGGCCTAAACTATGTGTCTATACAAAATGTGCCACTGAGTTCCTGCACAGTGGAGGTTTCAAGGAAGACTACGAGTGACAAAATACATGTACTAACAAGTAGGAAGTTACGGTTAATGCTCCCATGGAGAAATTTTAAAAAAAAATATAGCCCAGAGGGAATGATTCTATGGGCTGCTTTGTGGAAGTCTTTTCTTCAAGCAAGGTTTCCCCTCGATATTTTGCTTGGTTAAACTTCTGGGAGATCGTGTCAAAGCATCCAATCAACCTGTCATGAGCCTCTTTGACAAGCTGTGACAAAGTATATACAGCAGTTGCAATGCTGCCTAAAATAGCCAAGTCAAAGCACTTTTCAACCAGTGTATAACTTACAAGTTTTAACCAACTCTTTTGGCTGAGGAGTACAGACATTTCTAGGGCCAGTGGTACTTGTACAAGTATCAATAATTATAAAGATATTTCTATGGACATGGTCAATACATGTACACTGTACATGTATGTACTGTATAAATACATGTTACTTGCTTAGACATGTACCAACACATGTACAGGTAGGTCTACAGTACATGTAAAACGATGTACCTTTCTGTGTTTGCACTAATAATATTACTTTGGCTTTGCGTCGGAATTTTAATTTTTCATTCGGTTTGTCCTTACCATGGAGGAAGGTTCCCATGTCCTCACACCGATGTGCACACACACATATTCACACTGTATTCTCAGTTTGGTCCAACCAGTTGTGATATATCAAAAGCTTGCACAAGTGGGATTCAAACCCAGAATTTCCAGCTCACCAAATGCAAACATCATTGCAATGAAACTCACACAAGAAGCCTGCATTAGTGCGCAGGAAGTCGTGGGTTCGACGCCCGCCCAAGCCTGCAACTTATGAGTATTTCAGAACTCTTGGAGCACACTGAGAATACGGTGTGATGCATGTTGGTGTGGCTAACGGCAAACCCCAAGTATAAAATGTATGAATTTCTCAGTTATTTTGTGACATAGCAGTATGATGTAACATGCATTTTCAAAGCATAAAATGCTTTGTCCTTTCCCCCTGCATTTAATTATATATGTACTTAGTAAAATGAACTTTCAGACTGCAAGCCAGAAGCATAAAGAAATGTACATGCACGACACTTGTGGGTACAAGAGCGTTGCAAGACGGAAGTCAGTTTGCGTAATAAGTCTTGAGAAATGAACTGCACGTGTGTGGAGATTCGAAATAGTGATTGATGTACATGGTACACGTACTTCAGGCCCTCGTACATGTATCCCAATGACAAGTACATGTAATGAGTTCAAAATTTGAGTCTGTTCACGGCTGAGATCATGCCGAGATTGAGTCAAAGCCAAATTGTCCATCTTGACTCATGCCTGAATCGGAGCTGTAAGAACCGAGTGGCTGGATTCAGGTACAACGACACAAGTACATTGTTCACTGGTTGTACCAACGGTACATGTTTGCACATGCTCATGTACACTACAGGAAGTTCCCTTCAACATTGCAATGGTTATGGATAAAACAATACGGAAGTTGAGAAACTGTGATTGTGCATGCTCATACGTGTATGTGATACACATATGATTTGCTGTGTACAAAAATCATCAAATGTGGCCATATCTACGTGTACAGGCCTAATCTGCAGATTCAGGTACAGGTGTAAGACAGAAAGCAAAAAAAAGGGCAGCGACCAGCCTAGATCAAGAAACCAACCTTGTGCCTGCGAGAGCTTCGTAAGTGGTGCCCGTGTCGCACCTGCGGGGCCAGGCCGAGGCTGTTCAGTGTCATGCTGCGCACTTTGGTTTGTATGTTCCCTGTCTCGTCGCTGCGCTGCCGCCGGTGGGTATACTTGGCGGTGCGGGATGTCTTGACACGTTCCATCGTGGCAATATGGTGTTCCTTGGGGCGCGAGGGCTTGGCGTAGAAGCTACGTCGAGATGAATTGCGTCTAGCCAGCATGTCTTTGGTGGGACTGCCCTTGGGGTTCTCGGCTGATGTGTACAGTTGTCACCCCCCCTCCTTGGTGGCCTTCCTCGCTAGCTCTCTCGTGTGCCTGAGAGCAAACTCTGCTGAGGCATCCCGTGCGGATGTGGGCCAGGAAGTCCTAATCAGCCTTGTCGACCTTTTTTTTTTATTCTGACGAGGGTGAAGTGTATGGGCAACGGGTCCCCAGGGAGCTACATTTAGTAGCTGACTTCAGAGGGTCTTTGCTACTGTTTAATGAGGTGTTTCCCTTTGCAATGACTCCCCTACTGTGAATACAAATGCCGAGCTTGTCTCTGTCCATTCATGTTTAGAGAGGAAAAGTTTGCAGCTGTATGGGCCCCTTCAAGACCTGTGGGCACCCACTCATCGGATGGCGTGGCTAGGATGGTGATGACGCATAGACACTGGGAGTGTGAACCCTCAGCACGAGACCAACACAATGTGGTAGCCCAACCACATGGCCATGGACATTTCATGTCACTGTGCTGTCAACAGGTGGGAACCAGTCCTATCTCAGCATACACGTGAAAAACCAAGAACTGTCACTTTCCTGACGATTATGACAATGACCAGACTGCTTTTTTGAAAGAAACAGTCATGCACTGGATGATAGGCAAACGAAATGGACACGCACATCTTGGTACAATTTTAACAGCTTTGAAATCCAGTTCGGAGACAGCAATGCGGAGGCCATTTACACAGACATCTGAACACTGGAGAAAGTCTCTGGCAAGACCATTCAGGTACAGTACAAGTACAAACTTGCTACACAAATGTAAACGGCTAACATGAAGTGTACATGTACACGTGTGGGGAGGTCTGTGGACTATGTGCAGCAATGAAGAATACCAGTCTCATGAAGCTGAGCCATGGAGACAAACCCTTGCTACCCTACAGGTACATGGTCATGGGAAAGTTGGGTGCAAAGAAAAAAGCGAAAAACCAAACCAAACCAAACAAAAAGCCAAGATATCAACAGAAAAATGGGGGGAGGGAGGAGAAAAGGAAGCACATCTAATCCTAATCTCCATTTTCATTTCTTTTAAAGCCAGCGTTTTTTCCTGTTCTCAACCAGTAATTTTCTTGTTCTACATCTGTACAGTACTTGTTCAGGTTTTAACTCTACTTAAGTCCCCTCCCGTGCCCCCCTCCCCTTTTGTGAATGCTGGATCCACCTGACCTCCAATGTCATATGCTATGTACCGGTATGCTCACCCAGTGCTGCCGGTGTATCAATTTAATTAACACACAGGGTTGCATACTGTGGCACCTAACAGGGTGAACCATGAGAGCCCATAGCAGATGGAGAAAGAATCACAGGCAGGCGCTTCAGCTCAGTTTGCTAGCCATACTCATGTTATGGTCCCGTCTCTACACGTGTACGACTACGGTTTCAAATTTTGAAACTATTTTTTAAATCAAAAAAACCCAGTTGCAAGAATATCATAATTTTGATAACAGGAAGAGCAGAAATCAACAAATTGCCACTGCTTGAAAAAGGATACTGCATACTTGATTACATAAGATCACTAAATAACCAAACAATTCCATGGGACATCTCGTTTTCATCACAAAAGCTCGCTAGCGTTCAGTGTACGACCCTGAACAATAAGCAAAACTAAGTTGAAGAAGGAAACAAATATCATGAACTGAATGTGGCAAGTGCAGTGCTAATGCAAAAATATCCTCCTTGGATTGTACAACCGATGTGTGGCTTAACCTGACACCTTCAGTTAACCTACATGTCTGCTAAAGAGCTCTCGTTTGAGGACACAACTTCAAGGCTTATAAACTTACGTACATGTACATGATGTGTACGATTCACAAATCGGGTCCACAGGAACATGGAGTTGGCTTTGGGATGCTAGAGCTGTGCCCTCAAAATGGAGCTAATGTGCCCGTTCCTTATAGGTTACCTTTGCAACCAATACACTGTTCCGGCACAATGCTAAAGCTGTAGGCTCTTGATGCTCCGAACTACTGCATTGTTTTGTTCGATGAGGGATAGATGATGCTTCATGTACACGTATATGATGCTGACACGTCCGTGAACAAATTAAGCTGAATACCGGTACAGTACACAATGCGTACGTACATGTACAGTATGTACATGTACATATCGCCTCTTCTTCCTGAATTGGCAATCAGCACCAATTTTAAAGAAATCTATGATACTGGTTTTTGAATTTCCCGTATCAACTTTCAATTCCACAAACAAACAGGTACATGTACTCTGCTACCGGAATCACACTTGATGATGATTACTGCCTTACATGTACGGTACCCTGACTAGGGTAGTGTTTTATTCCTCTGTGGTACAATGTACATGTACATGTTGTATCTCCAATAATACAGATGGTGAAGCTTTTACATGCATATTAACTTTGCAACCCAAGCTGCTACCGATAGATTCTGGGAAAGATGATCGTGAACAGGAAAGACAAAGATTGATGACTTTTGGTTATGAAATTAAAAAGGGCTATGTCATAGGATTGTTATTTGAAGGAAAGATCACACCTACCTACAGTGTACACGTACACAGGGGCAAACGAGTAGCAAATAAGACAAAACACATGCCGTTGTTTTATGGAAGAGATGTATGCTGATAATCTCCAAAGAATAACTGGAAATTCATCACACCTCCAGACAAAAATCGTAACGACACAAAAATGCATACATTTAAATATGGTGCAAAGCCTCATGCACTCTCAAATGTACGTGTACATCATACACGCATACACCTGTAGGTACACTCAGTTACATGTACATTCACGTGTACACACAACCATCATTTCAAGAATGAAATTATTTGAAATATATTTTTTTACATCTTGATGAATTATTTGAAATCATGAAACACACTTGTAGGTTCCAAGATTGTCCCACATGCGAAATGTACATGTACTGGTACTTTGACCCAAAGTTGTGCTTTGTTTGCTTGGTATTTGCATGCTGAGCGTAGTTTTTTGCATAAAAAGCGCGAACCAAAAAGGATTATGGGGCGATTTTGGACACATGAAAGGACACGGCAGAAAATGGGCAAAACTATGATCAATTTGGGATCTGAAACCGTCTTTTATCTAATGACAATGATTGGAAATGGAGCTCATTGCACTGTGAATGTTTGATAAGATGCCTTTTTGAAGAACTGTCTTGTAATAAATGTTTTCTTTTGCTGAAATTGCTGTGAAGCTGAGTGTTATTGTCTCCCTCAAGAGCTTGACTCTAGGTCCAGGCTACTGTGTATATCGCAGGACAAACTGAGTAATTCCGATCGTTGCATTTGAGTACGAAGACTAAGAATAAAATAAGATTCAAACAATTGAGAACGGTAAACATTACAACACTTTTCATGAATGAATAACAGTTTCTCTGGAATGGACAGCAAAGCCCCTTTTTTATGTCATCATCAGGGCATCTGCAGGCAAGTGCGTTTCCATAAAGGCCACTCGAGTCTACCATAGTGTCTGCTTCTGTATCTTCCAGAAGAGCACCCACAAAGGTTGTCTGTGGTCTTCCTCGGTTCTGTGACCACACTTCGACCGCCTGAGGAACATTTTACAAGCAAACCCCTTGAGGTCACATGTGCTTGAAACAAAAAGAGTTCCTACATGTAAATCCAACAGTAAAATGCTACCCGTGCGGTTACATGTAAGTCTCACGTTGAACCTGAACTTCTGATGGCACTTTGATCTGGTGGCTACCACTGTGTGCCATGGCCGTTTTCCAGTACTCAACTTCGGCTCCATCTGTCTCAGGCTTCACCTGTTTTTTAACTACATGTAGCTGACTTTGAAGCTGTAAGCGCAGTAATTAGTCTAATAGTGCCACAAAACATCAAATAAGATGCAAGAGAGCCAGAAATTACAGTAATCCAATTTAATTTAGACGCTTCAGGCCCACAATCGGGGATTGGTTTTGGGAATGAAGCCTGAGACGGAGCCCAAGTCAAGTATTGGAAAAGGGCCCATGACAAGCAGACCTGATCACTAAACAGCAATGCCCTTGGAACTCAAGTAGCTACATAAATTGTGAAGTAAAAATAGACAGCACGGTGCCTCAATATTTTTCTCCTAATTATTAACATGTTACATGTATGTCTGTGGAGACCACACGGGGAGGGGGCAATACAAAAATAAAATGGGTTGAGGTGTCAGTAGCCCAAAATCTGCAATACATCCACACGGTCAGTCAGAAACGAGAACCGTAAACTTCTACAAGTAGGCTACATGCCCTGTTTACTTTGACACAAGTACGGTATCAGAAACGTGAACATGCACGGTGTACATGTATGTCGGGGTGAATAATTTCAAACTTCCTTGATGACACAGTATTTAGAAATACATGCACATGTAGGTATAATAACTTTCATTCCATGAACATGTAAACCATTTTGTTTTCAACTGATGAACAGAGTGCAGTAAACTATACAGTGATGACAGGAATGAGTCTGCAGCAGCCTCTGCCACTGGTTGTGACAGCAACTCTGGGGATTTTGAGACATTCTGGAAAATGCTTTTTAAAACACCCAGGGAACTAAAAAAATGAGAAATGAATCTCTATTGCACAAACTTGGAAAGATATGCAAAGATTTTGAAAAGAGTATTGCACTTTCTTTGAGACGTGACAGTTTCGACAGAGAAAAGTTTTGGAAACCAGGGCACAGATGTTTACAAACAGTGTCACATTGGTGTACTGTCTCGATTTAGTGTTTTATTTTGGTTTGTTTTGAGAAAAAAAAAGAAGCAAACAAATGCCTTCTATGGTAATATACATGAACGCACTGCGAGAGTTCAAAAGTGCCTTTAGTTTTCCCAACCACAAGAGGTATGTAATGTACATGTATGCAGGGATATATCAAATATGTTACAAATGTGTTTGTGTGTACATTACACGCTCCTAATTACATAGTTAACAGGTTAAATGAGATGCATTTAAATGTAAGTTTGGTTTTGGAAATCAGAGGCCTGGAAAGTCAATAAGCAACCACATTATGTACAGTGTACATGTCTCTTAGTTTTTGTAGATCTACACATCAATACCAACATTTGACCGGATCCCAATACTGAGTTTTAAGGCCATCATCCGTATAATGTTGTTTTTAGTTTATTAATAGAAAGAGCAAACTGGCAGCACTTTGTTCTGATGTATCATTCATGCATGCTCATGAGTGTGACGTTATGCAGTGAAATATGTATGTAGAAGATTCCTACTGACTGACACTTTGTAAGCAAGATTCTTTCACAGACCTTTCACTCAAAGCCTGTGACACACAGCAGAGTAGCAGAGTGTGCGACAAATATCAAAACCAAACATTCACTCTCATGTAATACATACTCATTTCAAGTACATTTCAAGACAACACCTAGAACTGTGCTGTGTTAAAGATGCCAAGTTTAAATTGGGTGTGCATTTGTTTATAATGAAAGGAACACAGTTAGTTTTGCTGTCCTGATGTACATGTACATGTGTAATTTCTAAATTGTTTACATGTAGGAAAGAGCATGTAACAATTCTGTAACCGATACTTCAGTACTACAGTCGTTGGAAGCAAACTTAGGCAACTGCCCAGAACCCCGCCCCCCTTATTTTCTACAGCTACATGTAACATTGACCCAACTTTTTCTGAAACGTTTAGATCAAAAAGACCACCGACCGTCAAGGCTATTTTTGCTATTAGTCGACAAACTCCTGCAAGGCACACTTGATGGAGGGAGCTTTAATTTCCATTGTTTTGTTTGAATTTAGCCCCATAACCTGCATGTACATGTATGTCAGTGTATGTATGTACATGCACATGCATGGCGACTGTACTGCTTCTTGTTGATATGGGTTTGCATAACGCAGCCTCGTACAAAAATGTCTCCTTCAGACTAATTTGTGACACAAAAATGTGCATCTCTTGCAAATGACTCAATGCCACACTGGGCACCGTAACTTACACACCCGTACTGCAGGAAAAGGTCTCTCTTTAACTCAGTGGCGGTATGTCTGATTTCAGGAAACTGCAGATGGTCCCATTTAACTCTACAGACACAGTAATATTGCGACTATGTGTGTTTCCTCAATGTACATAATGTACATACATATGCATGTATAATCAACCACCAAAATAGCATTTACATTACAGGAACACACTGTCTTCTGGAAATCACACCTTCTTATGTTCTGTGTGATGGAACAATCAATTTAAAGAATCAGTATATGTGCACAATGTACAAGTAGTTGTATCACATCTTCACCTACATAGATGTTATTCCAGCTCCAAATATCTAGTGGCTGTACTTACACACGGATTCATCTTCCATTTATCCTCTCTGGGGCTCAAGTCCACATCATTAAAACTTAGGTTTAACTATTGAAATTTCATTCCCTGTTTGGGCAAGTGCATGGATGTAAATATTGTTATGCATTCTGGATACCACAGTCTGGCCACTATCGCTATGCGAGCCACGGTAAACCAATCTGGCACTACATGCAGTGATGAATTTGGGCAGCTTCTGGACAAGTCCCACCATGCGTAGCACTGCCATGACCCGGGCCAACCTGCCCAGGCCAACAGTATTCTTCAGGAAGAAGCTTACCCGGAGCTCACTGCTTGAAGTTGCCAACAAATCTGTTATTCTGCTCTTCCTGGGTTCATCCAAAAAAGATCTTCAACCCTCAACAATTTGTTGCTCAGTTCTGCAGACAAAATTTGTACAAAGAAAACAGAGTGAGTATCATGTATGAAATGCGAACTTCCACTGGTGAAGAACCGCCCTTTCCCCAATTTTTTTTTGGGGGGGGGTTGGCCAGATGATCAGGAAGTTTTTCTCTTTTTTTTAGCAACCCTGGAACGCGGCTTTGATTACGATTCACACGTAATATCTGCCACAGATCTTTGTGGTTACGAGAATGACCCATACAGGATACAACCAAAATGAAAAAAAAAGTTAAACAAAACGATATTTGGGTAAACAGTCATAACTGAGAAGTCTTTCTGAGCTGCATGGAAGATGCTAGAGGAAGTTTTCAGTCTCTGCTTTTAAGAGTACATATTTAGAGTTTCACCTTGAAGGGTCAGCAAATTCTTTCTTCCTTCAGACCTTGCCCTAATTTTTTATTTTTTTGGGGGGGGAAGGGATGTTAATGAGGAAAGGGGTGCTCAGTGCTACTGTACCTAGGGTGGATGGCAAAAGCACTATCTTTGACTCCTCTTTAAACTTGTTGGTGTTTACGAAACTTAAAAATTATAGAGGCTGGATGTGGAACTCCTTCCTAGATGCCTAGTCAACCCTGTCCGTGTTAGTGGGCAAATAGTGGGTACGGAGCAGAAAGTATTATGTGACCTGTGAAATGAGTCTTTAAATGGCAAATTTTGTTTTAGTAATGCAATGGCTATTGTTATGGAAGTGTAGACAGGTTTCTGTCTACCTTTTTGTACCAGTCGTGCTCATTGGAAACAGGAACAAGACCAGTTTACAACAAATGGATCTCAGACTTTATTTCCCCTTAAAAATTCCTCTAGGGTATGAATCTACCAAAAAAGAAAAGAAACTTATGTATAAAAAGTAAACGTGATCTGATTGAGAAAATAAACATTATGGGAGAAAAAAATTGGAAATAATCTCCCATCGAGAGAACTTAATCCTACACGCAGTATCTAAGGATTTCAGAACAATACGCATACCCACTGGGCTATCGCAATGCCATGACGGTAACGGGAAACTAAAGCCTTACATACATTGCTAATCAAAACTGTGCAATGAACTATAAAATATAGAAGTCGCATTACTGGTTTCTGTGACTTCAGCCACTTCCTTTCAGCAAACCCGTTCTGGTTTTGATTAGACAGAGCAAACTGAAGTATTTGCTTTACTACTACACATTGTGCATCATTTGGTCTGGCATAATGAGGAAAATGGGTATTACACGGTGGACTACATGTAGGGCCAATATATGAAAGGTTCATGTTAAGTCACAATGTGCAAAATTCCAGGCCTTAAGCTCAAAAGTGGCCCAGGTGACTTGTGACTCATTTTGTTGGGTTGGGTCAGTACTCACTTCAATTTAGACAGGCATAACAGCTACAGGTGAAAGCTTGCACTATTGCAGATATGTACATGTACATGAACTTGCATGGAACTTTCCTCTGTATATACATGTATCTACTTCTCCATGTGCTAAACATCCAAGTTTAGAAGAAGTTTCTAGTTTAAAAAATAGAAATGCTTTACTTTACCATGGAAATGAACTTCTATTTTTTCAGAGTGTAGTGCTGAACACATAAATGACACGTAAATACTAACTCACTATGCAAAGTGATGCCTGCTTGGCGCATCCAAGTTCGCGCACAAACCTGAGGAAAACTTGAAATTTTGTACGACTTTCGTTTGGCTATCTGCATTATGACACAAAAAGTGACATGACTGATGACTGAATGATGAGTGGCCTGTCTGATTATACAGTCACTGACAGTAGGCTCCTATGGTCCTATCACTAAGTATTACACATGACAGATTCATATTTCATAATCCTAATTTGGAGTAGGCCTACATGTATTTGTTATACTTATAGGCCTAGTCTGTGACAAACTATAATTTAGGCCTACTTTACTTCCTCCAATGATAGGTAGATTCAGCGGTGACAAGAATGATATTGTCTTTTTATTGATATCGACAATGGTGATCACTTGTCGACCACTGTCAACATGGTCGACGATGGGCATGACACTGAGAACATGCTGAAAATCTAGGCTAGACTATTCCTTCCTCCACTGCTCTAGACATTGCTAGAGATTGCAAAAAACTATCAATCGGTGGGTGTCGATTACTGGTTAAGAACTAATTACTTACCGACATTTTTGCTGAAAACCCTTTAATTCCGTCTTGTTACACTTTGTGTAGGTGATCAGAGTATTTTTTTTACAATGATATTACAAAATGATGAGGAGCACAGCACGGTCCACTTAGGACAGTTTACTTCCGCAATTGCAAGAGCACTCGAGTTTCGAGCCCGCTGAGCGAAATGATAGACGTACAATTACATTGTTCCTTATCTCCCGGCCCGACGTCCCTTGTGCATGCCCTTTAACGTACGTGGGCCGGGCCTTGTCTTCCATGTCCTATCAACTGGCTGCGACTTAGAGTAACTAGCGTGTCTATGGGAAGCGGATGTTCTAGTCGCGCAAGTGTTAGTCTAAGCCGTAGTCATAACTGCGGGACGGCTATTAATAGACTGGTATTCTTTCCATTATAATTTTTCTGGGGCGAACAGGATTCAGTAAGTTAATGAGTAAAAAAAAATTATTAATGGAACAATAAGTCACAAATTTCCCTTTTCAGTTCACATGTGTTTTGCCTTCCTAAAACATTGTTTTCATTTTATCTGGGCACGAACATGCTCTTGTTAAGCCGAAAAAAGTGTACGTTGTGGTGAAATTTCTAAATATCGCAATTAAGTTGAAAGAGTAGCATATTAACCAAGAACTTGCAATGCAACTTCAATGGTTTTCCCCTTTCCCAACTTTTGTATCCTCATTGAGGGAAGGAAACCAGTTTATCTTGGGAACGTTTACGTATGGAGTTATTTTATTTGTGGCTACAGTTGGGGTTTAATGAATTTAATTCTTCATTTGTGAATATTCCGCACAATACAGCTCTTTATGTTCTATTACACAAATACAAAATTGCCTAATTTGAGATATTTTGATTACATCCTTGCGATAAACTTTGAAATAATGAGAAGGCCGCGCGAAATTAGTCCGTTTGAAAAAGGTCTAATTTGATGTTACCTGTTGTGTTGTTCCATTTTGTTCGGGTACAAGGACAATAAAAATTCTTTCAAAAGCATGTTATTAATCATCAAAACACAGGTAACAAACTAAAAATTAGAATTATTTAACACAATCCTAATTCAAAATATCTATTAATTTTGCTTTAAATGGATAAGATATCAATTAATGTTGTTTATATTTCAGTGGAACCCCTCATGGTGAAGTGGACGTGCCTAATGGCTGCTGACGTTCTTTGAAACGTACGTATTGTTTACACCAAAGGTTTACAACCACCTGTATTACCACGTCGTGAACGTACGCTGGCGATAGCGAGAAGATGTAAAATTTTGCGTGCCAACATGCCCCGCCTGCTGAATAATAATTTTGGACAAGTCACTGGCACTATGACAGTAATGCCCGAGTTTCATTTGATGACCTAATCTGCCCAGAAAAAGGTGAGAGAATCACTTACTGACTTAGCAGTTCGGCCAAATTTGTACAATGGTTAGGTCTCAGAATGCACATGATGCAGCTGTACGGGCGAGGACCCTTTCTTGGGTGGGAGGCCATGATGTATATAGGCGTAGGTCAGAGTGCAGAATAAGATGTATGATGGAGGACCCTATCCCCAACATACCCTAGAACTTACATGACATGGTGAGGGGTAGTTCCTGGAGTAGGGTCATGAGGATGGGGCATACATATACCCCCAGAACTGTGCCGTGTGGGTATGCATATGGTGGAGGTAGATATGGGAATGAGAGAGTGGTAGGCCTACTTCGATAACTTGAAGTTACTCTGTGATACTCCATTTGACTACGAGGAAACAAGGTTTACATGGCGTCGTAATGCTATAGTATGGGGTTTTGGAATCAAATGTTTGTGGTGAAACGGTTTACAGTCCTAAGAAAGCTATTAAACCAAATTTTCCCTTGTCAGTATATATCTTCTGTTTGATCTTAGCCCCACTACTTGTGTGGCACGGACTCTCACTCCCGATCTAGCCCCACTAGTGTGGCACGGATCACTCCCGATTTATCCTTAGCCACACATCCGTCTACGCAATTTCGTGTCGGTGTATTGAACATTTCAGCGCACCCACTTATCATCGTGGGTGCAATTTCTTTTGCACACGAACATGATTCTTGACCTTGCCGCTTTCTAAAAACCATTTATTGAATGATTTCGCTCACGTTATTCAGGTATTTTCCAGTCTTTTTTCCTTTATCCATTCAATCTAATGGGCTCGCTCTCTCAGTCGCCATCTTTAAAGTAAGGTCGTTGAGCATTACGTCACTTGACCCCTCATCGTCTCGACGGCTGTTCCATGTCAAGATAACTAAACTGCTGCCAAAGTTTTGGAAGAGCCCACTGGTACATGTAGTATCTTATCGCTCAGTCCGTGTATTACATGTGTCTTGACATGGAACAGCACACAAAATATGTGGGTATTTGCCAGTTGTCAGTGTGATTGTGTCTGTTAATTTGGTGAAAAATTTGTCTGAAAAATATGAAAAAAACACTCAAGATTAAAAAGAAAAAAATTCTTGAATAACCTGGGCGGGTGGTAATGTGAACCTGAAAATTAGTTTTAAATGGCCTCACCAGTTACCACATACTTTTTTTCCTGTGCTGCTTCACAAAATAAATTGACAAATAAACAAAATAAATTGACAATAATAAGAATTATTATAATAAGGTCAGTTGCAACATGGCCAGTGTCCACTTGTATCAGTTCACATTTTTCTGGGGTCACATCTAGCCCTGAGGATTTATCACGAGGTAAACTGTTGGGGTATGCTAGTCAAATACAAACATTATGAATTGCACTAACAAATCAACAATATTGAGACCAAAATTTTACAGGAGGAAAAATCCTGAGGCTGCCTTATTTGTGTTTTAAAGTTAATGCTTGTTATGTGAGGACTGAGGATGTATGAGGAATGTCAGGGCCAATAGTGACCAGTAGAAATAAGTAGAAAATAAGAGTATTTCTTTTCCCCCTTAAATGGGAGTTGAATTAAGATAAGAATTAAGAAGTAGTCAGTAAAATTGCCCTAGTATTGGGCTGTCCTTTATCCCTCATGTGAGCTCGCTTTTGCAAAGCTGCACCTCTGGTTGAGGATATTCATGTTCATGTACGGTACAAGTACTGCACATGCACATGCATCTCCCCTTGGAGGATTTTATACAGTTTAAAAGCGTTTGTCCCAGTGCAGTTCCCTCTGTCCTCTTATTGTTATTTGGGACATTTTCTATTTGTCCTGTTTTCCATTCACCCATGACTTTAGCCCTCATCTGCATGCCTTTAAACCTATCCCCAAATGTTCACCTTCTGGGTTGTTTGTTTTTGTCCTACGTGTATATCACCAGAGGACGATCTCTTTGTGAAGGAAAAATTAAGTCCGACTTTTGCCCCGTTTGGACTCATCGCTCTGTAAAATAGGCATTTACGGGCTGCAAGTTTAGTAAGGGTTCCATCAAGGACTGCAATATCACAATCTACATATTTTCTGTCCAGTCTCAGCAATGGTTGAAAAATTGCCTGTCTACCCCCAGTGAAATATCAGTCACTCTGATATGTGGAACTACTGACATCTGAGACCATTTTCATTGCCCCCAATCTTTTGGAAGGAAAGCTATTTGCCCGTGTTGAAAATTTATGTGAACAACAGGGGTTTGTCTATTGTTTGCGCCTCCTGGAGCAGGTGGACAGGTGACTTAAGACACTGGTTCTACATTAGTATTCAAATTTTGCCATGTTTTGAGGTGGATAGAATGACAGCAGCTGCCCTTTGACGTACGAAGTTGATAAACTTAGTTTCTTAGGCTTTGTCTTTATACTGAGTTGTTGATTGGTTGTTAGAAAGTACTCTTGGTGTTACACTATGAACATGTATTTAAAATAACCGTTTTCTTTATTTTTCAAATGATTCAAATCTCACACCAGAAGAAGCCGACTTCAGTTTTGCACAAGAAATTTTGTTGTTGCTGTAGCTCTTGTTTTGTTCATGCCCAGGATACTGACGGGTCATGTGCAGAAGGTTGATTGAAACTACTGTATTTGAAATTTGAATACACTGTATTGTGAAACCTGGCAATTCATCCCAGCTTCATGGAAATCTTGAATAATTTTGTTGCCTATAGAAATGACAAGCAAATTAACTACAGCAGATGGTTATTTTTACGTTTTCCTCTGCACTTGATTTCTCAGTCTTTTTTAGTGAATGTTATGAAGAAAAAAGTTGATTCGGGGAATTTCTTCAAATTGTAAGAATAACTGGTCTTTTCTCTTATGAGACAAAAATCAGGATTTGTTTGATGTTCATAAATATGCGAGAATTCCACAATATTTCTGCACAGTGCACCTGTACATGTACACCATCAATGCAATATATACGAATTAGGGAAACATTGACGATGCAATAGGTTTTATTTACGTTGAGGAAAGGGTTAGTAGTCTTTGCCAATATTTCTGTTTCATTAGAAATGATTTCAATCTACATTGTACCTTTAACGTGGTATCTAATTGGCTTAAATCTGTCTCAGAGAAAGATGACATCATGGAATACATAACAGGGACAGGAAAGAAGGTGGACCCCCAATTTTAGACTGACCCATCATGCATTCAGAATAGTGTTTTGAAGAGGAGAGTACAGTGTAAATTGTGTATTGTATAGAGTAGGAATGACCGTGTATTGAATCAGGATTGAATCAGAGGGAGCTGGTTGTGTGAAGTGTTTTTGTTATGCTAATCTTGTTATTGATGTACACAAGGAGGCCTTGTGTACTATTGGTTCAGTCCGTTTTATATGGTAGCTCCGTGGTTTAACATGTACTATTACTTCCACGGCCAGCCAGTGTACCATTCATTGATTACAGAAAGCTTTGTCTAGGACTACTACCAAAGTTGATCTTGAGTACTGTAGTAGTAGACTACATGGGCCGTTATATGTGTACTATATGTACCGTCAATGTCAGTAACTGCAGTTCTGAGATGTGTACCCTTGTAAACAGTCCATGGTTTGGCATGTTTGGTAGAAAACATCCATGAATCATGCGTCATACAGACACACCCAAATACATACGTGTACGTGTGTATGCTTTATGTGAGTTACTACTACTGGCACTTATTCCACCCACACCACCACCTTCACCGATGATTGAACTTATTGATTTTGAACTGAAATGAATCAGACGTTGAACCATGGCCGTACTTTTGAAAAACTGTGCATCATTTCTCAAAGTGAATGTAAAACAAATTACCTGTAATACACTTACTCATAATACATGCTTGTACATGTACGTGTAAGTCCTACAAAATACAAAATCAGATTTGAGCAGGCCGGCAAAATTTGTCAAGTTGGAACTGAAGTGTACATGTATGTAATCAGGCCTTTTTATCTGTTTCTGCATACATTTGTGTGTGCATGAAAGTTCCACAGTTTGACACAGATGTGGAGCGCACAGGTTCGTGTATTTGAACAAAAAATGTCTGTTTTGCTCAAGTAATTTTTACGAAAAAATGTACTTGTACTTTGCGTTTTTAACATTCGCATCATACCCATAGCCTTTAGATTGCTAAAAGCACACACACATGTACATGTGGCAGGTAACTCTGAAAAATTCTAAATCTAGTGGCATACATGTACATGTACATGTATTTACCAGTATTTCAGTAAACTACGAGTAAGCATGCATACATGTACATGTATGTGTATGCTGTTCTGTGTATTGCTAACTCAACCGTGGGTACCATGGCAACTTGCCCTCTGCTGTTTATGCTATTGTCAAGGGTGAGTGATCTCGGGTCAGGAGGTGATTCAAATGTCCCATTTCCTTTTTTTCTTCATCAATCAGGTCAAATGGTATGCTCCCTGCAAAACTATCAAAGCCCAGTCCCACTTGTGACAGAGAGGCTATAAAAGGAAACTTCTACATTTACATGTACGGTACATTGTACTAAAGGACGTGGTGCAGTGGATCAATGGGCCTACTGCCTGCCACCCAGTGCAAATATGCCAAAGATTGGTGAAATTACTCTCGATTACCTCCATGTCAGATGTGCATGCATGCGAATGGTCATGTGATGTGTTGCCCCTGAAGAGAATGTTTCCCCAAGGATATTGTTAGTAAATAAATCTTCCTCAAACATTGGTGAAGGGCAAAACTAAAAAACAAACAAACATAAACAAAACCAACAGAAAAAACTTCCTCACATGTTCATTTATGGAGCTCATATTGTTATCATGTCTGTTTTCAGAGATAAAAATACTATGTGATGTACCAGGTACTTATTTTAAGCTCAAACTAGAAATAACAGTTGTCTGAACAGTTCTAGCAGACAGTTCATAAGATAAAACTTGTTCCATCAGCTATCCTTGGCAAAACCCTTTTCAGAGAAGCTCTCTATGACTGTCTTGCCATCCAGATGATGAGCTTAACTGCAGCTGAAGATCCAACAACAATAAGAAACCTGTCAACTCCTTTGCATTGTGTCCCCGTGTGGATACAAATTTCTACTGTTTTCTTCTTTTTGAGTCGCACAGAGATTGTGTGTGTCATTGTTACAAGACTTTAAGACTTGTAACAGATTTCTTAAGACTCCTAGGAAATCTTACATGTACAGCATACTGGTTGGTTGGAACTTTTCATATTGACCAGTCATTGCCCACTCCATCCCACAAGGCCACCCTACTCTTACTTTCATTTTGCTTACGAATGTACAACTCTGATTAATGCAGTTTTAGAAAAAAATCTGTGTGATCAATAAAGTCAGTGGAGTTCGTTTGTTTTTTTGAAAATTAAACTAGAGTTCATGCCCTGGATCGTGTGAATTAGCAGCAGTAGAATTTTCAGTTGACAGAGAATACCGGGAGGAGAGAGGTTTAGCATTCAAATTATAGTACATACACGTACATGTACATTTATGTGTAAAAACAAATGTGCTAAAATGTTTAACCCTAACAGTTCTTCACAAAATGTAGCTTGCCATACTCAGTACTTAAAGTGCTTAAAGCAGTAGTGTGAGCCTGGAGGATCTAGTGCTACAAATTACTACTTCTGCCTGGGGCACCCTCCATTGTTACTCATACAGAGAACAATAAAGTTGTGCATTTACAGTGCCAGAGCACTGTATGGTACATTGTCTTATTTATTGTATTTTGTGGCTTCACAGAACAATAAGGTCATGTCCTCTTACAAGCGACAGCGCTGAATATTACATTTTACTACAACACTAAGTTGTATTTTGTAGCATTCAGGGCTGTTAGGGTTAAAGTAATAGGCCATTGGGATGCTTCCTTATTATTTCCAAAGATATGTACGTTTATATATTTATACAAAGTGTATTTTAATGTAATACAATATTTCATGGATCCTTTCATATAATCTACTGTACGTGTATACTAAAATGGGTTAGAATGATTCACCTGTCAGTTCATTTAGTTAAATGTTGATGAATCACAATGCTTAAATGTACAGTCTCAGCCAGGGTTGGTATTGTTCTCAGAACCGCTTTTTTTGTTGATGAACTCTGGCATTTTTCAGCATTGGTAATGGCATCTATTGTCTTATTGTTTCTTTTGAGAAATGCACACCATTTCAAAATGCAAATTATACGCGGTTTCTGATCTTGATCCATAATTGTCCTTCTGTCCAGTCAGCTATGCCAGTGTCTAGTCTGGTGCCTGAGGGAACCGTCAAGGTCTCCGTCAGCGATGTGCTGGAAGTGCGTGGTGGGCCGCTCAATGAAGAGGAACTCTGGAGCGTGCTCTGTCAGAGTGCCAAGGCCCTGCAGGACGTGTTCTTGAAAGGTGGGTGGTTCAAGAGACTCTATTCATCCCTTCAAGAACTTCATGGAGGTGTCGGAGGTGCTTTGCCTCGATGCCCCTGGTCTTTGCTGTGTTGCTATTCCAAATGTTCCCAATTCCCATCGGACAAGTTGAGTTTCTTATGCAAGTGCTCTTCGCAAAGGAGACATTGCCTTGCTCCTTCTAGAGCGATATCTTGCCCTGCCCTCCCTTGATTTAAACTGAAAAAATTCACTCATTCGTGTAGACTGCTTGACAGGGAGGGTAGTCATAAATTACAACCCTCCAAGAACCTTCATCATCCATGGTGTACAAGGAGCTGAGCTGTGGTCAAGTACATTGAATATATGTATGTTTTTAACTACCAAATACTTCAGGCAGATGTTTTGTTGTGGAAGTATTTGCTAGTGTTTGCATAAATGCAGCTTTGACCATACCAATCTTAATATCTGGTAATAAAGTTGGTGCTTGCAAACCACATGTCTTTAATTGTCTGTGGTTTAACCTTACGATAGGATATTTAAACAACAGTGTATAATAGGCCAACAGTGAAGCACACAAAATGAGGCACTTCCAGTAAGGCCTATGATAAATGACCTTGATGACCGTACGAAAACAATGTAATGAATAAATGAACCATCATGACCATGGGACTTGCACCAAACAATCTTATGCAAGCTGTGTACATGTAGGACTGTATGGGGAAGTGGCTTTCCCAAAATATTTATATATTAGGAGGAGGGTCGATTTTAGCTGGGTCAATATTGGTTTTCCTACTGACCCACTCAAGCTCGTGATTATGAATTTAACTTCAAAAAAACTTGCCCCATACGCTTTTGAATGCAGAAGTAGTATGAATTGTTGCATATGTCAGAGAAGCAATAAACCATACAGTTTCCTTGAAATAGTGGACTATGAGTGCGATGGGGAATGTAGTATATGGGATTCATTTACTAGTCAGTTGCCATGGATTGACCAATCAGGATAACAGATTCAAGTTTGCTTAAAGACTAACATCTGTACCTGGGCCACTGGATCGGGCGTAGCAGCTCGTGAAGCCCACTGAGTGCAAATTTCTTCCAAACTTTTGGCACTCTAAAAATGTTCCTGTGTTTTCTTCTTTCCAACAGGTGAGGCGGTTGTCCAGGGCACGCCGCGCTTTGTTCTCTGTCCCTACACGCTCCATTTCACACCCAGCGGACGCGTTACCTTTGCCGAGACGATTGACCCGACTCTTCCCAACATCCGGGACTTCCTGTCTCCTGAGGTTCTAACTGGCCATCTGAACCCGTCTGATGTTGCCGTGGAGAAGGTTGGTTGTGCTTTTATATCCCATTGAAATGAAAGACAAGTTCACTAAAAGATGATAGTCGGGCACACTGGCTGATAGTTTTTCAGATTTGATAGTTTTTATCGTTTCTTAATTGCCACAGAGGCCAAGTGTAATTGTACCTCTCTCACAATCATTTCAATCTAAAGTGGATTTGACCAAATTCTGTGATACCGATGGCAAACTGTCATAACTCTGTGTGATTGTTTTTTATATCTTTAGGGTTTAAAAAAGTAGTCCTTTGTTTTTGTTTTCTTAATACTCTACAGATGTTGGTGTACTCACTTGGTATGACGTTATTCTGGGCGTCTGAGTATTCCACCCCAGCAGGCAGCAGGCCAGCGCTGACCCGTGACCTTCATTCCATCCTACGTGCAATGACCAACACCAACGCTGACTCCAGGGTGGCGTTGATACACATCCTGGAGGTACAACCACAGTCCCTCAAACACTGATTGATTTCGAGTTTTGTGGAAAAACATTTGAGCCAAAGTGTGTGGGAGTGAACCAAATTAAAGATGCACTCCCGTCCTACTGGTTTGCTTCCTAATGCATTCGTAGGCATTGACCTCATTAGGTCACTTTAGTCAACCTCGACTCCATGGGCTGTGTGCACATTCCCTCAAAGATCTTGAAGGGCTTGGTGCCAGAACCAATATGGCATGGCAAGATCGTACCCAAGGGAACGAGGTTGCACTTAAGTACACTGCAGGTGCTGGATGGTGCTATTTAAAAAAATGTTAATGAACACCCACGATGTAGCAACATGTTTTTATTTGTATTACTTTTTTTTAAATGAGACATTGCTTCAGTAATGTGATAATCTGTGAAGATAAAGATGAAAAGGATACACAAATCTATCATTAAATCTGGTTTTAGGGAACATTCAGAATACTATAGAATCCCATTAAATGTAAAAAGAATAATGTTGGCAGGTGCGAAACAGTACCTTACAGCCTTCTAAAAGTATAAATGAAACAGGAAACTGGATATGACCAGCTTTTTTGTAGTAGAGGTGATTCAGTTCCAAAGTTAGGTACAATTTTTCTGCCAGTTCATCAGCTGTTGTCCATAAAATTGCAGCTCTCTCATTAGACTAAGCGTTTTCAGTTCATTTTTTACTGTAAGCAATCTGCAGGTTTTTGCAGGGTTCTGCAACCTACATGCTGTCTAATTCAGCGAAATTTTTGCAAGTACTGGAAACCATACGATACCAGTTTGTAAAACAGTTTATTTGGTGGTGATGATTTTGAGCAGTGGACTTAATTATGAAAACTTCGAGTGACTCGCACTTTCCAAATTGCACTGTCTTACAGGCGTGTACTCTTCACGCGTGTCAGACGCGCATGGGTTTACCGTATGCGCACCATGTGATGAAACTCAGCCGGATTGTCATGGGCAGCGTATACGAGGTATGAAGGCGCAGATTCGAGAGTTTTGTAATGAAGAGCAGTTCAGCTTGTCTAATCCAAGACGTACATTCCAAAGTGAAAACTGCATCTATGTACACGTTCTGTGTTCATAAACCGTCCCAGTCCTCAACATTTCAAAACCCCTTTTGCCTGAGTATATTGGCCAATAGAGTCAGAATATGCACACTTCAAAGTCCCTTGACTCTTGTATACAAATCTCTTCCATGGTTGGTAGAATTTTCATTGGGCAGATGCAAACTTGAATATTGTAGATTGGCCATACTGTGTCGGCAGTTCAGTGTCCGAGGATATGTATATAAGTGGCCGGGCCAGGACAGTTCATGATTTGAACCTGCATGTTAAATGTCCTGTCTTTGTGTTTCACTCGGTGTTATGTAAACTCGAGAGAATGATGCAGAAACCGATTAAGTGCTTCAATTTCTCCATGAAATTTAAACTACTTTAAGGAAATGGGATTTCTTGACTTGAATCAATAATCTGTGATTTGTTGTTTTTGTTTGTTCGTATAAATTGTATAAAATAAATTGTATAAATTTGTAAAATTGTTAAATTACATGGCCCCCTCGTACTTTGTTGTCTCACTGCAGCTTGATAAGCTGGTACATCCGTACAGCCCTGGGGATGAGGTTGATGCTGACCTTAACAGCAGTAACCCCCTCAATGGGAGTGGTTCCTTTGTGCAGAATGGGGGGCCACTGGAACATAACAGGAATTCAGGTAAGCTAAAAAAAGACAAAACAATTCCTCTGTGGTCTACAATTTTCATTTTTCTACAGGTCTTATAGAAAACGAAATGTTTTGATACCCTTGGACTGTTTAGCTTACAAGATAATGTGAATCTAAAATTTACTGGAGGCAAAATGAATACGGGCAATTCACAGTAGAGTGTGCCACCAGGAGTTTACTGCAGACAGGCCAATTTTCAAGTTTATGGTGGACACGGTGCCATGATTGAGCGCAATTTAGTATGTAACTTGAAGATATTTGATTGAGTGTTCCCTGCACCATACGAAACCGTCATTTTGACCACCCTAGCACCCATTTGTAATAAGCAATTTCGAAGTTTCAACTAAGATAAACAAATCAAAAAATGTAAGTTTCCCGCAATTAACGAACGAGTCTCTGTAGACTATTTTTCCCATGATGCACTACAAAAAGGCCTCTCAATGACAACCTCTTAGTGGCACACGGCATGTGGAATTGTCCGTATTGCAAAAGGGAAGACTTGCCACAGTCACACTGAGGAATTTTTTTGGGGACTGATTCTGGTTTCTGATTCTTGGTGTTCAGTCAGACTTGGTGGTGTTTTACTAACCAACTCAACGTTTGTTTTTCTGTTTTCTCGTTTATTTTGGGTGTGTTCTAACCGATCACCGTTACCCTCTGCTCCTCTTGGCACCCTGTCGTCTCTCAGACTCTTTCTTCGCTCTGCCGTATCTCACCCATCAAGATGTGCAACCCTTCTATCAAAATCTTCCTCCCCCCTACCACTTCCAAGATTTCCGGCCCTGTGCCTGCAGCTCCCTGGCCTACTCTCCGTGTAAGTCTGGCCTCTGTAGCTGGGCCGTCTGAACCTGTTCCTCACTGTTGAGGGTTCCAGTGTGGCTTAGGACAGAGAGCAGGGGATGGGCTGAAGTTTGCATTTCTGCATCCAGGGTGGGAGTCTTACAACTTCTGCAACTCGCATTCCATCCCGAACATTCGTTCAGTGAAATGCACTGGATGGGAACTTAAATACAGCTTGTTGCACAGTGATAAGAAAAATGTGTGTCTAACCAGCACCATATTAATATTCCCACATCAAAACGTCTGTTTTTCTTAGCCCTGCACGAGGTGTCGTTTTCATATTGGAGAGAAGTACATGTAATTTGACGATTTGCCGTCACTTGTCCAAAAACAGCAAACTCTGTATGGACTCATTGAAATCAGGTAACAAAGTTGGTGCAAAATTGGCTGCGAATTGATGAAATTGGCCTGAAATGGAAATTAGCTGGTAAACAAGAAAATTGCTGATTTTTTGAAAATCTGCAAAGAATAATTTCTTTTGTGAAAATTTTTGTTTCCTGTAATCTTTGACTCAGATTCTAATTTGAGTCAGGTAAATTCAAGTCTGGTGATCACTGGGCCCTGCTGCTACTGTGGCTTGCTGATGATTATTGATTTCTTGGTTGGCAAGGAATGCTGTTCTAGTGCAGTATTTTTAATGACATTACTTGACAAATTGAACAAGGGAAAATGATGAAGGCTAGGCAGTAATTAAACAGATATTTCATATTGTAAGATCACTGATGTGCTGTTTTGTTTTAGGGCGTTTGAGTCCTAGCAAGAGGCCTAATTATCATCATAACTTTAACAACAATGCTACATCGAACAAGCGGCCCCGCTCAGCAAAAGACAGTCGCCATTACCTCCACGAACTCCCGGATAGCAGTCATCACAGCCGCGCACACTCCACGCATCGTCCATCCAATATCAGCACAAGCACGATGGACTCCCGAGAGAGCGACGAGGAGGCCGGGGGCATGCGGGACTCCCTGCTGCCACACCACCGGACTCACCGGACGACGGGCGTGGACGAGACTGGCCGGTCCTACCACCTATCGGACATCCCAACACTGTCATCCGGTGACAGGTCGAGAGAGCGATCTCGGGACGGGTCACGAGGGAGGTCGCTCTCGAGGTCGAGGGAAGGGTCACGGGGGAGATCCGGAGAAAGGTCAAGAGAGCGATCCGCGGACAGATTCAGCCGGAAATCACACTCACCAAGCTCTCAGGCCAACGCGGTGTACGACAGACTCTACGAGAGGCGGGAGCGTTTGCGCCTGCTGAGGGAGCAGCTGGGCATCAGGCACCGTGACCTGGACATCAGGAGACCACTACTTGGATACCACAGTGACGGAGGAACGATGAGCGATGATGGCAGTGAGGTGGAAGGAGGTCAGGAGCCAAAGGTCAGAGCTAGATCACTTAAGTCGTTGACCTCAATGGAGTCCGCCCAGGAGGGTAAGTATTTCATTTTCAAGTTCAATGTAAGTCTGAGGCAGACAGGATGTTTCTGTTTATTGTGTTTCAAAATTTGACTGAATGAAGCCACTCCCTTCCAACTTAGTCTTAAAGCAAAATTCACAAGACAAACTGTAAATTCCCATGGTAAAGAGCCTACTTCAACACATTAAAGAAACCAACATTTCCTTGTAATTTGCTGCACACAGTAAATAAATTCAAAAGGTATCACTTGTGAATTACAATTTAGCCTCAGAGTACTTTTTTAGACTATATTCTGAGCTTGACCACAAAATGGTAATAAATGTACTTGAGTGTTCTTAGATGCATCTTAAACATGAACAGAGCAAGAAGTCAATAGGATTTTTTTTTTTTTGATAAATTTGTATTACATTTTGAAATAGGGAGTTTCTACCCTGACCAACACCAGTATGGGTCATCAGATTCTCTGTCCACCGAACGCGGCCGGTCACTCAACCGCCGGGCTCAGGTCCAGGGGACGGAGCGCAGCGTGCCGGACCATTCCTCCCGACCCTTACCCAAGGCTACCTCATTGCGCCGTGCGGAGAGCGCCCCCAGGCAACAAATGGGTAGAGTCTCCGAGAGGGTACCAGTGAACGGTCTGGCATCACCCGCAGGAAATGGTACAAGGGAACCTCCAGCTGGAAAAAAGAAACTCAAGGTAGGACCCGTTTCAAACGTTAAAGCTTGGTTTTCCCTGGTTGTGGAAACCTGGGAATGTCGTGTAATATTTTGAAAATCATTATCCAGTCTTGGAACTCACTGGAATTTCTAACAGTCCCAAAAGTCATGGGAAAAGTCTTGGAATTTAATTGTGAGAACCAATTTTGATTACATTGTAAACTTCACGTTTTAACTTAAATCTTTTATAGCTGACCAAAAATTGACAAATTTCACTGACACAGGCTTTTTGATTTTGAATTTTTACCTCTCGAGGTCACCGTTAGGAACGCAATAAAACACCAAACAAATTTTCCTTGGACCGTTTGTTAGTGCATGTTTGAAAGGGCTACTTGTCTCCCTGTTCATTATTTTATGCTGTTGTGCTGACGTGACTCTGCATTCTGTTTTTCACTCTTCTTTGTTTGGACAGAAATTTTTTGGACCTGAGTTTGTGGTGATGAGTAGTACTGCCAATGAATCCTTGGACATGTCCCCGTCTATATTGGTGAGTACAGTTCGCTCTCGTGCTTAACTTAACATGCCATGCGTAGTGTATATCAGAGGTGCGGTTTCTTAGGATTTCAGGATTTTTACCCTGAATCGTGGATTTTTGACGGTTTCATAATCAGTCATATCTTGCTAAAAGCCAGAACGAAAAATAAACAGAAACCAAATGTGGGTTTCATGTAATCACAGTCATTTGGGAACTCATGCCTTTATAATCATTAAAAACTGACAAATCACAGCGTTTCATCGGTGTCATTGTTAGAACTAGCCCCAGGTCTGGACAATTTCAGTCACCCAATCTCACCTCTAGTACAGAGAGAGTAAAATCAAAAGTTTGAAAATATGCCTGTGGCATGGTGTAATTGAAAAAAATGAGAATACATGTGGCCAGGCATCATTGGCCAGTATAAATCAGAGATGTAATTCTCTTAAGTATCTGGTAGCCCTTTAAAGACCAACCGAACAGGCCAACTAGTAAGTTATTAGCAACACTAATTTCAATTCAGGTTTTTATTTACAATTGCCCCTGAAATGTTTAATAATTCACTTGAACTTGTGCTTTTCTTGTTCAGTGCAAAGCCGGTAAAATTCCCCCGGACCGCAAGAAGGTCACCGTGGTGCTCCTGAACGGCCGCCGTCTTGACCTCATGTGTGACCTCGGGACCAAAGGTCAGGAAATGTTTGACATAGTGACCTCCCACATGGGTCTGAGCGAGAAGGTGTATTTTGGGCTGGCTTACATCAGAGGTATGGCACAGTTTTTTTTTTTCACAAACAATCTCGTTCATTATATTTTTCCAGCGTGGACTATGTTAACGTGGAATAAACTTGACTGTCACGTTGTAAGGCAAAGTTGACCGTAAAGTGTCAAACTGCATGGGAAACGCATGTCTTCTCACATATTTTGCAAAAAAGTGTCAAGATTTACATGCAAGAATGAAATTAGAATTGAAATAAAACTCTCGTTTATGAAGTAATTTCAATGCAACTTTTTTGCAAAAATGGGTTTTGCCATTTAATGAAATGTTCCAACTTTTTCAAGTTAAGCTCCATTGCAACATGATACCTCAGCCACAATAAAAGTGGGAGGTTCATGGTCCCAATTTTACCATAGCCCTGGGTCTCGTTCTGTTTGTTCACTGGTGCACGAACCTAACATTCAAAGCTATTTTTACTGGTTTTTGTAAACTTTTCAGATGGGGAGTACTTCTTTCTAGACTCTGACGAGAAGCTGTTTAAAGTCGGCCCGGAATCCTGGAAGGAAGAGGTCAAAAAGGGGTCAAAGAAGGTCATTGCCACAGACAAGTTTACGCTTTTTTTCCGAATCAAGTTCTACCTGGAGAACACGGCTCTGTTGAAGTGAGTAGAAAATCCCCCCCCCCGAATTTCAGTGGTAGTCTGCCACCGTGCACCGGTTGCTCACATTATCCTCTAGACATGTGCACGTTCAAAGTAGTTGTTTGCATTCCTGGTGTCAACCATCTAGGAAGATTTTGATTAATGTGTAAATATGGAAACCTCCAGTCCAAAGTGTGATAAAAAATACAGGATTTGTAACAAAATTGAAAAATTGATAAATTATAGTGGCTGAAAATATCGTCTTGTACAAATATGCAATGCTGTGTGTACATGAGTCATGTAGTGGTTTCATTTGATGGGCATCATCTTTGCACAGGGACCAACTCACCCGCCACCAGTACTATTTGCAGCTGCGGAGGGATATCCTTGAAGAGAGGACGCGATGCGACGAGCGGGCCGCCCTGCAGCTGGCCTCCCTGGCGCTGCAGGCCGAGATGGGCGATTACCAGCCAGAGACCATGGGCCGGAACTACTTTCTGCCGGAGCACTACGTCCCCTCGGGGATCATCGATACGTTGGGTGTGCCGCGGATCAGGCAGAACCTGCCGCCGATGCACGGCGCTCACTCCAGCATGGGGGAGCTACAAGCCGAGATGGAGTTTTTGATGGTACGTCATTTTGAGGCACAATTGAAAGTAGTTTCTCGGCTGTGAAGCTTTTTTTCTAGGATGAGTTGAACTTCTCCTTTTTGAATTCTTATTTTGGCCATTACTTATTGAAAAGCACTGCAAAGTCTTGTGCAACTGACAGGTTGGTGATGTTGTATTCAAGTCCATCATAAGTCCCTTCACCAGTCCAGCCACAAGTCCCTTCACAAGGCCAGTCATAATTAACAGGGTGAACTATGACAGTGCTTTTGTCACAGTTCATTTGAATAACTTGTGAAGTGGCTTAAGACAGAATGACTTGTGATGGGCATACAGGGACTTGTGATGGACTCGGACATAACACTGCAGGTAACTTGGTACGCTCAATTGCAAATCTTGGCAAGGCGGTTATGCTTTTGTCGACCATAAATTTGAAAAAAAATTCTCTCTTGGTGGCGCACTTTACATTGTGAATCACCCCATTGTTTTTTTTGTTTTTTTTCTCCCTACCAAAGGAAGCGAGGAAACTTCAGGAGTATGGCATCCACTTCCACAGGGCCTCCCGCAGCAAGAAGGACCCGAGCGCCTCCATCTGGCTGGGCATCTGCACCCGGGGCGTCATTGTGTACGAGAAGCGGGGCAGCGTGCGCCAGCAGATCCACGCCCACCCATGGCACCTGACCAAGAAGATTGCGTTCAATGTGAGACACCCATTTAGAAAAACCAGACGCCAACTTTATAGCCCTCGAAAGCCCTTTCACTTCCCATCGTATTCTAACTATAAATTGGAAATTACAGGAACTTTGTTTTTTTCCCCTTCCAGTCCGGAATATTTGCCCAAACCGTGTAGTACTTCTTTGTCAAAACTGCCTCAAAAATGTCACTAATTTTTGCATTTTCCACACCTCTGAATGATACATTTTTCCTACTTTTTCTAAACTGCATCATACACTTTGCTTATTGTAGCGTCAAAACCTCGTAGCATCATGTCTGAAAATGGGATTTTTTTTTCCGGATTAGAGAAAGAAGTTCACCGTTGAGGCAAATGATGGGACCAGCAGTAAATATATTCATTACACAGAGAACTACAAGAAGTAAGTGGCTCTAAATTGTTTGTTCTTTCCGCTAAGACTGTATGTCCACTCCCGGACCGTGATATCTTGCCATCACAATTCTGAACAAATCATGCATGAGATTCTTCAAGCTCAGATCACAATATGAGCTATGTTCTTTCCCAATTTGTCTGGATGAGCTTAAGATATAAAGTTAACCACTTCTGCAGCCTCAAACAAAGAAAGAGGGCCTGATCGAGGGGGCTTTGGTAAGCCCATCCTGGCCAGCTTTGTTCTTGGACTTCAAGAAGCTTCAGTATATATCACCCTTACATTGCAAAGTAACATAAATTTTAATAAGTCTACCTAGGACAGGTATGGGCCTCCGAAAATAATGGAAAAATTAACTGTAAAGGCAACTGGATTGGTAATTTCTGTGTTCTTGTTTGTGTCAACAGAGGGCGCTACATGCTTCAGCTGTGTCAGTCCCAGCACAAATTTCAGATGGCGATGCGTCTCAAGGCGAACACTTCACGCAAGTTTGGACAAGGTGAGGTTCCTCCCTTTGGCAAAAAGAAATTGTTAAGCACCCAGCCTGATGGACATTCAGACTTGGATCATTGATCTTGTGGATTGACCATTGGCTGTCAACAGTGAAGTCCTGTCATCCATATTACCAGTTTGTGAATAAAGAACTATGGGAAAGATTTAGACTGGTTTCCTCTGCATATTCCAATAGAGCAATTGGGAACCAGCATGTAGATTCACTTGTTTATTTTAATGGGACCTTTCAGATTTTCCTGTGGAGGCAGAATCTTTCACCGACTCACTCCGATTCTCGGCTTACAATGACTACCAAGAAGGGCTGGATTTCTCAGATGATGATGAAAATGGCAGTATCCAAAACTCCATCCCAGAAAGTCTCTTCCTTCAAGGGCAAGAGGATGTCAGTGGCCCCTCTACATATCCGGGCAACAGCGGTGGCCAAAACGGCCAACGACATGTGTCGGATTATGAAGAAATTGCGATGGGCAAACGAAGCCGCTCTTCCCCTTCACCGGACAGGCGTTGGGAACGAGACCCGCCAGTCTATCAGAACTTACCGGCATATCCCAGTCAGTCAAAAGACTGGGAAGAAGGGCGAGGAGAAGGCAGAGGGCGTGAGGGGTCGCCGAGCCGGGCAGTGCTGCCTGACGGCCGCCGGAACGAGAAGAACCGCAGGCACCGCGCCAGGGACTACCACAGTAAGGAGACGCTGCCCTACGACGAGCTGAACGTCGAGAGGTCAGCCAGCAAGGCATCCCAAGGGAGGCGGAGTAGCCGGCTAGAACGCCAGAACCAACACCTGAGCTTCCACAGCGGAAGCTCCAATGACACCCAGGGAGAAAACGGCCTGCCATCAAGCCTGCGTTCACCAAATGGGGCTCAAATGGCTCACCGAGCCCGGGCTCGTACACCGGACCCCAAAGCATTGACGCCCGAGTCCGACCGCCCATCCTATGAAGATGAGCATCCTTATGCTACCGTGGCAGATATGAAGATCCAAGGAGAGCACCATTCTCTAGATGATGAGGATGGACGTGAGATTCTTGGCTTGGATGAAGTGGACGTGCCCCATGTCATTGGTAAGTGCAGTTTTAATACTTTCCTCTCCTGCCTTTCTGTCGCAGTGTCATAGTCGAGTCCATCACAAGTCGTCCAGACTTAAGCCAAGTCCCAAGCCATTCAAATGAACTGTCTCGTAAGCATTCCTTTGTCATCGTTGACCCTGCTTCTCATGCTTGGTCTTGAGAAAGAACTTGTGACTGAACTTGTGAAGGAACCTTTGATGGGCTCGACTGCAGGTATAACTCTGGTTTGTCATCAGTGAGGGGTTCATCTGCATGGTGCAGATCGGCAATGTTAGCTTTGCTCTACCCATTGAGTATCATGCATTCCTCCGCAGATGCCAGCATACGGACCCACGAGCGCACTCGTCCTGACACCCTGGACAACCACACGGAAGTGATCAGCGAGACGTTGCAGGAACGGCTCAATGACCTGTCACCCCCAGAGCAGCCCGAGAGAGATATCACCATCATCACTCTTAAGAAGGACCCCAAGCAGGGCCTGGGTGAGTTACTCGTAGGAACCAATCCTAGCCCTCCCACATCCTACAAAATCCATTAGGAACTTGGGCAGGATTCTGTAGGATTGAGGAACGTGGGACCCATCCACTTTTGAGGCTCTAAAGACAATTTAAAGTAAAATTACAATGGTAAATTTCTGGAGCATTAAGGAAGGTTCCAGATAACCAACTTTTCCTCAGATCAGGTGATTTCTTTGTATTATCTACGGAACCCATGTATTCCATTATAGTTTGAAAAACACTGCACTGTCCAGCGCATTTTTAATTTCCTAATTTTTTCCGAGTTCAGTTGCATTTCTGAAGTTTTTTGCAAAAATGTTTCAGTTTGGGTTAATGCGAAACTACAAGTACACAACAGATAGAAACTAAGATGCTTTCACATCTCTAGAAAGTCTGGTTTTTTTAGGTCAAATTGTAAAAAAAAAAGAGAAAGGAAAAATATTACTGTGTCATGTTTTTACTGTGCCACTTTCCCAGGTGTGACCATTGTCGGGGGTGAGAATTCCCGCAGCCTCGACCTGGGGGTCTTCATCCAGTCGGTCATTCCCGGTGGACCAGCAGACCGGGACGGCCGGCTTCATCCTGGGGACCGCATTATCTCCATCAATGGCCAGAGCCTGGAGGGGATCGGTCACCGTGTGGCAGTGGACATCCTGACCAATGCACCGGCCACGGTGCAGCTGATCGTGTCACAGCCAAGATCTTCAAGTCCCGGTATGAGCAAGAGGAGAAAAGTTTGAAGCCACTGAATGACCCTTGACCCTTGCAGAAAATCTCACACTTTGTTCATTACTTTGGAAGGGCCTGTTCCCATTAGTAATTAGCCAAATTTCTTAAGGGAGCTTGAATTATTTCCAACCAGAGCATTCCGATTTTAATAGGAACTTTCCAATTTGCTAGTAAGATTTCCGAGTTTCTCTCAAATTGAATGCGCAGTGGAAGGGCTTTTATTTGGTGGTCCTTGAACAATCAAGGCGGTCAGTCCCAGTTTGAAGTAATAGTTGCCAATCTGCATAGTCCCAAATCTATCAAAACCCTGCAAGTTCATTGTTGTGGTTGGTTGAGTTTAGGCATGTACTGCTCACTAAGAAATATATTTGTATTGGTAAAAAAATTCTTAAAACTTAAAAAATTGCCTTAAACTGGTACATAGCAGATGTAGAAAGGCTCTCTCTTAAATTTGCCTCCTTGAAAAAATCTTTATTCTTAACCACTTCCTGCCAGGGCAGTTATCACTGTTGATGATGCTGGGGCGGGATATTTATCATTTTTTTCTGTTTTCAAAATTCTTTAAAAATTCCTATCTTCATTTACTGGACACTTACAAACACATGGAGCTGTCTGGCGCCCACTCTAGCCTGATAGACAAAATCTATTGACACCTGAGTATTTCAGCCAGGCCTGCAGTCTTGTAAAAAGAGCCGAGATTGTGCGGTGTTATATAACTTTCTTTTGTTCACGAACCTGGCTCAGTGTGCTGCTGACTTCTTTTCAATAGGGGCCAGATTAGCATGCAGCGTGTGCTGTGTGGCTCATCGCTGCGGTGGTAGAGCACTTTTGTCCCCGGTGGTGATCCGCTCGCTCTAAGTGTCCCAAACCGTGGTATACTGTTTCAAAACAAGGCTGGATTATATCCACTTTTGAGAGTGAAAAAATGTTGCAAATTCCCAGCAGCCTGGTCTGTTGTTCCGAGTACGGTCTTTTGTTACAAGGCCCAGCTCCTTTGTCCGATTTCGGACAGCCTGGCTATGCGTACAAACCCAAGGAGTCCAGTACCAGAAACCCTGGGACCGAGTGGTTAACATACAGACATATCTCAAAGATCACCTCGTGTAAAAATCAACAGCTTTTTGTTTCATGTTTCATCATGTTTGTAAAGATTTTGCTTTGCTGTGGTTGTCATTTGACACAGTATGACCGAAATCAACAAGCAAAGTTACAGTATTTATGAGTCTTCAGTTTTTATTTCCAAGGATTCCATACCAGAAATTTGTTTGCTGTATTTCTGTCTGATTGGTTGTTTAAAGGTTTATGATTAAACTATATCTGTGTTTTTTGTCTAAAATTTTATAGATTCGAAACATCGACTTCAAGTGCCTATGGATGTTGATGAGGTCGTCATGCCAACACAGACTGCCCAATCACAGGCCCAGCTGCAGCTTCCGCCCAGTAGCAATGGCCAGCCTGACACCCCACGTACCCAGAAACGGAAGCACACTCCCCCGCAGAAGCCTCAGCGCCGGCCTCAGAGCTTTGGCTCCAACTACAGCCTGGCACTCTCAGATGCCAGCCATGCCAGCGAAGGCAGTGTTTCATCAAAGACCACGCCCAAGGCTGGCCGCGCCAACATGGTGATGATGGCCGAAAGTGCTCGACCACCCGTGCCGCCAGCGGCAGAGCAGAACACCCACAGTGGTCAAATGAAACCAGTTGCTATAGAAGGTCAGAGATCACCAGACAAAGGTCAGAGGTTGCCAAGTCAGGGAAAGGGGTCACCAGCGGACCAAAGCGATATCCACTTCAGCTCGGATGACGAGGACGTCCCAACGCCCAGAGATTCCGACCTGGATGACCTGTTCCCAGACGATCACAAGACCTTAGCAAAGCCCAGTCTGCTCGGCCATGGCTCACTGTCTGCCTCAGCCAACTCTCCGCTGAGCGACTTCTTCACCTCCCCTGCCGAGGCGCTGGACTCGGCCGTGGACAACACCGATGCCACGACCAAGACGGAGGCCGAGGAGGACCACGAGGAAGGGGTTCTGGACGGTCGGGAGGAGCTGAAGCCAGGCGACGTCTACAGGGTGCAGCTGAAGAAAGCCAACAGTAGCTTGGGAATCAGTGTCACAGTAAGTTCCAAATGCTAAGGTGGACATAGCTCGGCTTCATCTCCAGGTTTATGCATATATTGGCCCAAGGAGACAATCAGAAAGCTCAAGAGAAGTTCACTTTGTGCTGGAGATGCATTTGACTGTCGGGGTGACATTTGAGCATGATTCCTTCACTCGAGAAGATAACAGAGCTGGAGCTTTGGAGAAAGGTCCATACAAACACCAGATTGCTGTCTGAAACATTGAAACTTGCAGCATTTTGTAATCTTTGCATATGTAATAGACATTTAAGTCTTACAGTTACTTTCTATATTGAGGCAAAGAAGCTGGAGGCAAAGAAGCTGGTCATTATCTCTCAGGAAAAGCCAGAGCAGTTTTTAAGTGTCCAAACGATAATGAGAGTGTATCTCTTTTTTGTCTCACAGGGAGGCATTAACACCAGTGTCAAGCACGGTGGTATTTACATCAAGTCCATGGTGCCTGGTGGTGCGGCCGACTCAAACCGGAAAATTCAAGTTGGTTAGTGAAACAGCGAGCAAAATTTCTGGATCTTTCAGTATCCATTTTGTGTGATTTGCTTGTGCGTTGTGTACACGCACCGTCTACTTAGCGCAGATTTTCAAATGTCACAGAGCAGCGTGACAGAATTGGTCAAAGTTTGGAAGACCTGTGAGTTGGGATGATATTTTTTACAGTGTTACCTCCAACCATCAACATCCATGGGAAACGTGACTTCTAACTTTTGCTTTGTTTGGTTCTATTCGCAAAACAAGTTTTACCACTTTGATTCGGATTTTGATGGGCTGGATTAGATTTTATATTTTGGCCATGGAAAAGTTGGCACAGAATTTTCCTTTCCTCATGGTGGAAGAAAGGGCAATGACAAGATAATGTCAAGCGAATTATTTTCAATTCTTGTCCAAACATTTCCCAGGTGACCGCGTCCTCGGGGTCAACTCTGAGTCCCTGGAGGGCGTGACCCACCGGCAAGCTGTGGAGGCCCTGCGCCGGGCCCCCGAGGTCAGCACCCTGGTCATCGAACGGGGCATCCCCCCTGCGAAGGCCAGCAACCTGCCCCCCACACCCACCCCCTCCCCTCTGGTGGCAATTGGGGACGACGGGGAGGCTCTGATCATGTCCGGCACGGCCAGGGAACAGGTGCAGTCTGAGCCGCCCTCTAGTGGCAATGCAGAGCCAGGTACTTAGAGGAGTTTTTACTTGGTTTTTTTCCCATAAATAAGCATTTTACTTTGTCCCGTGTGGGACATTGTAGTATTGGTCATGGCCTACTGACAGCTATTTTCCAGGTTGCTGCTGCATTATTACACTGTTTTAGTGATGCTGAATTCTTCCATGACAGTCTTCCTGTCTTATATGACTGAACTCAGTAGCTGTTTGAGTCGAACAATATTAAAAAATACCCAAATTAATGCTATGTGTGAAACATTGCTTCACAGATCGACCTACTAGCGTTACATCCTTTACTGATGTTGAGCGGCAAACCCCACTGAGCAGAACCCTGGACACACACAGTGATGCACCCCAAGCTTCACCAGCCTTCAGCCGAGGCGAGAGTGACACCACCCCTGTCCTGTCGTCAGCTATTGCATCCCCAGTGGATGAGGTGGTGAAGCAGAGTGTGTTACAGGCTCCCCCACCCCTAATGTCGCAGGCTCCCCCACCCCTGATGTCTCAGGCTCCCCCACCCTCTGCATCAGACGATGAGGGGTGGGTGCACAGCACTTCCTCCAGGGGTTCCACAGTGAGGAGGGCCTATGTTAACCCCCCGGAACACGAAGAGCCTAAGGATGATGTGGACAGCATTGACGATGGGCAGCTACCATTACCATCAGATGGCCTTGTAGAATCCCGGGGGGATACACCCACAATCCAGGCTTTTAAGGTCAGTGTTGTAGTCGAGACCTTGAGATCCGAGACCGAGACCTGACGGTCCGAGACCTAGACCTGATAGGCCGAGACCTCAAGACCTTTTATGTAAAGTATGCCATAAAACAATTAGAAAAGAATTACAAAGACATGTTATGTATCATTTGCAACAAAGGGAAATACAACTTTTTATTGACATCAAGACAGCTTCCTTGTAGACCTAAAACATTACTATAGTTAATATGATGACAGCAATACTGCTCTACAGTGTACACATGATCGCGAATCGAATTAAATCAATTCTGCACAGTGAGTGCAAGTTCGTGTTTGTATGCAATATTGGTGGTCTCGATACCGAGACCGGCAAACTACCGCGACCACTGGGGAATGAGACCGAGACCACAGGGTACCAAGACTGAGACCAGGAAAAACTGGTCTCGAGACCGGTCTCGAGACCTACAACACTGTTTAAGGTACACCCAACCACCCTTTTTAGTGAGAATGTTGTGAAGAGATTGGACAATCACTTTCAGACTTTATCACTAACAGACCAATACGAGGCTGGGTTGGTCGGTTCAAAAGGCTTATAAGTTATAAGTTATCCTTGGTGAAATTGTAGAGCACGGCAGTGCAAACTGTAAAACTCTGTTTTTGATTGCTTAAACATTCTGTACAACTCACAAGTTGGCAGACTCTTTTTTTGTGTTAATTGCTTTTATTAAAAAGAAATGCACCATATAAATAGATAGCAAGTCTGAACTTTTTGGCTCATACAATGTCCCTTTTCTTCAGGATGCCAGACTGAATAATACATCAAAACAAAAAGCTCAGTTCTTTCCAAATCAGACTAAACCATAGTATTGAAAAAAAATTCTGTAAGACTCCTCTTTGGTAGATTCAGTCAGAACTCAGAAGTTGTTCTTGATCAGTTTGTAGCTTAGAGTGGCCCGACATTTCCTTCTGTTGGATGCTTTCAAAGACATTTTTTGATATATTCCAATTAAACCTTATTGCCATCTGACAGGACTATGAGCTACCAGACTCGACCCCGATGACAGATGGCGAAGATGATGATCAGTCTCACAGCGATGAATCTGAATCCCCGATCCCCATTGAGCACTCGGTCATGGGGGTGGGCTTCGACCCCGAAATCGCCTCCCCAGTGCTCAGCACCCGTGAGGCCGACACGCTGACCCCGACTGCACACCTGGACTGGCGCAGTACCCCAACAGGGGCGCTGGAGAAGGGCATGTGGGGGCCCAAGTCGGCATCCTACCGGCACGGGGCTACGCCTGTCATACATGAGCAGAGTACCGACGACCAGCACTCTGATCAGTGGACTGACTATGACAATGACGAGCGGTCGCCGACTCCCACGACGGAGGGTCGGTCGGGATCACCATCCCTCGACGGCCGCTCGCTGCGCGATGATGAATTCATCAGCGAGGAGGAAGACGAGGAGATGATGCCATCTCCAATCATGCACGACTCCCGTGCGGCCAATGACACCGTCATCAGCGTCAGATCCCCGGGGCTTCCAGACATCAAGACTGCCACCATAATGACATCCCCCTCGGCCACCACGCCTGGCCCGTATCAGTCTCAGAGCCGTGGCAGTGACACCCTCAACTCCCAGTCGCCCTTCCCGTCCCTGGACGGCACCCTCCCGCTCCCCAGTGATGCCTCAGGGACCAGCCGGAGCCCCACCCCGGACCTGCCTCCCCTGGTGCTGCCCGACGATTCTCTGCTCAGGCCACACGACAAGTCACCGTCACCGACATCTTCGATAACCAGCGTCGGCGCACTCACCCTGACTCAGACCATGATGTCCACCATGGGTTTGGAGGGTAACATTGAGCTTCCTGATCTTCCCTACGTAACCCCAGGTTTGTCAAGCCATTTCTAAATTGTCAGAAAAAAATATAGCTCTGATTATTCAAAGGCCACTTTCAGAGTTCGCTGTTCCTGGAAAAATAATCACCCTGGGAAGTCACAGAAATTTGAAAAAAAACAAAACAAGAACAGGGCATCATAGAATCCTGTTGTCGAATAAATAGGCATGCAACTTTCCTCAGCTCAGCTGATCTGCTCGATTTTCACTTTACACCCATGTCATTGAAAATTGAAAAACACTGTACAAAGTCTTGTAAAGATTGGAATTTCCTTGTTTTGATGAGCCACACAGTACTGCTGCATGCTAATCTGGCCCCATTGAAAAGAAGTTAGCAGCGCATTGTGCCAGTTTCGTGAACAAAAGAAAATTACATAACACTGCACAATCTGGGCTCTTTTTACAAGGCGGCAGATCTTGCTGAAGTACTCCAGCGTCAATAGATGTTGTCTGTCGGATTAGAGTAGAAACCAGACAATCTTTTGTGTGGGCGTAAGTTTCCAGTAAATGAAGATATGAATTTTTAAAGAATTTTGCAAACAGAAAAAAATGAAAATTATCCTGTCCCAGCATCATCAACATTCGCAAATGCCCCTGGCGCGATGTGGTTAACTATCATGTTGTCGTACTGATCTATTATAAAAACCACTCATGTTGTTGTACTGGCCTGTTTTATTTACAGAATAACTGTGTATTCCAGTTTTCTTGAACAGAAAAGCGTATGAGCAGAATAAGGCTCTCATCTGTTACAAATTTTTGCTTGCAACTTTCAGATGGAGGCACTTTTACCAGCAGCATGATGTTGGAAAACAAAGTTTCGTTCAGTGTTTATCTTTTTGAAAGCCAGTGTCGGTTTCCATATGGATTTGCAGATATAGTTCATGTTTGACTGTCACTAATTAGGATTGCCTGTTACTGAATCCTCAACTTGCAGGATCTGTTCATTTGTCCCTTGTTCCATCCCTACAGAGAACTGCTTTGAAGTGCAGCTAACCAAGGGCAGCCAGGGGCTGGGCTTCAGCATCCAGGGGGGAAAGGGAAGCCACCAGGATCCCAAGCTGTGCCTGGTGCGGATCAAGAAGGTGTTTGCCGGCCAGAAGGCGGCGGCCAGCGGCCTGGTGGAGGAAGGTGACGTCATCCTGACAGTCAACGAGCAGCCCGTCTACGACAAGACTCACAATGTGAGGCTGCCTCCGAGTCTGCTGGCTAGGGCTAGGTTTAAGTCTTGACCCCATTGGCAATATGCAGGGACGTGTTGACGGTTGACACAGCCGCAGCTGTAGCCCTAGCCTCTGGAAGCCTGTTTCGGACAGGGCCAAGTTCAAGTGCAAACTACAGACCGGACAGCTGGTCATCCCCTCCTTACCAAACTCTAAGGGCTGTGCAGACCAACTCGGTCAACCCATGTCAAATCATTTTGTAGAAATCCCATCATTAGTTTCACTGTCTCTCACTGCGTTTATGGTCTGTGTCGCTGACCAAACATCAAGATTTTCTGGATCCATGAAATTGCAGCATCAGAGCATGGTAACACGTACCAAGTCCATTGGCTTTTCCTCTGTGGAGCAAGACTTTGATCTGTTCATTTCTCTTGACGGTTCACAGGAGACAGTAGCCGTATTACGAGGAGCACCTCAAGACGTTCGTCTTCTCCTCTGCCGACCCAGCGACGAGGAGCTTGACCTTCTTGTCCTTCAGGTAAAAGTGTCATCCTAACTGCTGAGTTAATTTCAAGCATTGAATATCGAAATATTTGCCCTTTCTGTTCGATATCGCTGCAGTGCAGTATATGGTTTACCAAATTCTCACAAAAGCAGAAACAAAATATGCATGGTTGTGTGGCGGTCTGCCATGTTGAGTTTTACCACGGGGGTCTTTTCCTAATTACAGGGCACTCATTCTGCATTGGCACATTTTTGGTACCACAGCTCTTTAGAAGATTTTCCTATTTTTATTCATATTTGTGAATGATATTGTTATTTGTGAATCAGGAGGATGAGAAGGCATTTGAGCGGAAGTTGAGTTCACCGTCCGCTCCCTCCAGTCCCAGGATCACCAAGGAATCGCAGACCCAGGACGAGGCGACCACGCCTCCCTTCACCCCGGCCCCGCCGAATGCCACAGACCACCAGTTCTCACCCCCGGAGTCCCCCTCTATCTCGTTGGCTCCCTCCGAGGCCAATTCGCTCCGGCTTACCCCAGTGACACTTGCGAGGGAACCAGAGCTTGTGACAAAGTTGCCTCTGACCTCGCCTACGAGTAGTCTGAGCTCGCCTGTCAAGTCGGTTTCTGAGCCATTGGGTGGGGTAGGTTTCTCTGTCGTGATGCTTGCGCGAATAGAGAAGTTGTTCTGATATTTTGTGGCTCGGTTGTTTTGCTATTGAATAAAGTATCTTGTAGGTGAGTCAAATTTGGTGTTTAGTGGTAACATACAGTCACATTTCATGTCATATGGGCTCCAGTGGAAAATACATGTTATAGAATGGTGTCCTTTTTGAAAACTCTGAACCCGAACGGGGTTGAACTTAAAAGATTTTCACCTGTTTTGGTGTAATTTTGAAACATGATCAAAATGGCAGGTGCCTACAGCAATCAATAACGTTTTTAGGCAACGTACTTACGATGCGCAACAAACTCTAAAGGATGAAATATGTGAAGGTATTGCTCAAGTTGTAAAAATGCAAAGTGGGCAAAGCATTTCTTAGGGAGAGACAAAAAGGACTTACTAGCACAGATTGTCTCTCCCAACTCCAGGAGTACGTGGAGGTGACCCTGATCAAGCCCGCCAAGGGTGGGCTGGGCTTCACTGTGGCCGGGGGAGCTAACTCTGGCGGCTGCTACATCAAGGATGTCATCCAGGATCCGGCCAAGTCGGACGGCCGGCTCAAGAAGGGAGATAAACTCATCAAGGTAGGCGATCACAAGGTGTGGGGCTGGTGTTGGCTTCCAAGCACCCAAATCGGGGCTTAGTTGTAAGAGCTTAATGACAAAAAGATGGGCAGTGTGGGTTCTCAGCTAATTTTGAGTAGGGAAAGAAATTTACTTGGCGGTATATCTTTCTCGAGATCTGTAAATTTTGACCTAGTCATAGATCTACAGTGTTTAGAAATGGTCGAGTTGGGGAGTCCATTTTTTGTGGCTGGCAGTTCAAGTTGGTCAAGCGATATCTGTGTTTTTGTTAACTGTCTGTGAAATCCAAGTTTGAAGAACATTTGATAGAGTTTTGTTTCACAGAATGAATGCCAGAATCCAATATGTGAAAGTTGGTGTACCGCTGTCATATTAGCATTAATTCTTCATTTATCTTTGTCATTGTGAAGGTCAACAACCAGGATATGCTGTCCATGAGCCACTTTGACGCTGTGTCCTTCCTGCGTATGACCCCGCAGGAAGTCACCATCAAGGTCCTACGCCTCCGGGAGCGGACCCAGGAAGCCCCGACTCCTATTCCCCCTCCAGTTCCCTCCTCTCCACCCCCCGCCTCCCCCACCCTGTACTCGGACAGACCCGTCTTCCCCACTTCCGAGATGACCCAGAGCCCTTCCAACTCCTCACGCTCCGACCCGGCGACCGCGGTCAACCTGGACCGACTGCCAGTGGTCAGGGTCCAGCGCAACCCAGCGGGTCAGCTGGGGTTGTCCCTGACCCTGGACCTCAGGGGGGCTGGCCGGTCGGGGATTGTCGTGAGCGACGTCATCCCTGGACTCCCGGCAGCCAGCGAGGGCAGTATTCAGACCGGGGATCTTATCCATGCCATCAACGGAAAGAACTTGTCTGGAATGAGTTTAATGTCAGCCAGACGTCTTTTAGAGACTGCTCCCAGCACAGTGGAGCTGAAATTAACTAGGTAAGTTCACAGGTACCACGCTAATTTTAAAAAATATTTGAATTTAAAAGAATAACTTTCTTTCTATTCTTTAAAATCTTTCTTAGTTTCAGCATTATTGTCAAATTTATAATTTAACAAACTAGAGGAATTTCTACTACATGAACAAATGGCTCTCCATACCACGTATTTCAAATACTGACATTTTGATGCTAAAGGAACAGTAAATGGATGTCAGTCAAAGATATCTCAACAACAGATTCATCTGATTTGTGATAACAGAAACGGCCAGCCCGTCGCCCCCCGCAGGAGGCTCCCGACGCCCCGCAGCCCTGCCGATTCCTCCCAGGAGGTGCCCAGGATCGTCCTGCCCACCAGCCCGAGGTCCGAGAGGCCCCTGCTGCCCCCAGGAGATGGCCCAGGGGAGCTGTCGGTGGAAGAGGAGATGAAGGGAGTGATGGAGTCGTTGGACTTGGACCTGGGCGACCTGTCCTCCGAGAAGATGGAGGAGACTGACTGGGAGGTGGGGTGCCAGACTTTGAAATGATTTCTTTTTTAATATGTTGTTCATGCTAATGTGTTGATGTGACCAAACAGCTTAAAATCACTCACTCCTCCCCCATTTTTGAAACTTGTTTATGCTGTCGTTTGTCTGTAGAATTGGTATTTGTGAAATTCCTAATTCTTGCTGACGATAATACAGCACGGTGACACAACCCTTATCTCTTGACAAGAACACTTTAAAAGTGGAATAAATTCACCAGGTGTTGATCACTACACCTTTTGGGATGTATTTCAGGATGTGTCTGAAAGTGACAAAGATCATCTGGACGATGTGGACGCCATCTTGGCTTCGCTGGAGGCAGAGCACAACATTACTCTTCCGGACGAGATCAAGGAGAAACGGACCCTGCCCATGGACATGCCCGGCATCGCAGTCACGGAGGTGCCACCCGCTCGGTCTTCCAGGCAGGGCTCCTTGGAGGTGAGGCCAGAGGAAACAGGTCCTGAAGGCCGAGTAAGGGAGCTAAGTTTGTGGCCACGCTTTCGACTTGCAATGCAAAATGAAAGAATTTTCATGCCATTTTTTTCCCCATGAACAGTCACACTGCTATACGCTTTTCCAAGTTTGCTTTTTGAATATTTCAAATATTGTTCTGAGAACAGCCCAAACTAGTTTATTCCTTTTTTTTCAGGATGGCAAAAAAGAGTGATACATCAAATCTTAGACCTTTGTTAGCTCTTTCTAAAACAAACTGAAACAAAAACTGATAAAAGAGGCTTAAGACTCATTTTGTGGGATCCGTTCATATTTAGGCTGTTTCGGTTTAACCTCTAACAGTGTGCTGTTTCTTTGCCTTTCCAGGTTCAAAATGGCGATGCCAAGGAGCCTGAAGACCGATCAACCCCCTCACCCGTCTACAGCAGCCCCATTCCCACCCCTTACCTCACCCCTACCCCACCCGCCACCCCCTCTCTGCCCGACATGGACCACGAGGCCGAAGCACCGAGCCCTCCCTTCTCACCTCCTGCTGCCGCAGTGGAGTCGCCCTTTTCGGCGGGGGCATCAGCTGCTGCCCCGCACGCTGTCCCACCCTCAGAGGTGGACTCCCCGACCCCGAGTGAGGCTCCCACTGTGGACCGGGCCAGCACGGGAATCATAGAGAAGGCATCCACCATCGTCGAGACAGACCACGAGTCTGAGGGTCATGCTGAAAAATCTGAGGTCAGTTACTGAGTCCTATTGAGGACACTATTTAGTGTATTAACTTACACGAAGCAGCGGCCTGTAAAAGCAGTTGTTCTAGGTAACAGGTGAGCTGTTCAGAAGTCTTCATGAGATTTCAAAGGCAGGCTCCAAGTGTCTCTTCCTCAAGCTATTTTAAAGTAAGCTTTGAAGTCTTAAAACATAGTGTACTTTTGCATATCAGTTTACTTGGTGAATATTCATGTCTTTTGTGCCCAATAGGGAGGAGTGATCTGGATTGAACTGGAGAAGCCGGCCAATGGCAGCCTAGGGTTCAGTTTGACGGGTGCCATGAAGGGTGGGAAGACCAGCATCTTCATCAAGACAGTCACACCTGGGGGCGTGGCCGAGAAGGACGGCAGACTGCGAGTTGGGGATCGACTTCTACAGGTCAGTTAAAAAAAAAAAATGTTCGTAGGTTTTTTTGGTAATTTTTTTTCTGTCCACTTTTGTTCGTTCAGAACCAAAGCCAGCGTCAAAATTTAGCTGGATCTCAGACTTAACCACTTGCTGCCAGGTGCCTTTGGAAATGCAGTGTCTAAAACCAGGCAATTTCAATATCTTTGGTTTTCAAAATCTTCAAAAATTCATATCTTTTTTTCCCGAATGACTAAACCCCATCGAGTGACTGTGTGGTGGCTACTCTTATCTGACAGACAGCATCTATTGATGCCTGGGTAATTCAGCCAGGCCTGCCGCCTTGTACAAAGAGCACAGATTGTGCGGTGTTACATAAGTTTCTTTTGTTCCCGAAACTGGCACAGTGCGCTTCTGGCATCTTTTCAATATGGGCCAGATTATTGGTATTGCATAGCTCATCATTGGACTGCTGGAGCGCTTTTGTCCCCCGTGGTAATCCCCTCATGCTGAATGCCACAGACAGTGGTATAATCTTTAAAAACAATGACAGATTTCTTCCTCTATTGACAACTGAAAAAATGTTGGCAATTCCCAGCAGCTCGGTCTTGTTCCGAGTACGGTCTTTTTGTTACAAGGCTCAGCTCTTTTGTCTGATTTCGGGCACCCCAGCTACCCAAAAACAGGCTCCCTGGCAGCAAGTGGTTAAGCCGTAGAAACTACCCACAGGTGCAAGTCTTCAGTGAAAGATTGCATGGAACAAAGTTTGCAATTGTTTCTTAGGGGAAAAATGGTATTTAAAACAAATGGGACTTAAAGCAAATTGGTAGGATATTCAAATGTTTATCTTAATTTTTTTTGGTGTTTCTCTTCGTTGTTCAGGTGAACGGCGAGAGCCTGGTCGGCATGACACAAAATAAAGCGGTTGGCATTCTGAGAAAGAGCAAAGGTGTCGTCAAATTGGCCATTACCAGGTATTCACTTCACTCTTCACTCTACTCAAATTCAGAACTGGGATATGTTCAAATACACCTAGATTCAAATTCGATCAACGGCCATGAAACAACCATTGGTCAATTTTGCCTGGTACCCAAGAAGTATTTTGTGCATAGCTTATCAGGGAGCATTGGACAGTGGTTGACAAATTGTCTGTGATGGGACCTGATTGCCGCGTATAATGCCATTAATACCCATCCCAAAACCTACTTTCAACTGTATGTTTCCTTGCTTTTCAATTCTGTTCTGAGACAGTGCATGAGACCTGCATTTTCATGATTTTGGAACCGGGCAATTTTTTTTTTCTGACCCTGCCCCTGTGGAAGGAATTTGTGGAGTGACATCTTCAGCTGTTAGCCTCATTCCTAAAAAAAAAAGAGCATTTGTTTTAACAATTTGTGACTATCTGATGAAATTTCAAATGTTTCAGGATCTTTGTTCACAAAAATCTGGACCTCAAACAATTGAATTAAGCTTGTTCACTTCATTTTTCTAAGGACAAAACAAAAGTGTATCAGTAATATACCCATCAACCCCAAAATTTTACTAGGTTGTAAATGAAGTCACAGGAAACTGAAAGTTTCTTGTTCTGTGAAGTTGAGCAGATGCCGAGAATGGTTATCAATGAAATCACTTCAGTTCAATTGTTTTTTTCAGGCAACTCGCCAAAACCAGCAGCAACTCCACCCCCATCCAGCCCAAGCGTGTCCCTGTCCTGCCAGTCCATGAGTCCCCCGTGCCCAGCCTGAATCTCCCCCACAGGAGCGACGAGGACGGGGAGGAGCAAGGGGATGATGGGGGAGAATCGTTGGCACAGTCCTTCACCGAGTCGGCCCGAGATGCTGAGCTGGAAGCAGGTAAGTCACCAACTCAGATCTAGTTTGTCATCATTTTCTCCCTACTTCCTCTTTTTTTTTATAACTCAGAGAGAAACATCTCATTGCTGAGTTGTCATGATTTGTATCTGGGGACGAGACTGAAAATTTCTCAAAAGTGCCTGTGGCACTGTACCTCATAAGTATTAAAAAAACTGTGGAGAGAGAACATTGAAGAAATGTTCAGTTTTAGAAGTGGGAGTAAAACGACGGATGAATGTTCAGGGTAAAACCCACGCAATCTTGTAGGGACTGAAAACCCAATCCACTTGTCAGCCTGGGTGGGATTCGAACCCCAGCCGCAAAGATGGAAGGTCCCAACCTGTCCATAGTGTCTTTTCAACAATTTAAACGTTCCCTTCCTCGGATTTTGTTCATCCTAAGAATTGGACCCTTAATGAAACAAAGAAGATATGCAGGCTGGTTTGGCTTGGGAAGGGCTCAAACCTATCACTTCCTCACAATAAAGATGTCTCAGTCACTGAGCTCGCTTGCTTACTTAAGCCTGATTGACTAAAAAAGTATCGCAAGTTTGAAATTTTGGTGATAACATTTGTTACGGATGCTTCTGGAATTTATTTCTTTGGCTGTTGGTTAAATATTGATCGATATCAGGCATCCTTGTCAAAACATCTTAGAGTTGATATTTAGACCATTGACATACTCCCAGCGCTCCCCACGGTTCAAAGTACACGTACATTTGCTCTAAGTTTATTCCGTTCCTCAGAATGACACCCAAAAAGCTGATAACATTCTGCAAGTGCCCCCGTTATGTTGACAACAGGCAATTGATATGTTATTGTGTCCTGTCAAAAACACTCATTCACACGTATCTAAAACCCACTCGTTCTTTGCACAGGGAACTTGCTCATAGAATACTCTGACCTTGGAGTTTATTGTGTCTTTGAGTTGCCATGCGTTTACTGCACAATAAAATAAACCCGCACATTGAAATGGGTACTAGATGTGAAAGCACTCGGCACAGTGAACACTGATATTCAACGCTGTCTCAGTAACACCATGGACTGTATGTAATTTGCATTTGTTCAAATGTTTTGTATCTTGTACGCACCTCTGTTGTTTTTACATGTTGACAATTTCTTATCGTAACATTGTAAAGATTTGTTATTCCTACGTCTGTCGGTGACTGTCATTTGACTGTTTCCTCCAGAGGTTTCTGTGCACTTTGTCGAAACCATTTGATTGTTTGTAAATGTCATGATTTATTTGCTTGAGTGGTTAACTTCACAGTTGTTTTCCTTGTGTTTTGTTTTTTTTCCTTTCCATCTGGTTCCACCGCTTTTTCCACTCCATGTTTTAAACACCTTTTCATTCCACTTTGCTGTACAACTTCACATTGATGTGGGTGATGCCTCCTCTAACGGCGTTGATTGTGTTGTGGAAAATTCAATTCTTTCTTTCATCCTCCTGTTTGGTTTTGTGTCTTTCTTGGATTTGGTCTCATTTTGTGTCTATCCTTGTCTCTGCCTGTTCATCACCAATTACTCTATCTGAATTGTCTCCATTGTCTACTCCTTTCTGTTCCTGTTCCTCTGTCCTTGTCCCCGCGGTCTCTCTGTGTATTTCTTTCGCTGTGACCTATCTATGTCATCTTTCTCATTTTTTTTCATTTATGTTTCTCTGTCATCCTTTCTCTGTCTGTAACCCTTACATCTTCCTGCCAATGTTCTTCCTCCATACGCATACCAACTTCTGTTTGAATGTCGTGGGTCATGTCTCCAATTCGCTCTCTTTTACGTGTTTCTTTTTGGTTTTTTCACGTCTCTGTACCCATGAAAATGTTTTGGCATTGTCAAATCACTCGTAAATCATCACCACTCTCTCACTTTCTTCCACCCTTCTTCAAACCAACCAATCCTTACCACACATCTTTACATCAATGTCACCCCTCCTACCCACACCCCCCCACCCCACATTGGGTGTCACCTCATGGTATGCATGCATGCAGATCTGTCCGAGTTTGACATAAGCACCAGTCTCAACTTTGACTCTCACTCCCTGCCCCTTGGTGGCGTGTCCTCCATGGCTATCACCCCTCCTCCCCCGGGGTTCCGAGCCGGCTATGTCTCAGGTAAATTTATGCAAGGGCAGAAAAAAAGGAACGAACCCATCCACAGTGTCCAATGAACCAATCGGCTTTGGGTACAGAAGTGTCACTGGTTTGCTGCCAACCTCATTCCCAATTTACACACCAAGGCTAGTTAGCTGTGCACAAATGTCGAGATAAATTGCAAGAGATCCTGGGTAAAACTTTTATGTTGAATTGTTAAGTGCTTGTCTTAGCAGGTACTGCTGGTCAGCCAATCACAGAAGTCATTACAGAGTGTCTCATTTATTGGGCCCTTGAAATTTCCTTTACAGTGCCTTCTATTTGTGAGTGTATTAAGTGAATTATTATCAAATAAAACAGTGAATAACTCCAATCTTTAAAAGTTAGGTATCAAAATTTGTTCTCAATACAAAAAAAATTATTGGGATTTCTCATACTCAAACTGATATATAGAAAATCCAAAGTTGTTCAATTAAAAAAGGGTCCTAAAGTCACAGAGAATTCCTTTGGTTACAGTGATCGTGACTAAGAGACAGCGACATCAAAATATGAATGACCCTAAGTTGAGACCTGATAATAAACTGGGAAAACAGTGGATGCAGTGTGCTCAGTTGCAACAGAACCAACCAAGTTGTTGTGAAAACATATCGCTCATTTTGGCAGCCAAGTGATGTGACAGCAGCCACATCATTCCATAGCGAAGCGCTGTGAATGCCGTTGTGTTTCACATGTATCATTCATGAAATAAAAACAGCTATGTTGAAGTCGAAACTCCACCGTTTGGACATGTGTTCTCTGAGACTTGTGTGTCTTCCAGACGTGGGTGATGTGATAACGTGACTTTTAGTTTCTCCATTTGTTCACAAATTTGTCGCATTTGAGCTCGGCAAAGAGCACTTTCAATTTAAGCGAGAGTGAACCAAGAGGACCGATCAGTGGTTTACAGCAGCCTAGAAGAAAACAACCCCACCAGTTTCATTTTGCACGCATGTGTTTCTAAAAGCGTATGTATTTTTCAGGAACATAAAAGTGATTTTATGTTTGTGATCTGGCTTGCAGTGTTTGTCAAATGGAAGTCAGAAAATCAAGAAAAACTGGTCACCATCTGACATAGTTCCGGGCAATTTTTGGCGGTTGCATAGTTGCTACATTGATAGTAGTGCTTCTCAGTCAAAGAATAACACTGATTTATTTGGCCTTTGACCCCTAAGGTCACGACACCGACGACGATATGGACAACACTATGGATCTTCCCGATGACTCGGCGGCGCACCCGGACACGGGGAAGAGTTCGCCGTCAGCCAGCGACGGTCAACACGCCGCCATGAAGTTTGGCCAAGCCTTGAAGGTAGGATCCAGATTGGCAAATGTCAAACGACAGGAAAGAGATGAATTTCTGATAAGATTGTACATCTCAGGCTGGCGTAGATACGTGAGTTAGGTTCTTAGCTGTAGTTTGGAGCTTAGGCAACATGACGGAAACAAAATCACCTGTGGAGTTTTTGTACCCAATAGGGGTTATGCACTGCCGGTGTCTGAGAGGCTGTTCTTTGTCATTTTAATTTCCTGACCTGAGTGTATCCCAGAGGAAGAAAAAAACACCTGCTAACATGACGTCACTTGCATAAGATCTGAACTGTTTATGTGTGACCACCATGGAAACCCAATGTGAAAAGCTTTAAGTAAATGGAGATTGGAATTCAGAAGAGGAAAAATTTCCTTGAAATATGTCATTTCAAGTTTTTTTTTCATTGAGAATACAAAAAAGTAGTGATGTTAACATCATACATCATGGTTCCCCCCACAGAAATTTGTTTTTGACAATTTTGACTGGTGAGGCCAAATCTCATTCACAGTTGGCATCATCTGACAGGTTTCCCAACTTGCGTTCACTTCAGTATTTTTATTTTAATGTAACCCTTTTTTGTAATCATCCTTGAAGAAATTTCATTATTTGCATCCAAAGATTTTCCTGGTTCATGGAAGTACTGAGATGTCACAGCAGATGTATTTGATCATCACTTAATGGGAATGAAATAAGGGGATGTTTGATATGAGAGCCAGCCCAGCCCCGAATTTCAGGGTTGGTGTTATAAAATCACAGTCTCAGCTCTGTTGACATCAATATTCCCCTCTTGCTTTGCCTCTAGGCCCGTGGCCAGATGGTTCCCGAAAGCGACGACTCAAGCTCTTGGGGCTCCGACACCGACATTCCCCTCTCAGGGGACCGAGGTCACACCCCCGCCCCTCGCACCACCCCCAGCCACAAGATCCTGAGCGTGATCAGTGACGCCGAGCTGCGCCGCATGGCGCTGGCCAGGCCGGCTCCTGGAGGGCACTATTCGGGCCGGTCGCTGCGGAGCGTCATCGCCGGCCTGCAGAAGCAAATAGACAAGCAGGACCCTGCCGAGGAATTCAAGGTAGAATTGGCCTAGAAGTTGTTCCTTGTTGAGCAGATATCTTTGAAGATCTACACGCATTGCTTCAGTTTCTGTGGCTTGTATCACCTTGGGTGTGATTTTACAGGATTTTTGCGAGATCTCAGATTTTGTTCATCCCCTGGATTTTCATTTGAAGGTTTTCATATAGGATAGGACTGCTTTAATGCTTTGTTGTATAAAATCCAAATTCAAGATTCACACCGTGACAGCCATTTAAGGAGAGAACTCATGCTTTGTTTAAGGCGGGTTCATATCTATGATATTTCAGGTGCTGCGCAACGTCAAAGCAACAGACAACTGTGAGGAGGCTAAGAAACCCATCAACAAAGACAAGAACCGCTACCGTAACGTGTTGCCTTGTAAGTCGGTAATCTGCAAGAATCCCATTACAGCATGAAGTAGATCATTACCATTAACAAAGCTCATGAAATTAAGTTGTCGTTTATCGTTATTTATTGTTCAGGGTTAATGTAACATGTTTGTTTTGGGGAACTCCGGGCTAACCTAGAAAATTTATATTTTTTGAATATTTTAATCCATTTTCCTTCATGTTTTATGAAACACCTTACAGACTACATCTTTTGTGTGTGCCTTTCACGCTCAGCACTAAAATCTCCTTACATGCAAAATGATGTGCACATTAAAAACCCCCTTACATGCAAAATGTGCACATTAAAAACCCCCTTACATGCAAAATGATGTGCACATTAAAAATCTCCTTACATGTATATGCTTAGTGGCGTGTGTGTGCTCTAAAATCTCCTTACATGCAAACTGATGTGCACATTTAAAATCTCCTTACATGTATATGCATAGTGGTGTGTGTGTGTTCTAAAATTTCAAACACGGTTGTGCTGGGATACAGTCAAATGTGGTTTCTGCACAACAACAGTCTCATTGGTGTACCGTGCATGCCTATGGGGGACAGTCAGTGATTTCCATGTGTGAGGGTTGGATTTCATAACATAGGAGTCAAAATTTCACATGAAACTGGGAAAGTGTTTGAAACCAGCTGGTAATTATTTGTCAGCCTTTTAAAAAAGCCCACGACAGACTTTGGATCAATAGAAATGGGGAAAACCGTCTTGAGGTATTAGGAATGAGGGTTTGAAACTGCATACAGGTTTGGAAGTGGACAGCTCAAGGATGCGTCCAAAGCTGCACAGTTGGGAGCACTCATCGGAGGATCTTTGGTTCCTTATTTCTTTCTTTTTGCTAGATGACGAGACCAGAGTGGTGATCCAGCAAGTGGGCGGAGCCAAGTACATCAATGCCAGCCACCTCGACGTCCTGGTGGGCAAGGACACCTACCGCTACATCGCCTGCCAGGGGCCGCTGCCCCAGACTGCCGGCGACTTCTGGCAGATGGTCTGGGAGCAGAGGTCGGATGTCATCGCCATGGTGACGCTGGCAATGGAAAGTGGCAAGGTGTGATTTTATCATTATACTTTTCACAGTATCTATTGTTACTGTGGTATCGGAAATGTTACTTCCTCCAGTTATTGTACAGTGTTTCCATTGGAAAGTAGTTTTTCATGACCAATTGTAGATATTAAAACATTTAGCACATCTGGGCAACATATCACTATTTCATGTGAAGTGTGAAGAAAGTCCATGGCGCAGTAGAAGGTTTGATGTTATCTCCTTGTGATCCAGGTGAAGTGTGACCGTTACTGGCCGGATTCCATGGAAACGCCCATCATGGTTGCCGGGCGATACCAGCTGAGATTGGACAGCATGCAGACCCTGGATCACTTTGACATCCGCAAAATATCCATGAGTGATACCAAGGTATTGTCTGGGACCCTCCTCCCTGCCCCACTGGGGGCCTGATTTCTTACACCTGCTAATTAGCGGAATCAATCCCATCCCAGCCGCAACCCTCAACCTTCCCCACTCCCAAAACTCAAACCAAACAAAACAAATATCAGTCACAAAACATACAGCTTTTGTGGTTGATAGTGAAAATGCCCTCCAACACGAGCGTATTTTCAAACCGAGTTGAAGTTCAGTCAGCCTCAAGACAGTCACAGGCCCTGTCACAAGGTGCAGAGGTTGAAATAGAAGGTTATGACCCCTCTGCTATATGTTTTACGGATTTCTTCTCGTCCGCCAATTTCGCTCTCATGTGGGTAATTTTCTCTGTTTTGTTCTACTGTGCTAATGCAGACCAACGCAATCCACTATGTCACCCATCTGAATTTCACCACCTGGACGGACCACGGCGTGCCCAGCTCGGCCCTGCCCCTGCTGCGCTACGCCAAGTACATGCGCAAGATCCACGCCAACGGGCCCGTGGTGGTCCACTGCAGCGCCGGCATCGGCCGCACGGGCACGCTGATCACCATCGACATCATCATGGCGCTGATCGATCGGGACGAGCCGTTCAAAATCGTTGATATCGTGAGGGACCTCAGGACCAAACGCCAGGGCATGATACAGACAAAGGTCAGTGGCTTGCTGGAAGTCTGTCCCTTTACGGGGGGCAAGTTTCAATAAGTCCGTCAATTGTAACATATTTTGCAGAGGTCAGATTGGTTTGCAACAGGGTTACAGTAATATTTTGGATAGGTGTAAGGACTGTGATGGGCTTTTAAATCAGATTTGACATCATTATGCCATCGGTCATCTTCGTCTTCCTTGTTCCACAGGACCAGTATCTGTTCTGCTACAAGGCGGCCATTGAACTGCTTAAAACGCTCATCTGATGCACCAAGCAGTGGGATTTCCTTTGTCAGGTGAAACACTTGAGGGCGCTGTTCACAATTCATGGATTGAGTGGAACAAATATCACAACTGTTTCATGGGTATTGTTTCAACAGTGTTTGGTTTCAGGTGAGTGGACATGTGCAGAAAGGATGAATGGTTCCGAATTCAGGTCTATTAAGTTGTTTTTTGATTTTGAATGTTGGGAAAAGTTGTAGTAACTGCTAGATCTTCCACACATGTCCGATGACCTCACAGACAGTCCAACTCTGGTTGGGTCAATGATGACAGTGTCGACAATTCAGAAAACCCTGGTATTTTTAAATTTGGTTTCCTGATATGTCAGCATTGTCATGGAAGCTGCCAATAGATTGATACAGTAGGAGACTTCTCCAATTGGAGAAATTTTTCTTTTTGTGTATGAGAAATATGATTCGCTATGAAGCTACTTACATTCTGCGGCATACCGGTACGGTACTTAATAAATGAACCTGGTAGTTGAAGGGTTATCTTTAGGACCTGACCTTGTTATTTATGAACTGTAGATTTGTATGAATTCTCTCCGACATACTGCGTTAACTGAATTCTCATCAGGTACTTTATGAACTCAATACTGTCAGTGTCCCTCGTGGAGAGTTCATTAATAATGAAAACCAATTTTCCTTGAATACTTTGAAAAGTCAGCTTGTGAGTAACCAGTACATGTGAACAAAAGGAACCGTCTGAACATGTTGTTTTATATTTTAGAGAGAAAAAAAAATCATTTCCATGCATTCTTGCGAGATATTTATTTATATATATTTCTAATTGTATCCTTGAAAAATTGAAATACTTAACCCAAAACTGTGGACATTGCTGAAGTTTGAAAACTATATATTTTTGAGATCTCCGTCCTTAAATTGAAATGAGATTGATGGTAAACAATCTAATAACCGCTGCAAATCATGCGAGAGATTTGTTAATTTTTATCATAAAAATTGAGCAAAATGTAGGACCGCCATAATTGAAAAACAAAGACGCTATTATCCTGTTCTTAATTTGTGATAAGTGTGTTTGTAGTGTGATCTTCACCAGTTGAGATGTTACTTGATCTTGATTGACTTCATTCTTAAAGAGAGGTACGTGGCGTCATTTATCTTGCAAATCTGAGGCTTGTTGTCATGATGAAACCAAATATACATAGAAAATGTAACAGGTCCTAATCATTCCGTTGAAATGTGTGATGCGTTGAACTTCAGCGTGATATCAAAGGACTTTTAAATTCTTACAGTATTTGTATGCGATATTTTTGAGGTGTCTTGGTGATTTTCTTGCCTGTTGGAAGTTGAGGAGTTGGAGCTGAACTTTCTGCCTTCACAATTAATATGCATTATGCTAGCTTGACAGAAGTTACTATTGGAAACAAGCTGCATCTGTTGTAATGGAGTATTTGTTTGGCCAAGCAGGCACATTCCAAAGCTTGAGGCGGACGAACTGTTTATTTTGAAGTCTGTATGGTCTTGTTTTGGTTCCAAATTTGTTCAGAGTTTTGAGAATGACAGGGTACATGATTCTCTTCCCCATTTTTTTCTCAGTATATTACAGATTCCATTTATCATATTAAAATTGTACTTATGAAATTAATGTACTTAGTATTTAAAAATCAGAGTTTTAGTAATCTAAAAATATGCTTTTCCTGTGTAGATAGTCTAGAGTTTTGTCAATATGAGAGGGTTTTTCAGGTGAACATTATTTGTTAATAACTGTTGTTCAGGCGAGGCTGATTTGGCAAAAAATGAGCATTATGTTGGCTATGCAACGCTCAATGCTGTAGGCAAAAGATTCCCACATCATGTATTTTTGTGTATTTTTTCAAAACAAAAAATCCCTCAGCTAAACCAATTTTCAGCACTCCCAAGAAAAGCTTATTACGACAATCACTGGTAGAAGTTACATATTTAGGAGCAAAGCGGGTAAAACTCTGCCGTTAGACTAAGAAAAAATTCCAGCATACATCCCATCATAACTTTTTTCATTAACAGGCATCAAGGGTTTTTAACAGCATTTTGAGGTTCAACCACTGACCTCTGTGCTACTTGTTCCAATATTTTTTTTTGTAACTAAGCAAAACTGTGCCTTGATATATTATTAGGAAATTTGCAATAAAGTGACGGTTTCGGTCACCGTCATGGAGGTTTATCTATAGCAAAGAGACGGACCTGCATTAACCATCATGTCAAATGATTTGGTAAAACAGTTGTCAGCATTTAAGAAATACCGCTTCTGTGCGCATGCACATTTGTATTATATCTGTAAATAAGGCCAGAATAATTTCAGTGTTTTACATACAATATAGAGTGCCTCCAATCTATCCTTTTTTTTAATCAACCTTTCATTATATTTGGTGTATCACATTAGTGACTTATTAGAATTCTAATTTCTTATCATTAAATCTCTTTACATTGTGTATGGGTTTTTGTCTATCTCGCATATTCCATTGCTGAAAATTAAAGGCGAACATCCGTGGTTGGATGAAGCATGGAGTGCAGTTGGTTTGATTCCAAACTGTTACTGGTCATCGTTGCTGCTAATTCGCATGGGTTAATGCCAGAAATTTACTTCAAAATCCAACCAATCAGATTAGCAAAGCAAATTAAATTTCACTTCTTTTCAATCACCAATTACTCCTCCAAGACATCTGTAGATAACATTTACGAGTGGTTTGTAAAAATGTCCGGGAAATGTTAGAGTTCTTTTGGAAGTCCAAACAGAACTGTGGAGTGTATTCACAAACAAGACACTGTAACTTTGCACTAAACTTAATAATTGACCGAACATTTTGAAAAGAAGACTAATATGAGTCATCTTTTAAACACATACATGTATTTGTGTGTTCAGACAACCCGGCCCTAATAAGAAGCCTGGGTACTAGACCACACCATCCACTGACACTTTACTACCCTGTTTATAATGCCAATGAAGTATTTGAACTCCAAGGCCAACTTAGTTCTCTTGGATGTACAGAGTACCAAAATCAAGACGTCAGGCGCACAATTATGCGCATCAAAGCCACTGGCCTGGCAACCAGTTCATGAACCAACACTTGCATTTGCCGTTCATTTGCACAACCCTTCCTTGATTAGATGGCGTCAAGCTCCGGTGCTCTATGCAACACAGTGCTACCATCGGTGCACCGGCAGCAGATTTATTTACAATGGTAAACTCTATCTTTGCCCCATAGCCCAATGGGCTGAGAAGGAAACTAATTAAACATCCCAGAATCTGATCCTGATACATTGGACCAAGAGGCCGTAACATTCCATTTCTTTTATGTACATCGCTATTTTAACAATTGCTGGCAAGGAAATACGTGACCAGCAACTTTGAACACCACCGCCAATTTTTTTAGGTTTTTGTTGTCGCGGTCTGAGAAATAACCAATTTTCCATTTGGATGAAGAAGTTGACCCTTCTAAAACAAAGGTACTTCAATAACATAACACTGCACACTCTTTCAGCCCCAAAAAGGCCCCCCCCCCGAGATGTGTCACCTGTGTACCATTTCATGTTGGCTTCTCTTCAAGTTTCTCCTCCAGCTTGTTGAATTCTTCATTGGCAACTTGATCTGCTTCGTCCTCAATCTGAAAAGGAAAAGGAAAGACGCTTATGAAAAAAGAAGATTTTTCTGTAATAGGTTCTTGTTTTTAGACACAAAACAGTTCACAGAAATCCAACTCTCTCTGCAGGTGTGCAACTTTTCCTCTGATCAGCTGATTTCCTTGTTTTTCACTACACACTCATGCCATTGAAAATTGAAAAACATTGTCCAAAGCCGTGTAAAGATTGGAATATCCTTGTTTTGTGTCCAAGTCCAAGTTGTATACCTGTCATTCTCAGCAGCCGAACACTGAAAACTTGAAAAAAATGAAGACTGAAGTCAGTCTGGCATCAGCCAATTTCTCCCTTTATCACCTATTAAAGTGCCACATGTCTTAAAAAGTTTTCCGATTAGTGTAAAAGATTGAACTGGCAATAAAAAAGTCCACTACATTTATAGGATGAGTTTCTTTTCTATTTCTCTCGAGGGCAAGAAAACTTAATTGGCAATGTTCCCAGGACTTGGCATTTCAAGCGACAGCATACGCATATTTTTCTGTCCATGTAAAAAATTCCTGAATCTCTTTAAGGAGAAAAATCAATGTCACCTTTGCTACATTTATCTACGGCTAAATTAAACACATTGGCAGCGAATAAACTGTACGGCCAAACAATTTCACAGATAAATTTGTATACAAGGACACATCTGAACCAACAAATTATGTTTAGCTTTTCTATGAAAATTTTTATTTTTATCCAAGGTGAAAAGCCGGAAAAAAGTTTCCCTTTCTCCAGTCAGAAAAGTTGGGGACTTGAAGGAAAAATGTCTCACAGCGCAGCCACTAGATGACTGACTATGGTGACTTTCTGGTGGAAATACTGGTTGAAATGACTATCCTGGACTTTTGAAAATTAATCGAGGGGAAACTTGGGGAAAATTAAGAGAATTTTATTTCCACAAAATGCAGGGAACTGTGGCCTATGAACTACACCGCAGGGTTTATGTATCATCCCGAGGGGAGGGAGGGGGGACAGATTAGCGCCACCAACGTGACAGAGAATCTTATTTGCTATGTGAAGACGAGTGCGTGCACATCCCTCGGCTGTGACTGTGTGTGACCCTGCTATATCGATACTACACATGCGGCGCAGCTGCACCTGCCATAGCAATGTTTATGTACCAGGCCCTGCTGGCCAGGGTCAGGCAGATTACCCTGTGCACGAGAATGATCAACCACAAGGCATTCGTCTGGTTCCCAGGGTTCCCTATTTTGTATTGCGTTATGGGCTATGTGTAAGCATCCGACTACAATGCAATGGAAAAAGATTTTGAGCGAAACCATTTTGTTTTTGGACATGCTCAAAAATTTGGTCGAAAAACAGTCGCGTTAAACCAAGGGATTTCCTTCAAATTTCTACAGACGAAAGACCAACAATATGGTGACATATCTAAGAAATAAAAAATGAAATGTTAAAAAAGCATTTTTTACAAAAAAGATCCTTTTTGTTAATGGATTTTAGGGGTGTCACCAAAGAGGCAACCTAACGGTAAGCACATTCATCACACAGGCTCGTGTGCGGGATAGAATGCACTGTTACAAAGCCAAAATATAATTTCATTTCTGATGCCATCGAGGGATAGACAACTCGTGCTCATTTTTATTTGAAAATTTAATCCATGCAGATATCATAGGTGGGAATGTAATTGTGGACATGATTTTTTCCTTTTTTACTATTACGTACACCCCTCTTTTAAAAATGGAAGTGGCTCACAGACAGCCATTTGCACTCAGCTCTTCCTCTCCCCGGTATCATCCCCAACATTCTACAGATTATCGTTCTGGTCCATTTTACTAGAGCAACTACCAGCAATCCTACCAAAGTTTGTGAGGTATTTCTTTACCTGTTCGACCCCCACAACTTCCGGCACATAGAACTGCAGCATGTTCTGTACCCCGCTCTTCAATGTCAACACTGAACTCGGGCAGCTGGTGCACGCCCCTTGCATCTTGAGTTTGACAATGCCATCTTCAAAACCCTAAGATTACAAATAGAAAGTCAGAGAAAGCTGCCAAGTACAAGATGAACGTCAGTTCAGCATCGGCCTTGACTACCGATAAACCATTCCCTTTCTTATTTAGTTTTATTTTATTTCTTTCTTTTAAATGCACTTCTTGGGTACAATAATCAATGTTTTACCACACATCCCTCTCTGGTTTTAGAATTGAGGGAATAGGGTCACAGAAATTCAATTCACATTGGCAGAGGAGAAGACGGTACAGTTATCGAATTACCCATGCAGTCAGGAAAGGACTGAACGTCCAATATACACTACTGAAAAGAATTAAAGGAACAAGAAAACAAAATGTTTTTGTCACGGTCTCTATGGGCTACCGTTAGAGCAAGAGGCATTAGAGTTATGTGACAACACCTGAATTATTTTCACATAACTTTAATGCCTCTTGTTATAACGGTAGCCCATATAGACCACAACAGAAACATTCTGTCCTCTTGTTCCTTTAATTCTTTTCAGTAGTGTACATGTGGATAAGTGCCAGGGTTGGGGTTGCTTGGCTGACTAGGTCAATTCATTTGGGACTCCAGATCAGGACATGTATGCTTTATATGCGTGGCGGGGGGGGTCTCCAAACTCGGACAAAGGGAACAGGGCCTTGGGAGATAATCCTGCCTTGTTTTGAAACAGTATATCATGGTTTGGGGCATTTAGAGCGAGCGGATTACCACCGGGACAAAAGAACTCCGCCAATGCAGTGATGAGTCACACAGCAATACTGCATGCTAATCTGGCCCCTATTGAAAAGAGGTCAGCAGTGCACTGAGCCAGGTTCGTGAACAAAAGAATATTACGTAACACCCACAAAATCTGGGCTCTTTTTACCAGGCTGCAGGCCTGGCTGAAATACTCAGACATCAATAGATTTTGTCTGTCAGGCTAGAGTAGACACCAGACATGCCTTCACGTGTTTGTTAGTGTCCAGTAAATGAAGAAAGGAATTTTGAAAGAATTTTGAAAACAGAAAAAAAATGACAAAAATCCTGCCCCAGCATCATCAACATTGATAAATGCCCCGGCAGGAAGTGGTTAAAGGTTCATATGAAACAAGAAAAAAATTTATACTCCACTAGCTTCAATTCAAACAGGTCTTTTCCTGTTTGTTTCCTGTTTTTTGCATTGCATTCAACTCAACATTTATTTCCATACTGCAGTGTATATTTGCTGAATTATACCAAAGGTCAATCAATAAATGAATCTTTTGACATAAAATGAGGAAAAGGGGCAACAGGGAGGCATATTCAGAAGAAAAACGAGATGAACAAAACTAAACAACAAATCATTCCTGAAAGACAAGAGTGCAGCAATAAAGACAAAGCAGAGAAAACAAAAAATCGTGAGCGAACAGAGGAACCTAGCTTTCACTCTCACAGCAACCTTTCTGGCGAGCAGCCAAATCATTCCAGTCACACTGAGGCCTACTCGACCCCCTCTCCCGGTCAGCAATCACTGATCGTTTTCGGAGAGGCAGGTCAGGTACTGAAATTTGTATGAGCTCACCATGTATACGATGTCCCCTCCGTCTTCTTGCACGGTGGGTCGGATCCTAGTGTCCAGGAGCTCCTTGATCATCGCGACCGTGTCGTCATCGTCTTCGTGAACCTCTGCATAATCCGAGTTGAAGAGGTCAAAATAACATGAACACATCAACGGCGAGTGACTGCTATCAATCTAAGTTTGAATGAACAGGTTAGGATAGCTGATCCTAGGGCTTGCCTTGCCGCTGCAAAGGGTCAAAGATTTAAATCTCGAATACATCACCTGCTTTATTTGTAATTTTCTGGACTGATTTTGATGATTACAAAATACTCAAAGTGTGTCGAGCATTACAAATAAATCCTTGCTTTTTCATAGTACATTTGTACTCCCAAATCAAGTGAAATTTCACATTTTGATGGATAGGTGTGCGGAACCAGCGAAATACCTGTATCTGCTGCCGGCTGTTCATCCGTCATCACCGGTAGCCCGCTGGTGAAGAAATCCATGATGGTGGCATAGATCTCGGGCTTCATGACGGCCCACTCTGTGGTGTCATCATCAACTTTTGTGATGGTGATGAAATCCGAGCCGAAGAACACACTTTTGACACCATCAATACGGAACAACAACCTGTCAGGACAGGGAATATGATCGAGCCTTGTGAATGGTTTCAGATGGTCACAGGTTTCTGTGGTACATCATTTGTGCTAACAAAGGTTTTTTAGGCAACTGACGGATTGATATTAACATATGGGTACAAAGAAATAAAGGAAAAAAATCACTTGTTTTGAGATAAAAAGTTAACAAGCTGTCACAATGTTAGTTTTAGAAAATGTAAAATTTGGAAATTAACATCAGATTCCTTCAACACTTTTCTTCTTTATGCCCAACATCTGCATCGATTCACTCTAATACTAAAATTATATTGCAAACACAGAGAGAATAAACAGACCAAAAATCAAGTTTGTACTTGTGCTATGATTGAGAGCTGTTTGTTTATTAATGGACAGTTGAAAGACTGGGACAAATCAATGAGGTCGAGATGAAGATGTCGGTCAGGACTGCAAATGGACGGTGTGTTTAATGAATGAATTAACGATCCAATGTATCAAAAGGTAGAAGTTGGAATGGCCAGACGTTAATAATTCTTCGTAAAAACGATTCAAGATCACTATCAAATTAAAGAAGCTGAGCAAATGTAACATTTATTCAGTACTGCCACAAAGTAGGGAAAACTTAAATCGGTTTTGACAAAAACTTCCTACAAGCAGCATCCCGAGGGCTGAAATCCCACCCATAGCTTTTATTGACTGCTTTTAATTAGCCAGTAATATTTAACCATATGTTGCCAGATTTAATTTGAAGATGCATGACGTATTCCCCAGGGATTTTCAAAATTCTTCAAAAATTCATAAGTGCATTTACTGGATGTTTACATCCACACGAATGATTGTCTGGTGTCTACTCTTATCTGACAGACAACATCTATTTCAGCCAGGCCTGCCGCCCTGTAAAGAGAGCCCAGATTGTGAGGTGTTACGTAATTTCCTTTTGTTCCCGAAACTGGCCCAGTGCGCTGCTGGCATCTTTTCAAATGCGGACCAGATTAGTGTTTAGCAGTATTGTGTCGCTCATCTCTGCAGTACTGGAGTGCTTTTGTTTCCGCTCATGCTGAATGCCACAAACAGTGGCATAATCACTCAAAACAATGAGGGGTTTCCTCCGTTATTGACAACTGTAAAAATGTTGGCAATTCCCAGCAGCTTGGTCTTTTGTTCTGAGCACGGCCTTTTGTTACATGGCTCAGCTCCTTTGTCCCATTTCGGGCACCCCGGCTATGCATATAAAGCAAGTGTCTCCAAAACCGGGCACCCTGGCAGCAAATGGTTAATGAAGAAGCCAAGCACCTCTGAGGACATACATCGTACCTTGCGAGAGGTGAACTGTGAGCTGTCCTGGCACTGGGGAAGTCCACGGTCCCTCCCTGATCCAGAACGGGGACTCCTGGTATGAACTTGAGGCTGTTAGGGTTAGGGGTGTCCTGGGTCTGAATGAACATACTCCTGGCTGTAGAAAGATGGAACATGAACAAAAACAATTAGACAGATGTAAAAGAGGTAGAACTCTCAGAAGTTACCTGAGACAAGTTCTAAGTTTGACTCAAGTTGGCCTCATTGACAGATGACATCCAAAGCCAAAAAGCTTTTGAAATGTCACTGGTTTGTGTTGTGACAACTCTTTCCTTCCCTTCTTTGATCAGCCCAAAAAGTTCATGATGTTCATGCTGCACAAGAGTAAGCCTGTTTGATATCCATTTTTTCCGAAACCGATATTTTGTGAAAAAAAAATAGGGCAATATTTGATATTATCGTGATGACGTCATTTTTATTGTTATTTCGGGGGTTTCACATCCACCACCGATGCATCTTAAGGTATGCATAAAATAAAGTCTGACGACACGGTCCGATCCCGAACGGTGCCAGTCCCTGAAGCATGTACTGACCTAAATGTCACTTTTCATCGGGCGAACGCAACTTGAAATAGAGGGATTTCACATTAGCTCCGTCTGAGCATATCAGCCTTGAAACCGAGGCTCTCTGTGTTGAACTTCGTCATGCGCGCCCGCAGAGTCGACACAGTACATGCAGTATCCGGTTCGTAAGTGTGACGCCACTTCAGTTTAAACCATGCCCGCTGCACATGCAGACACACGACCATCGCAGGTACGTTAGTTCGGGGTAAACTGCCGTTATTTTTCCATTTGATTTGACATGTGGAGTCATCCTGAAAGATTCTTCCACAAAAATTTGCAGCCTGAAAAGTCTTAAATTAACCCTAAACCCCAAGGGTATATCTACAATCGTATGGAAATTGGAGGATTTGGGACTGTTAGGGTTAACATACCATTATGTATTTGGTGTCTTAACTCCTCACTTTCAATCGTCTGATCGTATTAAGAATTGAAGCTGACACATACAGCCTCGTTTTCAAACGCGGAAGTGCGCAGATCGATGCTACAGCATCGTATTGGGACCCCTCTATCATTTCTAATTTAATTTTGAATACCCCAGGACCAAGAAGAAAATAGTTGAACATTTTTAATGAGTGAAAACGGTTAATTATTGTGAACCCTGAAGTATCTTTTAAAGGCCAAATAAAAACAACGAAAGTACAGTATCGACTCTTCGCCATCTCCCATCGCTGGTTACCGTCAAAAGCATAGCCACGATATTAAGGCAGATGGGATGAAACCAACGAAGTCGAGTTCAGCTGCCATTTAAATTTCAGCTCTGCTAACTTCGTGGTGGAAGTAAAAAGGTAAGATTTTTAGAAGTATCGAATTTTGCAATATTTCAATAAAAGAAAAAAGGCCCTATTTGATATTTGATACGAAAAAATATTGCGGTTTCGATAATTATCGTGATATCAAACAGGCCCATGCAAGAGATTATGAAAAGAACCCAAAGGGTCCAGAAATTGTTTCAGCAAAACAACCCCAAACTAACTGATGAATTCTATTTATCTTTGTATCACGTTTTAATATTAAAACTTGCAAGGGTTGGACGGATGGTTCAAAACCTGGTATAGCAGTGCACGCTATGATGTCCCATGTTTTACAGCAACCAATAATGTCCATGCACAGACTTTCACAACGCCTTACCATAAGTGTGCACATGTGTTCTACACAAAGAACATGTGACTACCTGCTGTGTTGTTGCCCAACTGACCACGCTCCACTTGGAACCTAACACAACGCATATAACTATTTCCTAAAATAGATTAGTGATGGCTACCTTGCTGTGTGGTCCTTGCCGGAACCCATCTCTGAAGCAGCTTTTTGGAAGCCCCGCGTGTAGCTGTGTTTATGGATTGAGGATCTCGAAAGCCCCCAGCAGCTGTCAGCTCAGACTGAGGTCTGTTTGCAGCCTGTTGAATGCTGAAAGTATCAGAAAAATTCCACAATTTTTGAACAAAAAGCTGATGCTGAAAGTTTAGACTAAGCAAGGAAAATCAACCCCTGCTACAGTGCACAATGAAGGTTACAAATGACATCTTATCTGGCCCTCGTAAAATTGTACTGTTCAGCACAATCTTGACTCTTGCACAAATTTATTGCACTTCTTCCTGAGTACCGACTATGGATGGAAACAAAGTCTGAAAACAGACTTGAAAAGTAGGACTTCATATTTTGAAGAGAAGTGTACACATAAATTTAGTAGAAAGTAAGTATGGGATCCAATCAAAAAATTAAAGAAGAGAACAAAATTATGGGAAAAATTCCCATGATAAATGGGCTCGATCCTCACTGATCCCGGCATGTCAGGATTGCAAGCCAGCACGTGTACTGATGGATCTACTCTAAGAGTCTAATGCCACAACCGTGGGAAATTAAAACCTAAAGTAGGACTGGCAATAATAATTGGCATAATTGCGCAATGCCATAACTATAGAATTTGGAAGCTAGGTTATGGTTATCGTAACAATACTCAATAGCAACTTCGTGAAGTAAATGCATTATCTGATCATGCACATGATCATAAGCCAACATTGCAAATACTTTATGGGTGCTTTTGCACAATGGTAGGGGGTCCAGTGAAACGACACCTCTAAATTTTATATCTGAAAGCGTGTAAAAGTGTTTGTTTTCAATCAATGATTTCTTCCCTTTCTGTGCATCAAATTCTATTATTTAAAAGTATTTGTGCTGTATTAAAAAGAACCAAAATTTTTGTTAGTACCATTTATTATGTGATGAAAATAATATAAGGTCAGAGCAACTTACACTGCGTCAACAAGTGTGTGCGGCCATCTTTGTTTATTGTCGTGCGACATAGTCTCGTCTAAGCCTAATACCTCGCGAGACTCAACTGGGTTTGGAATGATGATGTCATCATCTTGTAGAGCTTAAAATACTCTTTCATTTGATGTATGACTCGAGGTATTTGACTAAAACACCGTCAAGCTTTGTTTTGGTTTGTGAAGACTACAAAAAGGTAACAGAAAATGTGCATTTGCCGAACTCCCCAACAATAGTCGAAAGGCATTGTGCAATATCACCCATGCAATATCTACAATAAGGCTTATGTCATGATGCATGTCCACTACTCCACTGCCAACATTGGCTGGCCAAAAAAACATCGAAAAAGTCTGGGCCAAAGGCACTTGGTCAATGTTGGTCATGCTGGTTGAAATTCCTCCTGAATTCTCCACTATAATACAAGGGATCAGGACAGGAAAATAACAAGGGCCAATTCAAAAGCATTAGGCCTACTTTAAGTTTAACCCTAACAAAGTAACAGTCATGACAGTCCCAAATCCTCCAATTTCGACACAATTTTAAATACACCCTATTAATGTATCGATATAGGTCTAAGTATTAGGCCTAGCAGTTTTCACATTAATTTTCATACTAATTCAAAATATGCAACTTACAATCGGGAAGAACTGATTACATAAACTCTTCGAAAAGACTGCATCAACATTCCCCTGTACGCTGCCATCTTCATTCTACTTTTCTCCTTCGCTATGGCGCCCTCTGTTAACGGCAGGATCTCGTTAGCCAGCGTGCAACTAGGGCTTCAGAATTTTGTTTGTGCACGAGAACAAAATATACATGTACAATGTATACCAGAAGTTCACCAGCTGGTGTTGGTCTTTCACCTTAATAAAAGGTGGCGATCAGGATCATCATCCTGTTTACTTTAGTACCGACATTTTAAAGCGCCCTCTTTTTGACAGTAAGTTTACTTGGTGGAGTACTAGAAATTTAAGCGCACAACAAACGCACCGTATCTAGACAACAACAGTAGACCACGGTACGGTAGTCGGTACATCGCTCCGTCGGGCGTTTTCAGAGAGATCGCGTTTTCACAAATTTCGTGTGACTACATGAGGGACTGAATATGCCTAAGAATGCTCTAGTCACGGTGCGATATGGGCCATATCGTGCTTGTGGCATCGTTGAACACAGAACATCACGACTAGATGGGTTACAAGGTAGGAGTCAGGACCACAACCGGATAGGCTTAGGGCCTTGGTTACGGCGCGATTAGTCAATGCGCTGCGGTTTCGCGCTTGAGGTACAGTCCGCTAATTCAAGCCCCATTGAAAACAGTGTAAAATCAGCACTGTTCAGGGCCAAATAACATGCACGTAAACATTCCTGAGATTTCTGAAACACAAATGAAATTCTTGTCTTGTCACTAATCTTTCAATTTCTTTTCAAGTTTTTGTGCGTTAACCAATTACATTTTTAATTATTCCCACAAAACAAAATCACCCCCCAAAAAGTGATTTTTCCGAAGTCTGATTGCAGCCATTTTTCAAGTGGCAACCCTCAACCTTCTCCGGCACTTAGGATCATTTCTCAACCATAGTTTTTAGCCATTCTGCTATTATATGAAAGCTCAAAGACCTGGCAAGGATTTACACAATCTCACCATTTTGGGGGCCAAACAATCTCCTTTTCAAAAGATACTGTGGGTTAATGCTAATGAGCTGGCCAGAAATTCTCACTTGAATTAGTGGTTTGCATCCCTAGGCACAAGTGTGGCCATGGTTATCATCAAGGATGATAATCCTATCCTGGCCAGTCCTATCCTGGTCACAACAGTGGGGCTAGATTGCACTGTGCGATAAATTAATCCTGGTCAAAATATGCAGCATTTTGTCCAGTTTCAAAATAGCCTAGTTTTTCCAGAGCTGAAAAACCAGAAAAGGTGATTGACTGATTGATTGCAGTGAGGTACAAACTATCAGCCTGATACATGTACCACGAATGATGAAATTTATTACATCAAAATGAACATGGTCCTTCCAACCCCCAGCTCTGCTGACAGGAGATGGTCACACAGTGGAGTTGTGCCCAATTGAGGACTGGAATGTAGTGGAACTTATCGTGAATGGAGAGATGGTATACCAGTGTGACATTACCGAGATGGACTATGGTATGTATACATAAGAAAAGAAGAAAGTGCATGGTGTGTTCACATCAGCAACAAAAGGAACATTTGAAAGAAGAGTTTTAACTTGCACTCGGTGATAGTCCCTGCACTTTTGATATGCTGCATTTTAGTGGAGTCTACCGAGCCTTTGAGCTTGTAAGGTCTTCATATCTTTTCCATACAATTTGGACGCATTGTTCTCTTGCAGAATTAATTCGTAACACAGGGTTCAGGAGAATTCTTGAAGTCTTTCCATGACCTCTACAGAGGATAATGTGAAATACTAATTGTCAAAAACAATGACTTAAGAGTCCCAATACGTTGGCTTTTGAAGACTTGGTCTTTGCTTCACTGAAGGGGTATTTTTGCATGTGCTTGTATTTGACTTTGTTCCAGGGAGCGATGGTCAGTTGGACAAGTTGTGCCACGAAGCATTGGAAGCTGTGAGGAAGGCATTCTAGGCTGGGCGGCTGGGGAGGGGGGTTGGAACTAGGATGTGGAGTAGAGGGTATGCTGAACCTCAACAGTGGGAGAGATGAGAAGTCGTCTGCTACGTTCCGTACAAGCACATAGTTGGCTTTGCAGCGGTCCTAATTTCCGTCCCCACAAGTATTTGCAACTTGTAGGCGAGCATGAGAAGCAATAGAATCTGTAGAAATCATCCTGACTTCAGGGAACCAGACCAGGTCAGGTACTGTGATAAAGTATTTCACCAGGCTCCCCTTGCTGTTGCTTGCAGTGTCTCACAGCTCCATCCTTTTGGATAGGGCTAGTTTCCTACGGTGGGTTTAAATTGTGGGCTCGGGTGCACACTCGGCAACACGGACCAAGATCAAGCAGCTCCTTCAGTCTGGGCGAAACCTACAAAATCCAAACCTCCAAAGTCAAGATCTTAGAAAGGCCTGTGCAGAAGTTACTTACTGCCAGCCTAATTTTAGGAAATAATACATCTGTTTTGCCTTGTTCTTGTTCTCAACAACCAGTTTAAAAGCCAATCTATACATTTGTCACTTTCGTGTAAATATAAATGAATGTTGTAAACATATGTATATATATCACTTCAAATAAAATGAATGTGTTAGTTTTAACAAATGTTCTATTTGCATTTCTGACTCTGGTTTAGTCAGTTCCAAATTTTGAAAACATGAGATTGTCTTGCTTTCATTCCCTTCTTGACCCTAAAAAAGGCCAGTAACATGCAACTTTTGGCCTAACCAGACTTTCATGATTTCCTCTCTCGCGCATGTTGACACCTACCTTGACTGAAAGATCTTGCAAAGTGTCAAATTTTCAAACACAGGACGGTGAAAAGAAAGGACATTTTTTTCCAGCTTTGCATCCTGTGCAGGACTGCAGTGTGCGTTATGAAAGATGACTACAATCATGTTATCAGAGCAGACCCCATTTGCATGCACGCCATAGTAGAGGGGGGGGTGAATTTACTCACATGGTGAATTGCTTTTTAGCCTTTTCAGAGCAAATACATGTACTGTGCAGCTAAAATGTACACACTAAAAGCCTCTACGCAGGTACACATACACAGATATACTACCCCCAAAAAAATCATTAAAAATGACAATAAAGCACCTTTTGCTATTTACACTTTTGTACCAACTGAACAAATTTTATTTTATCATACATATTAATTATCCGTCCATTGTACACGGAACAATTCAAAAAAAAAAAAAACCAACATACGTACATTTAATATAACGCTGTTATGTTTACACACGGTGCAAAAAACCAAAGGAAGAGAAATACGGGAATAACTGTAACAAAAATAACTGAAGCGTTTCAAACACTTATCAAATGAGGTATAAACAAAACCGTGGCCTTCAAAACTACTAGAATCGGTTCAATATTAAATATAAAACTGCTAATAAAAAAAGAACGATTCTTTTCAAAGAATGTTCTATAAGGATAAAGGAGAATAGTAACACTCTTTTAAAAAAAAAAGGAAAGCCTATTGCTGGTTGTCCACAATGCTTCCATCCGAAACTGTACGCTTGTTTCCCTAAAAAGTACTGGTTTAGCACGAGGAGGATAGACCGAGTATCGGCGTCAAGTGGTTGTTCTCAAGATGGTTGCCGCTGTTCTTAAAATAGACTGATGACATCATCAGAAGCGCCCCTTTATCTGACCTGGGGTCAACTTTGTGAAAGTGACGAGGTAATTTTTGCTTTGACTTATTATTTCTCGGGTTATATCAGTTAATGTACCTTCTATTCAGCTGGAACACATTTTTACTGCAGGTCTCCATCACAAAACTGAATTTCATTTTTGATATTCCCACACCAGTATCATCAGAGCATTTGGCTCAATTTCACGGTTCCTAGGCAACCTTAGCAACACATACAGTGACGTGTGCTCATTGCTAAGGTACTGATAATTTGTAATCGCTTCCAAAATGGTTCGGGCTATGCAGCATCTTTTGAAAAGTCACTGACCAACTGATGCTCTGGACCATCGGTGATTCTCCCCTTTCTGGCCGGGTTTAAATTGGAAAGTAAAGCCAGCAAAATTTGTAGACAAAGTTGACAATTTCAATTTTGGCCCCAAAATACGCATTTCTTTCACAAGTTGCCCCCATATTTAGGGAAACAATGCACGTTGCCTGAAAAGCACGAATTCTGAATGCTGACAATATCTATATAATCTTCTGCAAGTAATTAACATTAAAACACTTTCAAAAAAGAAAGGGAAAAAAGGGGGACAATTTTCCCTGTCTGCTTAAATTTTGAACCACTTTCAGATGGGGAGAGGGGTAAAAAAAAAGATATCCTTCGATTCAAAAGTTATTCTAAATTTCACTGAGATATGCACTTCAACTTTGTATTTCATGATTCATTTCAATATCAAAATACAATTGCTCTTCACGATTGGAGACAAGAAGTCAAGAATAACATTTTAGTTAAGGATGAATCCATAATTGCTGAATTTAGTCATCTTGCACATGATTTGAATTTTTCTTTCACGCACAATATGTTTTTTGACACGGAGACTCGGGACACACATAAAAATTATAACTCTGAATGCAGACATACACTTCTTACAAAAAAATAACACGTGGTAAAAGTGGCTTTGGGAAGGGTATCTGGATAATGCAGCAAGTTCTTTTTGTACACAGAGTCATTTCTTTCCTTTACAACAATAAACCAATCAGCACTTGGAGCCCAGTTTAAAGAAATGCCGCACTGTTTGAACTACACCCAAAGGGGATGGTGGTCTACCCAAGCATTCCCTGATGGTATGCCGTCCAGACTGCAGCAGGCATGGGATATCTCAGGATCCATCATCATACCCGGGGTGCCAGACTACTTGAAAAGAGCCAGGCACCTGATAAACATGCATGATAATGCATGGTGACCGTATTTAATGCATTTGACTCCTGCAAGACCACTGGAAAATGCACAGTCGCTGTACAACTCAGTCCATGCAATACTTGGCAGTTAAACACGTCTTACAGAACTTTGTGTCCTGTGTTTTCAGTGGAGTTCTTCAACTGACCCGATGTATTCTTGAGATTCCAGAAAGAATCTGATAAATCAACTCAAATTTGTTTTAAAAAAACAACAACACACAAACGGTTCTGGAAGTGTTCGATTCGGATAACTTGCAAATGTTTGCTGCCCTCTGGAGTGCAAGTTATGCCAGGGAAATGCCCCAGACACATAGCATAAGATACCACTTCTCCACAGCACAGTACAAACGTTTATTCACAAATGTCTGAAATGTGACTAATTAACTGCTAAAAAAAATTGGAAAACATTAAATGGTTGACACTTATTGAATTTCTTTCTTTCCAGCTAATAACAGGCCCCTATTTCCAGTCGGTGACAAACATATGACAAACCGTTATGATTACATATAACCAAAACTGTTGACCTTCATGGGAATTTCTTTAAGCAGTCTGTCATGCCATTTTACACCACCTCTTCTCTTTCTACTCCTTCCCCCGTTTTGAATTCACATCTTCACATATAAAGTAAGTAACACTGCGCGCGCCCCCCCTTTTTTGCTCGAAGTTCTTGTGAATATTTCACAACGGCATCCCCATTATTTGCAATAGAAATCTTTGGTTTGATCTAAGGTATTTCAAGGACTGTTCCGATGACCTGATAGTAATAAACTTGAAAGCTGCATCTGGAAAAATGGAAGATCAAACGTGCTGAGCAAATTTTGGCTGGAACAACAGTCTGACTAGAAATGTGTGAGAAAACAGTAAGTTGACTCATTTAAAGATATGAATGCTTATGTAGAAACGATCTTCAGTAACAAAGTAAAATCATTCAAACCAAACATGACCAAACTGAAAGAAATAGCTTCAAGATGACAGACTCGAGACTGAAATTCGGAAAGAAAGGAGGGCAGGTGAAACTGGTACTAGTTTTATTGTAAGAAAGGCAATTGAAGTGTACGTCACTTTGAGTTTTTTTTTTTTTTCCTTTTGCATAAAACACATCCTTACAAACGGTATGGGGTATCGATCAAAATTACAAAATCGGAAGTAAAAACATCTGGAAAGGACTTTTCATGAAAGATCATTCGGGGACATCCAGATAGACAACATCCTGACGAATACAGCAGAGCAGTTCCATCTTGCAACATGTACTCATGAATATGGCTGACCGGGAGAGTAGTGACATACGGGATATGGAAACGTACTCTCCTCGCGGAAACCAGTCTGAATTAATGTCAAACCGACATCTTGGCTGACATGACCCCCTGCCCGTGGCTGTGCAAGGGCACTGTGTAACCGCACTCTGGACCACGGCGACATCCATTTCAGGTCTTCGGCACCAATACACAAACGAGTCTCTTGCAGAATCATGCTGGCAACTCAATTTATTGGAGAGCTCCTTGGCTCTTCCCTCGTGCTTCCCAGAATGCAATGCAACAGAATACCACAAAGTGTACATCAAAAACAGTCGCTCTAATACGGAATGGAAAAAGCCATTTCTGCGATCCCGTTATGTCGAATCAACTGAAGATCTTGTGTACAACTGCACTGAAAACTATCCACCCACTGAAAAAAAAAATGAGGGCAACTCCTGCTGTTGATTTTCCACGGGGAAGGAAGCTCCTAGTGGGAAATTTCCACAAGCATCACCACACTGTGGTGAGAAGAGCCTTTGCCAATGCTTACCATTTTTCCTTTGCAAAGCTCGATATGACACCCAGCTTTCCATGCGCACCAGTGCTATGTCAGTACTACATATTCCGCTATGCCAGACACCTACAATGTTTGCAGCAAGAACACATCGGACAAAAATAAAGGAAAGGGAAAAGCGTCAAGTACAGAACGAGTCTCACCTTCATTTCCTTTGAAAAACGTCACATCCCTTCGATGCACTGAATATACAGTGTACAATTCTTTATGGACAGGCTTGATTGTTTTCCCGGAGAAAATAGTCGCTAAAACATCAAGGTATCACAATCGCTTCCCGTTGCTGTTAAAAACCCAAACGATTGGCAGCTGGACGAGCGGCCAGTGGTACTTTTTCGTCGTTTTTTTTTTCCCCACTTACGTTAATTATTCACTTGATAAGTTTTCTATGTACAGTAATGGTTAATTTATGAAACAAGGTTTTTTTTCGTTTGGTACAGCTGATTAGATACTACGCAGTGACCGTCGCAGATTTCATGCTGAGATCCTGGGGCATCTCCGGCGTGGGAGGCGGCCTTGACTGCGCATGGAGTTGTAAGAGTCCGTGGGGCGTCAGGCCATTGGAGAAGGCCGTGCCCCTCAACATGTCCGCCTGGGAGGTCGCGTGTGCCGCAAAGAGAGACGGCTGCGAGGGAAACACCATCATGGGTGGTGTACTGCTGAACGACATGTGGTGACCCGAGTGCGAGATGGAAGGATGCGGGAGGTGGACTATTGTGGCAGGGGACGTCTGGGTGACCATGGGCGACGGCGACGGGTGCAGTGTGGGCTGCTGGGTACTGGCGGCGGACGAGGCGATGGAGAACGCCTGGCTGTGAGGTGGTGGTAGGGGTGGGGGTGGGGTGGCGGTGGTGGGCGGGGCTCCGACAAGGAGGACGACGAGGAGAGTGCCCGCTCCCTGTGACTGTGGCTGCCGTTAGCCTGCTCCCCGTGATGCTGACTGGAGGAACTAGGGACCAGGGGCTCAGAGGTTGGGGGTCGCGTTCCCTCTGACCCCTCCTTGCTTCCAAGGCTGTTGTTGGGCATCCGCTGCGGTGGGGTGGGTTGTGAAAATTCTTGTTCATCTTCACTGTCGCAACTGTCCTCTTTGTTCTGACCGTTCTCGTCTGAGCAGATGTACCGGATACACTTCTTCTTTCTCCTAATCAGTATAAGATTATAAAAAGAAACAACCATTACGAGGGGGTTGGTGTCCTAGTATAAGAAAGACTTACATTCTACAACTCACTGAATCTCTATGATAACTATATTTTCACCTTGTGGTCTGTCGCTGCGGATAAAATCTTCAGAGCATAATGATCACTGTGTCCTATGTGAGGGAATCATCTTTGAATTACATTACACCCACATATGTGATACGTGTATATTACAATGTCAGTGCAAAAGCAATTCATGGGGAATTGGGTTGAGGTAGTGGTTCTTTCCTCACCTTTCACCTCTGCGGCCGGGTTCAATTCTCCTACCCTGTGCACATGTGGATTGAGTTTTCAATCCCTACCCGTTTCGTCCGGTTTACCCAGAATATTCCTCTGGGGTTTTTCCTCGGGGCCACTAAACCTGAAGTGCTTTTGTCTCTCCTCTATAAGTTTCTTCAGGCTTATGAGCTGCAGTAACTGGGGTGCCTTTGAGGAATCCTCGGTTTCATGATCAGAAATACTTCATAATAATAATTTTAAAAATACAATTGAAAAATAAATGCTACTCAAAATGTGACCACAAATTCTATTTATCTGTCTTGCAACCAATGTCTGAGTTCAGACATGGCCCAATGGCCTATTTTTATGCCTATCGGTTTTGCAAAATGATTTCTTGCTGTTTACTCAACCCCAACCCCCATGGGTCAGTTATAATTCCACAGTCACACTGCTCTTGTTGCATTGAACAGGACCCAGGGGGCTGAGGTACAACCATCAATGCCACCATGCTACTATGCTTCACATGGAGAATAGCGCCATCTTGTGTTCAGTAATGGAGAGCTGTGATGCTGTACACAGTGAGTGCAGTCAACACAAGATATTGTGGTTGAGTGGCTGAACCACTGAACTGGCAATGATGGCCACAAATGGGCGCAAGTGAACAGTGACTTTGCACTGCCGCCTTCCATTCATATTTTTTCTTGAAAATTTATTTCGTTTTCCTTGGTTTGCTGTTATTTTACGTACAAACACTAAGAAATAACCGGGCCATTTTTCAAATGGTATATGTGGGGAAAAATGGCCGGCCCAGGGAATTTTGTAAGTGGCCTGGTTTGGATTGTTTGGCTCATACTTGTAAAAAATATGAGCAAAAATTATTCCAATACTGGACAATTTTTACTTTTTTCTTTGCAAACAAATACATGTATATCATTAAAGCTGTATTCTCTAAGTGTTATAAACAATGACATTTACATGAAATTTTCCTTCAAAATTTAACAAAGAACATTCAAACGTTAGCAATGATTCTTATAAAATAAAAACTTAGACTCTCAAATATCATGAATAAGGTGGAACTGAGTTTTTAAAAATACCAACTCACGCACCTGCAGGGCTTACACCAGAATTCTTGCTGGTCGACGCCAAAGCGAGCTCGACATTTCTTTGGAGTGGACGGTTCTGAAATGATCACAAAGAACATCCATCAAACAAATGAAAGGTCCTGACATGTTGGAGAAAAAGTCTAGAATGTTCTTGCAAATGAAAACTCCATTCATTGCCGGATCCGAGGGAGGGTGGTCATAATGGGGACCATGTCCCCCCCCCCAAATGACAGATGATTCTTTACATTTCCCTTCATTCCCAAAAAACATGGAAAGAAAAAAATCCCTCAAATTTAGCCTTACCCTGAGAAAGGCCACAAAGTGAAAAAAACAAAAAGCCATAAAGCCAAAAATTAAATAATGCAGTCTCCCTTTTGGGGGCCCTCTGAAAAATTTGTCCCCCCTCCCACACACACACACAAAATAAAAATTGGTTCCTGACCCGCCCTGAACTTTATTCAACAAAAAGTAAAATAAAACACTCCATTTCTGGAAAAAGAAAGAAAAAAACAAAAATTTCACTGTTCATGTACATGTATGCCTTTCAAAACTATTTAAAATGTTGACCATCGTGGAGGCTTGGGTTCCAGTCTCACAGAAGTAAGATTGTGAATTTTTTCGCAAGCAATCGAACACTGAATATACACTGTCACAAGTAAACGTCGCCGGTGTAAGGGCAAAACCCATGATGCAATCAAAGTCTGGCACAGGTATCATCCTTTGCTTTCTAGTTTTGTATTCTCTGCGAGGGCCGAAGGTGGTCTACAGAATGAGACCACTCTTTGCACACCCAGGAAAAAAATGATGGAAAAGTGGATGGCCCCTGAGGAGAAGTATACAGAATGGAACAATACAATACTCATTCGCAATAGTCACGGACCGCATCATCCAACTGTTGCTGCTTAGGTATTTTGGAAACGTACGCTGGACAGTGCTCATTAGTTACAACACGCCCCTAACCATACGCCTCATGGGTCATGGGGCTGTGCACAGCATTATATAAGCAGTTAGTACCCATCCCCCCCCCCCTTTTGCAACTGGCAAGCAAGTGTCCCAAGTTTAAAAGGTTTATTCCAAATGTAAACGGCCTGTGGTGTGAGCGATGGCTTCCCCTCCATCTTTGGCTTTGGGGGATTCCACTCGGAAGCCTTGAATCTTTGAACCACAAGACTCCGACTCCAGCATTGGGTTTTTAGTTTCAGGACTTCAGTGAATTGAACTGGCTGTGGAAAGAGAAGAATTGTGGCTTGAAATCCAGAGGCTCAAGGCCAGGGGCTTCACATCTCAAGGCCTGGGGAGCCCCTCCCCCAAGCTCAAGATTTGCAGCCTGGATCAAGGCTAACCCCCAGACATCAAGCAAGGGTGGGATTACGGAACTGACATTTATTAATGACTGCAAAAATTTGGGTAGAAGTTTAATTTTTCTCCTCTTTGATCTCTCTGTTTAGCCACAATGTTTCTCTTTTTGGACACAATGTTTCTTCCCGGCTTAGGCACGGTATCTGTGTACATTTTTACGGTACACTGTTTTTCGACCAAACATATTTGCATGCATGATGACAAAAGTCTAGGATCAGTTTGTACACAGAAATTCCTATGTTGTAAGAACAGTCCCCTGTGTGTCAGCGAGAAGCAGGTCACTTATTAAAGCTGGGAAAAAGGCACACAAAACTGCACTCCAAAGAGTGACTTGTCGCTGTCAGGCATTTTTTTTTCAGGCATGCAAGTGTGTACTTCTGCTCACAATGTGTTTAAGTACTGAGGAAATTCATTTAAGGGCCTCTTTAAGCATTAAAAAAGAGTCCCTGAATCATATAAGCAATTATCCTGCCCCACTGCTGCGACAGGACAACTCAATCATCTTCCCGATGATCATGAAATAAAAATGAAACAGCTGCGGTGCACGTACAACACGAAAGCAAATGCCCAACTCCTCCCATAGTAGCCAGCATTTAATACTGTTGTTTTATGGGAGGAGGAAGATTGGAATTTCTTCCACAGGCTGTTTAAAGCCACCATAAACTCCTATGTGTTATAGAGCTTGAAAGTAAAAGGTCACACAGTGAGCTTCCAGAACCCTTGTGCGGTCCACCTATGGGGATTTTACATGGGGGCTGTCCTATCACGTTGAGTAATTTTTAGAAGAATGATTTCTAACTAAAATCACCCCAAAAAATACTCTTGTTGGAATTTTACCTTTGTTTTCCTCAAGTAATATTTAGGAAAAGTCACCTGGAAATGGGTTAAAAAAACTTATTTCATTATTAACGACTTTTCACGTCCGGCGATATCGTACCCAGGTCTCCTTGTTCGTGCATGTTTGTTTTCACTCCCCCTGCTTACATGAAACTGAGATTGTACACAACATTGCAAAGATTTACGTTTCTTCATGTATTTTAGACTTAACGAGGTGATGGGTTAATTTTTGGTAGCATACGTCCCTTTTAGTCCCAGTAATTGTTCAGTTTCTATAAATGGATACACCAGCAAATACTTACCGAAGCCGCCTTTTTAAGTTGGATTTTTGAAGAAATAACTAAATAAAAAAGTTAAATTCTAAAATTTGTGCATGTTATTTTTCCTATCCAAGGGTTCCAGAAGCGCGCCATCAGGGCTCTATTCTGCAGCTTTCAAAATTGGGATTCCCGTTCATGACATTCTGAGTCAATTTTAAGTGAATCATTTAGGCAGCGCATGAGTTCAATTACCAGTCTCTGAGTCACTGGGTTTGTGTTTAAGTCTGAGTCAAGAGTCATTTGGCATGAGTTCGGGTCAAGTCAGGACTCAGCTGGCTTGAGTTTGAGTGTAAGTCGAAAGTCACTGACGTCAAATCTATATCATGTGTCACTTTGTTGATATTTAAACGTCGCTTGGTTTGAGTTTGAGTCAGAGTCGAGAGTCACATTGTTTGAGTCACTGAAATTGTGACTCAAGAGAGATTCCAATCAGAGTCCTGGTTTGATCCTGAGTATGTTCACTGTAATTCTGGCTTTAGTCCAGTTAGCATGGAGAATCATTTCAAGGCTCTTACAATTGTTTGACCTTCATGAAACTCATTTGTGGGACTACTGGCAAACTCCAAGTTTGTACCAAGATGCCCTCCAAGTTTGTACCAAGATGCCCTCCAAGTTTGTACCAAGATGGCCTCCAAGTTTGTACCAAGATGCCCTCCAAGTTTGTACCAAGATGGCAGGTAACTTGATACAATGTGGCAGGTTTTAGCAGCAGATAGTTCAAACAGTGCTTTTAGCAATTCTCCAAGAAAACATCAAACAATTAATGCCCCGGGGAGGGGGGGACGAAGAATAAAACAATTTCATAAATACACAGTGGGTGTTTATAAACATCGTTGGCAGAAAAAGGGTCCCGCTGGAGCATATCTGGATAAACTGTTGTCAATTTTCTATTCGATTTGTCACCGCCTTTAAAGACAAGGTCATCGGAAGTACTCAGCTCGTAAATGACGACAATGAGACTGGCATAATCTGGCCCTGACCACGTGTGCCCACTTTCTCCCCAGTTGGCATCTTTATCATCCCGTGATGTCTCTTTGGGAAGTGCATCGTTGTGACAGAAGGCAAACAAAATGGAAGGTAAATGCCTGACGGAACAACTCAATTTAGAAAAACACATAGAAAAATGACACCACCAAAAAAACAAAAACACATCTCAAGTGAAATAAACCCCCCAATATTGCAATTTTTGGTAAACAAGTCATGCATCAGGTGCAAGGTGGCAAAAACCTCAAGAAGTACAGTGACCTTTCCCAAACTGCCCCTCCCCCCACTCCTCTTCAGAGCCAACAGGTGACACCCGTTATCAAAGCAGGAAAAGAAATGAAAATAACAGCCAGTCCTACAGAGTCAAAAGGTGGCTCAAGTTGTCAGAAACGAACATGGCATAAATCAGTCACCAATCCCGAATAAATCTCTTCAAATTGCTTATTTTAGGTAAAGTGTGACTGCACTTTCAGCTCCCCCTCTTCCTTTATTCCCTCCTACTTTTTTTTTTCTTTTTGAGAGGTAAACAGACCTTGTTCCGATAATTACAATAATGCATCTATTGATATTGTGGTTGAGTGTGGCCAACAGTGCATGACCCATTGTCAGAGCAGAACCCACGCTGGGCACATCCGCAGAAAACTTGGGCTCTTCTCAGTGCAACACTCTCTCCCCTAGCCTCCTTTGATTTTGTTAGTGATCAAGAACAGTGAATCGGTTCCTCCCACCTCTCTGTCTATTGCAACCAACTTGTAAATGCAGATCCCACTTTAGTTTCCTCTCACTCGTTCTGGAGAGAGAAAAAAACTTTTTTGGGGGGATGGGACGTAGGGGCAGCAAACATTTGCCTAACAAGTGGGGAGGAAAAAACCTGTTGAACTGAATTATTAAAACTATGTTAACAAGATTCCTTGAAGCTGGGGAGTCACTGAAGATGTGCAGGCTCTTTTGTTCACAACTGACCAATTTTCTGAACATGGCTGTTTCAGAACTTGTACATCTGTTGATTTACAGACCAGTACATATGCTGCCATAGACGACAGTGATAAATATCCACACTTCAAAAAGTCAGGGAAAATACAAGTTTCTCAGGTGTTCAAGAGACACATATCAAATTGAAGCTCACTTCCTCATCTTTCATTTTCCTTCCATTTTCAGTGGCTTAACTGATGACTTTTGAAGATATTTCTCTCCAGAGAAAACCACCCCTCAAAACAGTCTTGAGACCAACTGCCATTTTGAAAAGTGATACCTACATTCTATTGCAAGATAGTGCAATTGGAGGGCCCAGTTTGGTCCGATACTTTCAGAAATACAAGCTGGCAGTCCAGCTGGTAGATTCCATCCTCCTTAATGAACAAACCACCCAGACCACGTGCCGCAAATGCTCTAATACCAGAGAATTTGGCAGTCCAAAAAATTGTGAGTTGGCCTGCGCAGGCAGTTTTGGACCTATTTGCTGGCCTGCGACTGTAGGCCCATTGCAAGGATACAACCAGCAGGTATCTGTAAAGTATGGGCTAGGCCAGAAAGAGCCCACAAAGGTAGTGCCTCCATAAAGCGTATGATTTTGATA